GACCGCATGTGGTGGTACGCTGAGGTTCCAGCCAATCGCCACCACAAACTGGACATTCGAACATCACCCATTGGCCCGTTGCCTGCTGCTCCGCCGCTAATCCCTTAAAAGCTGACAGGTACTGAAGGGGGCAAAGAAACAAACAGATGGTGGGGATTTGGACTAATTAGTGTAATCTCCTTGACTTTAATCAATATGTGAATGTAGGCAAGGTGGGCACCACATAACTCAATCTGTTGGCATGTTTTTAAAAAAAAATCTTAACAGAGAAGTACAGTAAGAATGCTCAGTCAAAAGTAAAAATCTAAAATGTTCATCTTAATAAATGAAAAGCATGAGCTGGGTTGCAAAATGAGCTCCTTCTACATCTACAGCACAATTGATGACTGTCTTTCTGTCCATTATTGTTTGCTGTGTAGCCCACGGATGTGTCATGACACCTTTTAGGGGAAATTATTCATATGCTTTCCTCTGAGTAAATGGTGCACCTTTAATCTCCTTTGTTAGGATGTTAATAGCATTTCTTCGGCCACATTTTACTGATCACCTACTCTATTTAGGTCAGCTCATCGCGCTGAGCTGCACATAAGCTAACCTGACCGCTGGCCAGCTGTCTTTAGGGGATCACACAGGTTTAAACAAAAATAAACAGCTACTCTTGTGACCACGACATCTTTGCAGAGTTCGACACTGAAAACAGATCATTCTGAGAAAGGTTACACAGGCAGGCATGACTCGTGATGGATAATGATAATTTTTTTAGGTGATTTATATATTTTTTTAAATAATCTGGTTCATGTTGAAAATGTTGAAGTTACTCTTTATTTTCCATCATGTCTCATAGAGCTGAACTATGAAGGATGACTCATTTAATGCACCAAGAAAGAATATTTATAGAACTCCCATTAGTCATGTCTGATATCAATTTGAGTCACGAGTTGTGTTTTCAGAGCTTTGTTTGTCTATATCTCGCACAATACCTTAACTTAGAGTTTTGTGTGGTAAATCATGTATCAGTTTGATTTTTATTTTTTAACAGTTATGTTAAAACTGTTATTTTGAAAAAAAAATAGTGTCTGTGAGTACTTCAGTCAGTCTAAATATGAAAGTGTAGCACATAGATGAACAGACTGATGCAGATATTGCATGGGTGGAGTAAATACTCAAACCTTTTACATCCTCATTACATGTGAAAATAAAGTTATTTAAAAAAAAAAATTAACACGTATGGTATTTCTCAATGTGTAAACAATTACAAATAATCTTTTTTCAGATGTACCCAAAAGCTACCCAAAAGCTCTCTTTAAAACTGATTTTCTCCCCCAAATTAACCTCTGGACCGCTAGATGTCAGTCATGTACCAACTGCTTTACGTTAATAACAGACACCTGGTAAGATTTTGCTGGGCATAACTTTGTATGGACAAAAAAGACAGGAGACAAATGGAAAAATAACAAATATCTTTATCTAGTTGAGTGCAATAATATGCATCGTGTGTAACTATTGTTGTTACTATTATTTCAAAGCTGCACAGCAACAGGTTATGAGTTCTTAAAAAAAGATAATCAGATCTGATTAGCATAACTTTTAAATCTAGCAGATTTAAATATTGTTCATGTGTAGTTCTGTCCGTGGAATTTAGTTATTTTGAATCAGAAATAAATCAGGATAATCGTTGCATTGAAATAGTGAACATCAATTTAACAAAACACAACTAAATTAGGTGTCAGAGCCATTGTCTGCAGGTTGTGTGTTGGGAAGTGGACAAAAATGTGCCCAACAGTCAGAATAATGCAGCTAAACACGACATAAAGTACGAAACAGCCACACCACATAATAAACACCAATATGACTGCAAAACCCATGGTGAAATTGTCACCCCCCCAGCTTGAATCTGCACCTCGGAGCCCGTAGTGTCAGGAATTAAGTCGGTCCTCAGAACTTTGCGTCCGGGGCACCGCGTCTCTTGGTCAGCTGAGGCCTGGCAAACTATTTCAAAGTGTTTGGCGACCGCTGGTCATCTCCGTCTCTCCATCAGCCGTCAGCCGTATAGCATCAGCACCGGGGGGGGGGGGGCTGCTCCCGGCTGGCTCTGACCGCCGCCTGCGTCTGGGCGCAGAGAGGAGGAGGAGGAGGAGGAGGAGGAAGGGTGGAGAAGTGAGGGGGTGTGGATGGGGGGGGGGGTCTGCCGGGCTGCCCTATATGGCTGTGGATGAGCTCTATGCTAATATCGGCTTGAGAAGCCCAGCATCGCGTTTCTGCCAGCAGTCAGCGGTGGCTTCCACAGTCTGAGGAGGCTCCTGCACAGCCATGGCTGAGGGCGGAGAAGGGGAAGATGAGATCCAGTTCTTGAGAACTGTAAGTAAAGACAGCGTTTTTTTTGTTTGTTTGTTTTCCCCCTCCTATGTTTACGCGCAACGCCGCTCATCCAAACTGGATTACTGTGGAAGTTTTTTTTTTTTTTTTTCTCCGAATACGCACGGACGTGGGCTCGTGCCTTTGCGCCTGCACGGGCTGCTGAGTGTGGCGCACCTGTCGGCCGGGATCCCGATGAGGGGAATCTCAATTAGGCTCCCAGCTGCAGGTGCAAGGACGAACGGCGTTTCTCACCCCCTCTCCTCCCCTCTCCTCCCCTCCGTCTCTTTCCCTCCGCGTTGTGCAGAAACGCGCATTTCTGTCACAGCCACAGCCGGTTTTTCCCTTCTGATACTTTTATTGGTCGCGTTCGCATCGTGGAAGGAGAGTTTCATTAAGTTGTCCTTGCCAGCCACCCACTGCGATGACTATTTTAGTTGTTTGACGCAGATTGCTCGCGGTGTCCCTCTCTGCGCGGCAGTTATCCTCGTAAACGATATGACAGCTTGTATGTTGGTGTGGTGGGAACAGATATCGCTCGCAGTGGCCTTACTGGGCACGTATTCTTCTTCTCCCTGGCCCCCCGAGAAGCTTTGTGACCCCAGAGATACATGAAGAGCAATTGGACTCCAAAAACACACAGCAGGGGGGACTAACCCATATAGGTGGGCACATTGTGGTTTAGTTGGAATACCTGATTAAATCACTTAATTTGCAACATTTATTATGTGAGTAAACACTTGAATCTTTCTCAAGTACCCTTTGAAGAGCCCAACTAACAGGGAAACTATAAGACAACTTATTTCCTTTTTATTTGGAATCCGTTTTGGAAGAAATGACCACAAACCTCTTGTAGTTGTCCAAACTGGAACTGGTTTCCGTTCATAAGAATAGGGGATGTGAGCCGGCCCCGCTTGTGTGTACAGGATGACCTGCTGCAGGCGTTTTTCATCAAAGTTGCAATGCTGTCGCGGAGCACAGAATTATTCCGCCATAATGTGCCATTATGACAAATTAGACGGCCCCTGCCAACAGCGTAGGAGCCCCTGAACCTGAACGACTCAGGAGTGTGTTAATCAGTGTGTTTGTCAGTGGCTTGTGTGGAACCAAATGATTCAAAGTCTCATTTACAAACCTGCCATTTCCATTAAGGAACAATATTTCACTGGATGTTTTTGGCAGGGATATAAAAGAAAAATCCAATTTTTGGTATGAAAATGAATCTGAGACCAGTTGGAAATGAAACTTTTCAACTCACTGATGATTAAGGCATCAAATAGCCCGTTTTGATACGGTATGTGGGGATTCTGTGGTTCTCCGGAGCACTAACCCATCATCACTGCTCAGAACATTACGTCTGAGGTAGTTTGGACTAATCACACACGCCTGCTCGGCAAATCTTGGATGGGTTGTGTGTCTGGGGTACTTTTGGGCCAATCGGCCTTCTTGATATATGCCCAATTTGCATCGATCAGATATTTGACAGAAAAAGGTGGAGATGGTTTTAGAAAGGCTTTTAGAGAGAAGGTGAATTTGTTTGTGTTCAGTGTGGCTGCTGTGCAGTCATTTATGAATGAATTTTTTTCAGTATCTGTGGACATATACACCAGCTTTTTCCCGCCTGAGAGATTCACTCAAAAGATGGTCAAATCCCATGCCACAGCGGGGGGATGAGGAACAACGTTTCTGTTTGTCCTGCTTAGGTCAGCCTAAGGCGGGCAGTGGTTGTGTTCCTGTGTGGGTCGGTCAGTCAGTTGTGAGTGTTGCTGCAAACAGATCTTTTTTTTTTCAAACAAATGTCTCTTGTAAACCAAAAAAAAAAAGGAGATTACAATTTCTTAAGTGTAATTTTGGAGAAGAAAACACTGATGCTGGCAAATCTAATGGACACAAACCTTCCAGACAAAGATATTTTTTAACTTCCAACTTTTTTGTGTCATTATGAGTCATTTGCTGAATCTCAGTGATTCGGCTAATCACTGAGATTAATTTAAAGTGATGCCACTTGATAGTATCTCTCACAGGGCCCTCCTTTTTTTGGCAAACTCTCCAAATCCCCACATACAAATACGAAACTCCCGCAAGTCTAATAATTCACGAAGATGAGGAGTGACTCATACATACCTACAAATATTTGAATATGCTCTCCTGCTGCCCATTGACTAATATTTTGGTTCGCGGCTTTGTGATGTTGACATAAAGAGGATTGGAGGAGCACCCCTCCCCAAAAGCCCGGCTGCTTGTTGGAAGCGGGCGAGGCCTTTTGCTTAACAGCTCCTACTATTTGTGATGCCGGCGATATGCTGACCCACACCTCTCAGATTCTACTGTCACCCTGGCATCCCGGTTATCTGATGACAACAGCGTTTTCAGAAGGGAGCGGGGGGCTTCCCCTGAAGTCCACAGAGCCTTGTTTTCAAAACTCTGTGCCTCAGACTGAAAGCCCTGAGCTACGTGCGCTGATTTTAAAAGCAAGTTTAGGATTTTGAGCAAACCCTGAAAGTTGCACGACTTTTGTGAAGTTGCTTAAAAAAAAAATGCTTTCCAGACTATTTTTGTCTGTATTGCTTTGGCTTTCCCTTTTTGGAGGGCAGTAGTCGCAGGATGTGGAGGAAACTGCAGATGTTTGGTGTTTTGGAGGGAGAATGTGGGGCGTGAGAAGTGACCCGCCGTCTGCTCAGCACCTGTCGCAGTGGGACGGAGGGTCAGACGCTGTCTGAGCTCAACATGGACGCCCTGTGCTGCTGGATGTGTGACTTTATTTCCATATTCATGAGCTCACTCTGTTCTGACAAGAGAGAGGGAAAAAAATGGTGCTACATGCCTTTCTAGAAAAAGAGGAAGGTTTTGGTCCAGCTTGGAAGCTAAAGACGCAAATATTGTTTTTGCCTCAATTATTGGATTTTTCTTTTCCCCTGCTGATAGATGTTAACTGGATAACCAAAAGCCTCAGCATGTATCAGACATACTTCCACCAGCACTAAACCAGATGTGGATCTTCATTGAAATCTAAACTAAATAACGTGTGAATTTGGCCGTGCTGTAGTTTTTTGTGCAAATCTGTCCACTGTGTTTTTGTAATCTTTGAACTGTACCAACCTTTAACCTCAAATCAGAGAACAATATGAAAAAGTTACCTGTCAAATTACCTTCCTGGATGAGGTAAATAAGTGAATAGAATCAAGGTTTTTTTTATTTATAAATCAGCTAAGAGCAAAATAAGACCGTCATGGTCTTTGGTCCTCATTTCTCTGAAACCAAAGGTTTATAGTCTCAAAAACTTTTTTTTAGAGCAAGACCAATAGCTGAAACATCTGTATATTGTATCGTACACCTGAAAACATTTTGCCGCCAAACCTAACTCAGCCCTCAGTGCACTGCTGTTCCACCTTTCTGACACCAGGTGACTGAAGCTTGCAGTTCAGCTGGAGCTCCTCTGGGCTTATTTGGAGTTTATGTTGTTCTGGAAGCCTGCTGCATACCAAGGCGAAGACTCTGGGGGTTTAAATTTAGCCTTTTTAAAGATGATGCTTCCACAGCACAAACAGCTCTGCTTGGCTGGCATGAAACCGCACCAGAGGCAGGGCTCCAGTCGGGGCAGCACAAGACCAGCGACACTTAAACACCATTTTTATGGGGATAAAGTAGCATTTAAAAAGGAAATGCTCCAAACCACAAAGTAACGTTCAACATTTTCTGGGTGTCAGAACTGTGGGCACTGTGGACAAGCTGTCCAGTGGGGTATTGGGTATTAAAGAGTAGCTTCTTATAGTTGAGTTGGTGTAAAGTAACACAAGTGAAAAATAGGTTGAAATTGGTAAGGTTTAAGTGCTGAGAGCCGAAGTCAGTTTTCAATCAGAGCATGTGAAAAGCAAAAAATTAAGGTTCGACATCTTTCCAAAGGTACTTGTACCTGAACTTGGTCTTGAACCTTCTAACTAAAAGACATGGTAATTCATTCAAAGTACATTGTCTAACCAGTAAGACCTGGCACTTTTGTATCCAATTCTATGCTTATTAAACTTCACACATCTTTGTAATACAAGTGTTTTATACCAGCGAAAAAATGTACTTAAGCTCTGAACACAGCCTCACAACACAGTTGATGCTACAGCCATAAATTCAACAAAAGAAAGCTGCCACTTCAGCATTTTTTAACCTGTCTCTGAGTGTCCAGTTAAGGATATTTGCATGGAAACAAATAACTTTAAAAGGCTGTTTACACCCTTCAGTTTTACATTAAACGTGCAGGGACGAACAGAAAACAAGCGGCGCCGTGGACTCTAATTTCTTAAAAACTGTCCCATTTGAGTCATGGCATCATTATTCCTGTATGCAGCATTCCCTTCACGGCAGTATTAGATGACCTTGCTAACTTGGCCCCTTCGGTGAGCTATGGGCATGTCGTACAGCATCAGGTAAAGCTCCCACCGCTTGATATAAATCCAAAGTGAAGGATTTCCTCTGTATTGATTGAGCAGGCGGAGATAGAGGAACAGCAGTGCGTTCTCTGGCAGCTCTGAAGGACGTCCAGGCCGCCGTCATCCCCATTATTTACAGAACCTTGACGTAACGATGGCAGGACCCAAGACCACTCAGTTTTTACTGTGATTTCAATTTGTAAATAAGATGGGTGAGATTTGATTGGAAGAGTACCAGATTGATTGTTCAAAGTTGGATAACGTGAAGCTGCCTTTCCATTAAAGGCGTTTTTGCTTGTCTGCGTGGCCCCGGGTTGGACTGGCAACCCCACCTCTATTCCAGTGTCAATGGATAGACATGTGCCCAACCCAAATAACAATCAATGGATAGAACTCAAAGACATGTGTCTGCATTAATCTATTTCTAGCTTTAAGCTGGTGTTGGACAGGTGATATAATACACATAAACAAGAGGAAGGAAGAAGCTGGGTTCCAGCAACCCTGAACTTGAGTAAGCCGATATGGACGATGGATGGATGGATAAATTAATGGAAGGAGTAATGGAAAAGAAAATGGATGGATGCACTATGGCATGTATTGCTGACCCATACAGCAGATAAATTCAACTTATTTGATCAACAAACATTACGCAGTCATGATGAATATCCCGTTTGAATTATTTGCTCAGACTTAACTTTGACAGTTGTACAATCACGATATAAATCTCGTAAATTGAATTTCTTTGGCTTAGTTTTGTGTAATCCATGGTCCACAAAGGAGTTGGGACACTATCGAAAGTATAAGACAAGAATGCAAATAAGATGAAAAGATGCTTAAGAGAAGACAGAAACCACCTGAGATGTTGAAGATGAGAGATTTCTCTTTTTGATAGGAAACGCTTCCTTGTCTTGAAATTGATGGTAGCGACATGTTGCCACCAAAAAGATGAACTGGTGAAAGACCAGTAAATTGCATCAAAAGAAAACCTCAGAGAGGTAGAGTCTCTCAATTGTTAAGATGGACAGAGGATTACATTTTTAAAATTGACTTAATGTCATTGAAAAATTTCATTAAAACATTCTTCCATTTAAAAACAAACAAAATACCAACCAGAAATTACCATTTTTGGGAAATTTTAAGATTCAGGAAATCTGTTCACGCCTCCAGATATGGTTTCACAAAATTCACAAATTCAGGTTAAAGCTCTGCCATGCAGCGTTTTCTGAGTTGGTATTCTGAGTGTGAGCTGCTTATACGCTCATCAGTGTCCGCTGGCGAGACTCGACACAAAGTCGCTGAGGTGGTCCAGGCAGAGTTAGACAGAGTCCCAGCAGCAGCGTGAGCAGACTCTCAACATAAATAATTACCTTCATTAATCAACAGCGGACAGAGGAGGTGCAGCCGGTGAGCCTCTTTGCTTTGTGGACCATCCTCAGGTCACTCAGTCCATTTTGAACGTTGTCAAGTCTTCGATTTTAATGGTTTTTCCAATTGTGATCCGTTTTCTTCGATGTAGGCCCCACGTATCCACAGCTAAAGTCCCAACAATATAACTAGCTTATAACTAAGCTAGTCTTAACTAGCTTAGCTAGGTTTAACTAGCTTAGTTCTAGCAATATCGTACAATATTCTACCGTTTTTCTACAGCTGGAAATAATTGTTTGGTTTTGTTTTTGTTTGGTTGTGTCTTTTTGGCAACTTTTGAATCACAATGCCATTACTTCTAACATTTTTTTAACACTTTGAAATAGTTGTGTTGATGTACAGGTGGCCTGCTATCTCAAAACCATGACAATGAGTCGACATTTTGGCCACTTGGGGACAGCAGAGTTGGACCGAGACTGCAAAGTTGACACATGAAACCACACGTCAGCATTTCAGTTCTATCCTTGGCCTTAAATTAACTCGGTTTTATTTAAACGGTCTGCTGGTTGTAGTTTAGACGGTCCATTGCTTTAGCTTATCAATTTCCTGTCCGTTGCAGCACTTTGAATGTGAAAAACTTAAATTAGGCTCACGCAAAAAGAGACAGACAGTCCACTCTCATTGACGTGACATTGTGGAGTATGAGACAGCTTCTCTTTCTTTGATTAAAGTGGCTGAATTAACCACAGGCATTGGATTTAGCGACTGCCCGACATCGTGAAAATGGCCGTGTGTGATGAAAAAAAAATCTGGACTATAAACCAGGGGTTTTCAGGGAGTGTGGGAGCTATAACCTCTGTGTGTTTCAGGCAGAGTGGTGCAAAAACAAAACCTCTGATAGAACAATGTGCTCATTTATATGAAGAAATGGTCTGTTATCCTTAGTTTAACCTTCTGCCCACAGTTGAATGGAGCAGCAGCATTAAGCTTTGTTTCTGTCTTGTTCTCTTATGGTTAATGTTCTTGTCGCAGTGGACTAGAAGTGACCGTGAAACTTCTGAATGTAGATTGTTAGAAGGGAAATAAAGGCCAGTAACACCTTCAATTTGGATGTTTCAGTTTCTGTGCTGTCTTGGAAACGGCTCCTTCTGTTAGATGTGTGGATCTATCTGTGGAAGCTAAAACCTAAAAATGACATCTTACTGGTTCTTGTTGGAAGAGAGTTTGACCTCCCTCACAGACTGTTACTGATGTATCGCAGAATGCTTCATTGCACATTGATTTGATCCTGTACCGCGGTCTTCTTTCACGAGAACTCATTTATTAAGTTGAATCTGTTCGGAGGAGGGAGTACTTCTCTAATTATGTTGTTTTCTTCTGAGTCATTAAACTTGACATACGCCGCACTAACAGCATGACATTTTTTTTTTTAGCACTGCTTGCTCTCGGGGGTCGAGAGCTCCGGGAAGGAAAACCAGCTCAGTCAGTCTGAGATTGATGTTCTAACATCACCTGACTTCTCCGTGTTTCCTTTTCACTGCTCGCAGATGTAAACAACCTCTGTGCAAAACGCGCGAGGACAGTTTATTATGTCCAAGCTTCCGCGACACACATTTAGGGGCTGCATCATTGAAAGCTGCTCGAAAGCAACATGCATGCAAACCACACCAAGAAAATCCAATTTGTTACAGGAGCACTGTATAAATGTGGGAGTCCGCCATCCATGGCAGAGGACCGCGAGGCAAAGCGACTGCACAATTCCCTTTTTTTCTTTTTAATTATAGGGCTTTGACGTGTGGTGCATTATTCATTCACACTTGTATTTACACACCTACACAAATAATGTATATCAAGCATGGCACCGATAGCATATTAAACACACCCTGGCTACCTGATTTATTTATACCTATGCCACTTTTTTATTGCAGGCTACGCTACTGCAACACTCCCCCTTTCCGTTCTACCCAAAATGAAAATGAAAATACAACAAAAAACAATAAATCAACTTAAGTTTGCAGGACGTTTTATACCTGCACTTGAATATCATAAATGTGAGCTATAAAAATTTTTTGTTTTTGCAGACAGAACAGGAACAGAATGGAAAATCATCATTTTTTCATCATATGTGCCTCCAGTGAATTAAAGATATTGTTTGAATTTATGACTTGAAATACATAGCAGTTTATTTAGTAGCTTATTTTAAATGGATGAAGCAACATGTTTGAATTTTTTCCAATAGTTAACTTTTCATTTTTCCATGGGTATTTATCTGCCAACCTGCTGTTGTCGGTGTTAACAGGAACAAATCCGTGCTCTGCCTTTTTGTTTGTAGAAATTTTTATTTTATTTTTTTAAATGATGTGTCAACCTGAATCAAATCTGGCCCATGTAGAGAAATTGGAAGCGCTAAAACAGGAGTCACTTGTCACACCGAACGATGACAAGAGGAACAGAAAGTGACAAAGTGACAGAGTACCACAGAAATAACTAGAAGTTAGAGCGGGGGGGGGATGCAAAGCTTGTGGAACATCTTATGTTGCTCTGGTTATTCACCTCCAGGGTTGGACCACACATTAAGATAAAAACTGCTTTAACCCAGACCTGTACAAGTTAGCGGCATGGGCATGTGATTAGACGGTTTCCAAAGGGCTTTTAAAATGGAAAGAATCATTCACAGGCATCAGGTTCCTGCAACATTCAAAGTGATGCTCCGTGACGTGTAGCGTAAGTGACTTTGCATTTCACTTCTATGGCTTTTTCTGTCTTTGAAACGTCTTGGAATTGTTATGTTTCGCTGTATTTGGCCATGTTTTTGTGGTTCGCATGAAAGGGTTCCGTAACAATGCACAGGATGTGTTTTGTAGTCCATCTCTGGTTTAATTATAGTTTCTCCAAAACAAACCCACACCTCAGGGCAGCGTGTGTGCAGCCAAGTTCTCGCTGCACAGCTGTCTTTACAGTGGGCCTCATTAATTCCTTTTACCATCCTTTTCCTGAGTTCACAAAAGAGTTCAGGGCAAAGTATGTGGGAACTCCTTAGCGAGGCAACTTTTGTATCGATTGACATTGTTTGAATGCAGTTAGACTGATCTGGGCCACAACTAATCTGATTGCGTAAGTTTCAAGTGTATTGGATTAAACTAATTGTAACTGATTTTAATTGGAGTTTGTCTTATTGGATTCTTTAGACTTTCTCTAATGTGCTTTGACAGAGTTGGTAAAATGCAATTGAAATTTAGCAGAGCAACGCTTGTTTAAACAATAATAGCTTTTGTGGTGTGCAGATATCATTCCTGGAAGCTCAGTGTAGCTTATCAGTTTTGGAGGATGGGCATCGGGAGCTAATATCCCTCCAACCCAGTTACAAATATGACTTGTTTGTATTTGACAGTAAAAGAGTCAATAGCTGAGAATCCCCAATGAGGGCCCAGATGTTGGAACTGACTGTAGACTGTTGAAATATCTATGAGGGCACAACAAAATGTAAAAGAGCTGAAACACCAGCTTCTCAGTCCTCTCATGATTCCGTTTTGGATTATGCAATCGTCCTCATCCGTTTCTGTCCGTGCACTTCTTCAGGCTCTTCGTTTTGAATTTTGAAACAAGACTGGCTCATTAATAACCTCATGATGTACGGTCTGTGAACATATTTGACAGATCCCTCATGAATGAAAATAGTCTGTAGATGTGTGATGGTTTCCAGCGGGATGCTGGACAGTTAAGATTAGTCCACAATCCTTCTTGGATGCAGGCTTTTTATAGACTCTTTTGATGTCATGTAAAAAAACAAAGATTTCAGTCATACTTTGTAAAAAATGGCTTCTAGTGGGCATCGATACGAGTCCTTACCAGGCCTATCAGGTTGCAGTTCTCACACATCCACACGGTATCTGCTTTGCTGTTCGTGTTATTAGCAAAGCTTCACTAAAAACAAGCAGCTCACGCTGTACTTAGCACCCTGCCTGACATTTATGAGAAACTCGAGCCCTGAGCAGCCAGACCAGTTTAAACGGACCGCACTCTAAAACAGTGCGAACAAGGAGACGGTTTTGCTGGAATTTTCTCAATCCTTTTATTCTCGAGCCCCCTTTTTTTTTTTTTACAATTTGCCTTTCCTCCCGAAATCCGGCCCATGTTAATCTCCACTGGGCGTGTGCAAAGCATGTGCGTCAAAATAGCCGCGTTGAGGGATCGAACAGATTCACCTTTTCTCAAGTTCACATTGGTGGCAGCGCCTGGTGAGTTGTGGGAGTTTATTTGGCACGCAGGAGCAACGGGAGCTCTCGGGTTTCGGCTGGTGAATTCATTAGGCCGCGCACACACAGACACACACACACAGACACACACACACACCTGTTGCTGTCACACACACGGCCGGCGGTTCAGCTCCGAGAAGAAGAGGCAACAAGCTGGAAATACGGGGGATATGTTCATAAGGATCTACATAAAAGGAATTTAGTGATCAGTTGGACAAAGCCTTTATTTCTTTTTCTTTCATTTTTTTTACGTGTTTGAGGAAAAGTCGGACTTTCGGATTCAGAGGACGAGTGGGGTCCGTTGGGTGGGAGCAGGGTCAAGTTCCCACTCTACATACAGTTGGAGGCTGAAGCATCCACCCATCCCTCGCTTCCCACCTCCTTTTGCAGGCCAGGGCCCTATACATAGTAATGAAGCTGATCTTTAGCTGTTTGGCAGATGGTCGCATTGCTGCTGCGAGGATCACTTTGCTTCAGATTCACCAGATTCTCTGGCTTTGATACAAGTCAGGAGTGCAGACAGAGACAGAAACTGTCTCAAAGTGTCTTGGCCGTGGGTCCACATGGGTACACGTCTTCAGTGTTTGAGATCTTTTCGTGGCAATTCGATCCACATTAAAAACCCTCGTACAGCGTTTCCTGTGGTTCTATTTATTTACAAATATGTTGGCTCTTCCTCCCATCTACTCTTCCTCCTTTTTGCTTCTCACCTCTTCGATGACTTGGTGTCATTGGGTGCATCTGGTTTTCGGATCTCACTGCCGTTTGCTTCTTTTTGGGACAAAGGAAATCGCATGACAAAGGAAATCTTTCTCACATTTTGGCTAATTCAGATTCCGTCTGAGTCACGGCATTTTTTTTCTTGTCATTAAAACTTAGTAACAGTCTGAAACTCCATCCAGCATAACATTTTGGAGGTTTGAGTTTGTTTCATATGTAAAATGAATGACTATATTTATGACCTCTGAGTAGCTTTTAGTTAGTCAGTCTTTTCTTTACTCTCAGGAAACCTGGAAATTCCCCAAACTGGAGCTGTCTTAATATGAAAAATGGCTCACAAAGCGTACTGAAAAAAAGGTTTATATTAAAGCCTCCTGGCCTTCAGGATGGAATATTTAATTAAACTGGTAAGATCCTGTCTGACCGTTTGCCTCATCCATATAAAAGGCGTGGCGCTGAACATGCAAACCACTATACAAATATAGTAAGCAGTTAATGATGCCAGAGCATGCTAGTTTTATCAGGCCATCAGAATCCCAAACAGCTAAGTAGAAAGACGTGCATTTATTTTATCTTAATGAGGTGGCAAATCTTTGGTTGTCCGGTAGCTGTATTAGATTTCTATATGTCTCTTAATATCCATCAAACTATGTCGATGCTGTGCTTCTCAAACATCAATATTGTGGAAAGATTCCTAATTAACAGTCATTTCACACACATTCTAGTCAGAACACTTGTTTTGCGACACATTTGTGAGTGTTTGTATATATTTAATTCACTTAACTAGTTTCTGATGCAGTTTTCGATTACAGGAAGAAGTCAGCAGCAGATATAATTAAGTAAAATCTAATTTCATACCATGAGTCAGGTATTGAGTTCTGTCAGGTGTTGCTGCAGCAGGCAAATGGTAAATACTGCCCATGTTTGGAGCCCAAGGCTGGTCACCTTGCTCACTCAGCCACCATAAGTATCATTGTTACCCCTCTGAAAACGTATGCTTCATTTCTTTCATCTGCTGAATGAGCATTGAAGTCTGCCCAGAGAAAAGACACAATTTCCCTTGTCTTCATTTAATTTCCATTCGCATAACAGCATGAAATTACTGGCAGGCAACAATTGTCCTCTTTTATGGAACACAGGAAATGAAAGTGAGGCTTTTTAATGCAGGTAAAACGTTTGTTTTATCTCATGTGGTGAAAAGATGAAAACCCTTTCAGTTTTTTTCATCTGCACGGTATTAATTTTCCATTCTCGCCACATTTTGAGTTTTAGGGTTGGTGAGACATTGTTTGAAACCTTGGCGGGGTCTATCACTTTGCTTTCTGAGCCCGTGGGTGCTTTTCAGCCAGTACCTAAATCCATTGAGTTAATGCTGCTGTGAAAGAGGTGGGAGCCAGAACCATGGCAACCATCAGCTTTAGATGAGTGTGGGATGCAAGCCGGCAGGAGACGCGCACACCAAACACACACAGGCACACACACACACTCACACTCACTCACGCACAATCAATACCCGTGCAAATAGAGCCCGACCGTCCGTATCCCGACAGATACAGATGTTCAATTGCTGGTTGCACTGGATGACTCCAGGTCCTCCTCTTTCTCACATTCTTACACTTTTTGTGACGGGGATAGAAACCATTTTTCTCCAAGCTGGTTTCCTGTACTGTTATTGATTATTTTCTTCCCTGCTTCTCTTATTTGTAGTTTAAATCGATGCATGTTGTGTATTGAATCATGATGTCTCCTCCTTTTTCCCCCTACTTTGTTTCTCTGACACTTCGGGTTTCACTGTCATGCTGTGAGTGAATGGTGCAAATCTGTTGTGTTTCCTCATTCAAAGTTAGACTGGCATCTTTTTATTTGGGTTAGGTCTCTGTTGGAGCGTTTTCTGGCATTTACACTCTCCTCTCTTCCCTGTCAGGATGATGAAGTGGTGCTCCAGTGTGTGTCCACCGTCGAGAAGGAACATCGAAAGTTCTGTCTGGGTGCAGAGGGGCTGGGGAACCGTCTTTGTTACCTGGAACCCACATCTGAAGCTAAGGTGAGCCTAGCATGTGTTTGAGTGGGCCGATGGAGACTTCACAAACAAACGGCAACAGTTTCAACTTTATACTTTATAAGGAAAGTATGAAATGTGACTTGACAAATAATTTACTACAGTAACATTCAAAGAGGAAACGTGAATACTTTAAATCAGCTTCCCAAAGATGAGAATATTCTAGCATAACTATATAAAATCATCAATAGTTTAATCCACAACAGCATCCTACTGAAGGTTTTTCTGTAATTCAATCCTTGAATGAACAAAGTGGGGGGCCTGTTCCCTTTTTGAATAATATGGACATGAAATGTTGAAAAATATTGCGCCGAAAAATTTCATGTTAGATTAGAAACTCCAGGCAAATTATTAGAATGGACTACAGATTCTGCTGAACGTTTGTGGTGCAAATTAAAGCAATGTTTAGACTAAAACAAGGCAAAAAAGTCCCCATGACATGTTAAAGAAAGTGGCACCTCCTCCACTGCAGAGATCCAGCTGCATATCATCCACAGAGCATTTTGCAGTTGTGTTTCACAGCTGCTGCCACTCAAAACGACAAACAGAATACAAATAAAAATGAGCTGATGCATTTGAGAAGGCTTTGACATCTTATTGATTTATTTTGACTGAGCCATGTTTCTGATTTGGGGTGTTGTAGCATCACAATTGAACTGTCAGTGCGCAATTAATCTTTTTTTTTTATCACATGAAGAAAGTCAAACCGTTTTCTATTTCCGGGCGTATAATTGCCATATTTAATGTTTATGAATATTTTTCCGAAGCCACAGTCGGTGAACCTTTTTACACGTGCTTTGCATTCCAGGGCGATGCTCTCATTTTTTTACCAGCTCATGACTTTCCGGTGCTAGGTTAGGATTTTTTCTATGAGCTGTGCGTAAACTGTGAAATTAAGCTTTAGATAATTGGAGCACAGGATTTTGCTAACTCGCCAGGAATGGTTGTGGATCGGGAGAGACACCGGCCGAGACAGAAAAGTGGGCATGGCGAAAATTTCTTGGGGGGTGTCATGAACGGAATTTCAGTCAGTCCAAAGTCTAAATTCACCAAAGGACAAATGTTTCCTTTGAAGCTGATCGTTAAATAACTGGCATTTCCTCAGTTAAGCCACAATGATTTTTTTCTTTTGTGTACACACCTGCCATTCTTTCTTCATACTTGGATACTAAAGGACAAAAGTAGACGAGTTTAATCTTTTTCAGTTGCTTAATGCACACCCCAAACTGTCTGCTGCTTTTTGCCTGAAGCCCATTTGTCCCTACTAAATGTTATAAACACTATATTCAGATATAAACCTGCTTTCTATCTGCCTGATTTTGATCTCCTCGGGAGTTTATTGTATTCATTTTCACAGCTCAGACTTGCTCAGTCTTTTTGTAGAATAGGAAAGATCTGGAGCCTCTAAATGAGAATTGGACAGCCTTGTCTCTTAACCAGACGAGGCAGGATGTTCAGTAGGTCTGCTTAACCCCGCGGGAGGATAATTGGAAAATTGAAGGTGAATAATTCATAAGCGGCGTCAGATTTTGCAACATGTTGCAGGTTATCGCGGCAGATGCCATGTCACGTCGACTCGCACATGAAAGGCTTTTCTCCGCGAGTTTTCTGAGCTCTGGGAAACACCGAGCTCGAATGGAGCCGGTCAACGCTGGCCGCTGGCCGCCGCACACAGTAAACCTGACACAGTTGCCCTCGGAGGTTTCAAACTATGTTTGTGTTGGAGTTCCAGAGCGGCCACATCCTCATTATCACCCGGCTAGCCCTCGCCTGCGCTCGCGTTTCTCACTTCCCCGCAGGGGTCAAAGGTCAGCTGGTTGTGTTACCGGCTTAGGATGGGCACCCTGTACCGTTTAAATCACCCCCCGTCTCCGCTGGAAAGAGGCCGGTTGTTTTTATGAATTGACGATGCAGTAAAAGTTGCTCCATATGTCACAGATATCCGGATCCCTCTGCTGATTGGACCATGGAAGTGTAGCTGATTAATGGTCGCTCAGTTTTCATGCCAGTAGCTCGCACGTCCTGTTAATCAATGGTGTCATCTAGCATTTCACAAGTTAATTAATGTGAATACGCTGACATGCACACACTGACGAATAGGTCTCTGCTTTTGAATTGCGAGTAATTTAAGAATAATGCAAGGTCAGGAGCACCATTTTCGTTCCTCAGCACTATCATCTCGGCATCTGCTCTTTGAATAAACCGCACCGTTCTAAAGTCATCTTAGCAGCAGAGCGATTCATTTGTGATCAGCAGTTATTAAGGGGATTGTAAGGACTGGTTTTCATTCAGCAAACCTGAGTAGAGGCTTATTACACTGTAGAGCTCCCCCCAACCCCCCGACCCCGTTTCCTGAAGAATAATAAAGCCCAGCCAAACGAGTTATTGGTCACTGCAAAGTCTGCACACCTTTAACAGCCCCTGAGATCCCCAGCCACTCGTTAGTAAGAGCCTGGAATTGCAAAGAAGTCCCAAGTTATCAGAATTATTTATAAGTGCAATTCCCTCCAGAGCCTCGTTTCAGCCCGGCTCAAATCAGGGGCCAGAGTTAAATTAGGGAACATCTGTGAAATTATCATCATTTGAATGAGAATGTGAATATTTGCAATTTGATTAAATTCTGTTGCAGGTAACATGCAAAAGTTCCCAAACATTTTCCACCCCGTCAAAGGTCTGTTTGCGGAGTTTAAGTTTTGCTGCATGCATAACTTCCTGGTTTGTTTTATCCATGTTTACACCTCAGACACAATTTAGACACACTGCAGCACACCGTTGTCTCCACTCCTCAGAAACTTTCAATTCGAGGATTCAGGGAAGTTTTTTCACTCGTTTAACTAAAAGAAAAGGGAGATTGGGGGTCGCCGCTTGCTTTTTGGCCCAATAGGTAAGAAAGAGAGGCTAAACTCCATGAAAACAGATTTTTACTTGTTCCTCTTCACCTCATGCCTATTTTCTTCTGTTCTTGTCCTGTCCAAACTTTCATTTTTCCCCTTGACTTCTCTGTTTTGCAGCATGTTCCTCCAGACCTGTGCATCTGTAACTTTGTGTTGGAGCAGTCCCTGTCGGTCCGGGCCCTGCAGGAGATGCTGGCTAACACTGGGCAGAATGGCGAAGGGGTGAGTCCCCCTTTCCCCCTCTACCCCTCTGATCTCTTTCTGAAGTTCATATGCACTTTAAAATGCTCGTGTAGACCAAAACATTCACACCTGCTTGCACAAATGAATCGGTCTTTTAATACGCTGGTGCCAGATGGTTGTGGATAATTTTCTTCTTCACAGGCTGAGTTGACGTTTCGGCTCTCTATTTTTGTTTTCTTGCCTGTTACTTTCGCATGAGATCAGTGTAACGGAGTAATATTCTCTGCACTGACATGCGGCGAACACAATTTTAAGACCGCGCTTCAACCCTCCCGGACGGAGCAGCTGCTGTTCAGGAAATGCAAATGCACCGAATCCGCCAAAAGCAGCTTCTCAGCTAAAACGCTGGAAGCTGTCCAGACATGTCCGAGGTATCTCGATGCTGATGATGCTGTTTCCAAAACCATCTTTCAAATGCTCTCCAACACATTCGACACGCCAAATTGGGACACCAACCGAGGATTAATACAACATTTGTCATGCGAATAATTCACTTGTACACTGCAATATGATCCTTAAAAAAATCTCATGCTCTAAAGTGAGACTGACCACGAAAATGGCCATGTTGGTCATTTGTTGATGCAGGCAACAGAGATGAGAAACCTTCAGCTGTGATGAAAATAACTTAATTTAGAGTGACAAAAAGAAAAAGATTTATTCTAATTTCTCCTTTTTTTGTTTCAATCTTATTTTTTTTATTATTAATTTTTAAATGAATTATGTAGCCCTGCAAAGTCATGTTCTGTCTAAACCCAACCAGGTTTCAGTTATTATTGACTGATGGAAATTTCTAATTTAAAAAAACATTTGGTCTTACCTTGGCGTCAAATGAGCATCTTATGGTTTATTATTATTATACCATTCTCTTCCTCATCTTTTTTTAGGCATATGCAGTTTGTTTGTGGTTTGTGAAAGAAAATACTTGAATAACATTTGCTTCAAAGAAAGATGCCTATTTAAAGGCATGTGAAAACCACCTATTTTAATGTTTTTATACGTGTGAAATGTTACAAAAAGGAACAGTTGGCCAGCAGTAACAAAAGCATTGAAAGCAGATTTTGGTTAAACAACAATAATTATGGGTTTAGGGCTTTAATTTATTTGGTCTAGAAAATAGTTTTCTGCATCTACTGAGTTTCACTCCACATCGGGAGTATTTGGTTCAAAGTATGACAATAGGCCGTTAAATGCCAATAAATTAGATTTATTTTTTAGGCTGGTAAAAACCGCTGAGCAACAAATCCAAGTATTGTTTATTCTAGTAATCAAACCACATCCACTTTTAAACCAAGAAACCTACACATACAATTATACAGAGAGAATTGATCCTTTTATTCCCAAACAAACTGGAAAGAAATGAGGAGGTTTTGATTAAGGGAACGGCCACCGGGGTAAGGAAAAGGACAGAAGTGATCTGTGAGTGCTGTGCTGCATCCACGCCATCTCTCTGCACTGTCTTTATTTACACTAAACAGTGCAAACCTCTTACTCGTGGCCCCGCTCCAGCTCACTCAGCATGTTTATCGGAGCAAGGTAGGTAATCTTGAATCCTGCAGATTGGCTGTCGTTGTGAAGGGGGTGTTATCCATAACAATGAGCCATGACAAACCCACGTTACAGTAGTAGCTGATATTCACTCATGCTTCTGAGTTTCTAACCTTTTTTACTTTTATTTTTTCGTGGGTTGCTTAATCACAATTGTAGATCCAATTAAATAGTCACAGCCAAAGGAGAGGATGGCAAAACGTATGAATGGGATCTCTTCACTCCAATTGTATTTTGGGGAAACAAAACTAAGAGAAAACGGTGCTTAATTATCTTAAATCTTGTGTTTGAAGTTAGTTGCTTTTTACGGGTGGCAGTTATTTGTTCATCTTTCTGTGTTTAAATTGCTTTTCCTAGTGAATACCTGTGGTCTGAACCCTTTTTAAGGCATACTTCGCCCGATGGATCCAATTCTATTTGTCATGAGATGAAACATTAAACAGACCACCGGTATTCCAGGAATAAAGACGACAAAACCCAAGTAGCATGAATTACTGTGCAGAACAGATGTGGCAATTTCAGGAACTCGAGCACGATGCAGCATTTGAAATGATTTGAAATAATCCCACTATGCTCATGCACACTGCGCCATGTTTGGGGTTTTGCTGGATTCCTGTGGCCACAACTGTCCCTTCGTGCACAACAAAGCCTTCTGGCACAGATGGTTCTTTAAGTGTCTTTTTTTTTTTGTAAACCGCTTGGGTCCTCTCCTCTGGAGAGTCAGGCCTGCATTGTTATTAGCCTGGGTAGCAGATTTGTTCTGTGCTCAATGGTGCAACATTGTTGGCTGGCCTTGTTTGGCAAGACAACATGATGTTGGCTAGAATACAAACTCTCTGGTAGCAAGGCTAATAAATCATTCTACTTTCCACAGTATTATCCCATATCTCCCCCCATTGTTGCTCTCAGATTTGTGTAATTGACCGCCATACATCCCAATAACACACTCTTTTTATTTGTATTTGTTTGTTACTAGAGTGCTGACCATGACAAATGGGTAGGTCCATCAGTCTGTTCATCCATCATGTTGTCAGTGTGCATGACGACAGACCTGCTGCTGAATAAAAGGGTTCAAGTTCAGGCACTTTCACTCAATGTAAACGCCTATTTCCCAATTGCCATAGCTGCGTTTTAGCCTATTGGTACATTTCTCCTTATACATAGAGCTACACTTCTCCAAGAGAGGAAATTAAGCTTTTTCACTTATTATCAACTTTTTATTTTTCATTTTACTTTACTTTTCCTTTATCAATTCGGAAACAATCTCATAACAAATGTTAAGTTCTAGGAAAATGTCTATAAACTGTGAACTTCATATGGCAATCCTGAAATAGGCATTCACTGGTGCTGTCACCTGATGGACATTAGTGACTGTTTTGCTTGACCCCCTTTTGAAGACCACTTTGTGTGCAAATGTGCAACCCCTAAGAATCAGGTCTGCTTGCCATTTGTTTAAAAGCATTAATAATCCTACTATTTGCTTTTTATCGCATTCATTCACAAAAAACACGTAACCTGCGCAGATCAAGTATTTTGAACAGCCAATGAAAGTGAATTTTTAAACCATTTGAGCAGATTAAATGAAGAAAACTCTGAAAAGCTGCACACTGGTGGAAACCCGAGTTTGTGATTTGGGTGTGCTGTTCTGTTTTCTCTGAGTTTGGCCTCTAACCAAAGGTGAAGGGCATCGACAAGAGGAAATGTCCTGGAATCAGTTTTGATTTCAGAGTGCTTAAATGCACGACCATAAAGAGGGGATGTTCCGATCAGGATTTTTTTTCTTATGTTCCAAGCTACCTCGGATAGCCTGGCCTATATGGTTCTGATTATTTTGAGTGTTAATCACTAACTTTTCCATCATCCATGGAGGCACACATCACCATAACCACATTAATTTAAATCAGTGCCATGTATTTTAACCACGTTTGAATATTAGAATGTATACAAAATGCTTTTCAGATAAAACTGTTAATTAATGCAAGTTGTCCAGCAAAAAACAAAACAAAAAAAACAAAACAAACATTAAAGAAAAAAAGAAAAAATTCTTAAAACTGCTGAGCAGAAAAAAAAGCTCCATATTTTTAATTGGTGTACATGACCATATGTTTATGGTCCTCATTGCAGTGTTGTGACTTGGTGATCTCAGACTGATCCAGCTGACACAAAAGCAGCAGCACAGCCGGTCTGTCTTAGTCCGTTTTATTCATTCACAAAACTTGAACAAATATATTTGTTATTCTTTAATAGCTTAAGAACTGACAAATCCCCCAAATAGCCCGCTGACACGATGCAAACAGACTCTTTAGCACAAATCCGACTCTAGTTGTTCGGGATGCAGAGCTTTAAACAGGAGGGGCGACACACCAAAGGTCACAGTTCCTGGCACTGATGTGTCAGCATGGCAGTGGGCCTGAATTACCGACTGACACTATGCGTGCCCCCCCCCCCCCCCCCCCCCCCCCCCCTTCCCCCCCCCCAGCTGTTGCAGGATACTCTTCCCATTTTTCTTTTGATCAAACCCTCCATTTCCTTTTTGGTCTGTCTTATACAAGCCATCTGGGAGAGACGGGAGGGTCGTATGCAAGTGAGCGCTGGGGTTTCCTTTAGGTCAGTTTAATGTGACCCCGCCAGCAAACACACAAATTAGTGCTGACAACTGGACAAGGAAGTGGATAGCCTCTATATGGGCTTATTGCATAAACACTGCTGAGTGTAAGCCCTCAATTGTTCCTTTAAGAAGTTTAGAGAAACAAATAAATCTGACAAATTGGAGGGGTGTGAACTAATAATAATCGAAAGTCCAAGGTTTAAAAAGATTGCTTCCTATACTTTTTGGGTTTGACTAATAATCAAGTTGAAGGTTAAGTGACTCGGTAACTGCAGAAGACCAGTTCCAAAGTAGTAGTTTTCATCCAGCTCATGATATTATCTCTGTCTGTCACTCTGCTGCTAGAGGGTAATTAAAAAGGTAGGTACTCGTTTGTGTGGTTGACATGATGATTCTGATGGTATTTGTTCACGTCTTTCCTCACATTTCCTCCTTGGTTTTGCTAACGTTTGTCGAAGTTATCCTTGTTTGTCACTTGAATGAGCAAACGGTTTCCATGTGCTGCCACGTCTGTACGTTTTTTTTGGGTCTGTTTTTCGTTGTGAATGTGTTTGTGTGTCTGTATGGAAATATTTCTGTCCGTTTCCTGCTTGCACTTTGAATGAAGGATGAAATAAAAGATATTTTGACTCGCATATACTTTGCTCTCACAGGACTTAAAGCAAAGGAAACGTATGCGACACACACGATATTAGCTTTATGCTCGACAGGGTCCAGGGGTCAGAGCTGTCTGGGTGCGATAATAATCTGTTCCCTTTTTTTTTTTTGCTGCTAGTCGGGTCAAGGCGGTGGACACAGGACCCTGCTTTATGGACATGCCATTCTCCTACGCCACTCCTTTAGTAGCATGGTAAGTATTAAAACGGCTGTGTGGTGATTGTCCAACATGGAGCCGACTGGTTAACAAAAAATACAAGAAATTTCTGAATATTCATTGTGAAAAAAGATTTTCTTAATGTGTACTTAATTGATAACTACACAGAAAGAATAAATCCATTCCTTTTGATGATCTTTTTCTAAAGGATGTTGGTTCCAAGCCATCAATTTTCTCAAATTTGCACCGTATTTGAATGAGATACATTTCCCCTCAAAGCTACTTTTAGTGTCTTCCTTGACCTAACACTAAGTCATTGTTTCCGCACCAGTACTTGACCTGTTTGAAGACATCAAGGTCTCTAACAGACAAGCTGTCATTTGACGTTGGACTCCAAGAAGATTCAATAGGTACAGTTTAACCGACGGGCATGGCTCACCTCGTTCGGCCTTAGTCCTCCTGAGCATTCATTCAGTCCGCTTTGCTTAACCTTGAGACTGAATCAGTATTCATGAGGAAATACTGTGATACAGCGTTTGTGTGCTGTGTGGAGCAGTGCTACATTTGACATTTAAACTGCATCAGAGCTGAGCAAGAACATTAATAAGATGGAAGCAGCTCATCCACAGCTCCCTCAGACGGATTCTTTTTTTTTGTTTCTTGTAAATTGGGATTTTGAAAATGGTGAACAAATTTAACTTGTTCACCAGTTTATAGAGTGTGTTTTGTACTTGTGAATAGGGGAATCCTGCTGGTGGACCATTCACCCCGCGTCCAAGCAGAGGTCTGAGGGGGAGAAAGTTCGCATCGGAGACGATTTGATTCTCGTCAGCGTGTCAACGGAGAGATACCTGGCAAGTCTGCAGCAAAGAAACTGTCAGAAGTGTCCCTTTTCAAAACTACTGTATTTGATCTGTAACCTTCGCGGTCATCTGTCTGAAATGATTCAGCATTGGGGTTGCTGAGAGTCGAGTGCTCCCAGCTTCTCCTCAAAAAGCAGGAAAGCGTAGAATTGTAGAGCTGAGCATCATGTGATGAACAAAAAACCATCTGTCATAACCTCATGATCACAAAGTGGAGAAAATCTCGTAGAATTAGTCACAGTCTCAGTTTGAAAAGTAGTTTTCCTGGTCAATATTTGGTCCGTTTATATATAGTCTTATTTTGGAATTAAACAAATAACCTTGTTTTTTACTTTCAGTGTAGAAACTGAGATTATTTTTGTGAATGTTTTTATTTCTCGAGAGAGCTGCCTGGCTTCAAACTGGAGAGGATTTATTTTTAACAAATACATCGAGGGGTTGGTGATGTGTTGCTATTTGTACGGCAAACAGCCCGACACAGCAGGAATCGCCAGCTTTGATTCACCGTCTGTCTCCAAGGGCGTTCTTTAAAGATTTCATAGCTTTTGGGCAGCTCTGATACTCGTCTCATTCCAGCCAACCTCAGACTGACAAGGCAATTTAAGCCCAGGATTGGAAAAGTTTACAACACTATCTGCAATGGAGATTCTATTACCTGTAAAGTCCCTTTGCACAGTCTCATATTGGGGGCGAAAAAAAAAGTATTTGAACTCATCCTCCTGAGTAATGGGCTCAAAGTTAAAGGCATCCCCCTTATTTAGAGCCGTACACCCGACCTAATTTAACTGGTTCGCTAAAGGAGGAGAGGATGGTTTTAAGTGGGAGAGAGAGGAAGTGGGAGAGAGAGAATTGGCCAAAGGGAGGGACAGCAACGTGCTGTGCATGGGAGAGTTTGGAGCTATGTTCTGTAGTGGTTGCTCTGGCCCTTGGGGGGTACGGAAATGTTGCAATTAAAGCGAATCTGGCAATGAGCCAGACATTTATCAACAGAAAAGGCTGATTGAGCCAGGCAGAAAGTCTGCTTTTTGAGGGTAGTATGCATCAGGAAAAAAGGCAAAAGCATTCAGTTCACCATAATTGGGGGTATCGGACATCATGCCGCAAACTTTCAGAGGATCCAAGCAGTTGTGTGTGTGTGTCCAGTGAGATCGCTCTGCCCCGTGTCTGGCTTAGGCCTGCTTTGCCAGTGTACAGCAGAGATAATGGTAAATAATTATATAATTGAAAGCCAGTCATAATTATAATCCAAGCATCGAGGCTCAACACTCCATTAATCCATATAATCGTGGGACAAAAGGGTTTTGTGTGTGTGTATGTGTGTGTGGCGAGATTTGCAAACACCAATGCGAACTGTAAAAACTTGATGCCCATATTTGGGTCAAAATAATTAATCTGTGTTGTTACTTTGTGTAACCCCTATCAAGTTCACTCATGGGTTTTTACAGTTGGCAGGCAAATGGTTCCAAACATTTCACTACAGTAAAAGCCTTTTTTTCATCCTTTCTAATGAAGAGAAATGACTCTAATCAGGTAAATAAAGTTGGGTTTCAGCATCTTTTAAGGGTTTTTCTGCTTTTGCCTTGTTTGTCTTGGTAAAAAATATGCTTTTTCAAAACACAGTTTATAAAAAATAATCAGATTCAGTTTTATGTGACACTGATTTTGAGGACAAGAAACAAAATCTGGATGCCTAAAACCTTTTTGTTTTCATCTCTGAAAGCTGCTCTAATCTATATTCACCAGCTTCAGCCCCCCTTTTACAATCTTTATTGGGAACAATTGCAGCTGCCCTAGAAGTCCACAACTCTGTCTGAACTCCGTCTGCTTCTCCCCTCCAGCATCTCTCGATGTCCAACGGCAACATTCAGGTGGATGCGTCTTTCATGCAGACCCTGTGGAATGTCCAGCCAACCTGCTCCTCAAGTAACATGGCTGTCGGTGAGTCCTTTAACCTCTGTAAAAGCAGCACAAACGTCAGAGAGGAATTACCGCATTGCATAGAACGCTTCACACCTCATTATTATCTTCTTTAAGAACAACGTTTCTGGTATGGCTTATTTATTATTTACTGTAGAGACGCAGTAACACGATAATGTTTTGCAAGATTAAGATAAGATGATGATTGATTTTATATCTTTTTTTATTAAAAACCATTTGTAGGGTTTTTGACTGGTGGAAATGTTTTGCGTCTCTGTCATGGGCACGATGAGAGCTTGACCATCCCTGGAGCAGACAAGAGTGAAGCGGAGCAGAGGTCAGTTGTATACGTTTTTGACAGATTTGTTCAAAATTGTGACCATGAATCACAATTTTAAACATACAGTATGAAACTTTCAAAGAGCATTTTTTTAGATGATATATGAGACTTAACATCTTTTCCAGACAGTTTTTCATTAAAGCCATCTTATTCAGTAAATGCAAGGAAACAATAATGCTGCTGAAAAACTAAGATGCTTTTCCTGGTAAACAATTCCGAAGGTTTATTTTTTTAAATCTAATGATTTTCTTGACTTGAAGGACTGAAATAACTGAGGCCTGTACTGTCTTTGTGCTCGCAGAATAGTGAACTATGAGGCTGGTAAGGGAGCATCGAGGGCCCGCTCTCTGTGGAGACTGGAGCCTCTCAGGATCAGGTAAGACTTGATAAAAGATTTAACAACAGACGTCTGCCAGAAGTACACACACTCCTATCATAGTAGGACATTCATGAACAATGAAAAGACTGTTCTTTATTTATGAATCTCACATTGTAGATTATATATAAACGTCTACTCCCCCTGCCCCTAGCTGCCACCACAAATTAGTTTGCAGAGTCCTGGAGAAGGTGATGTTTGCCATTCTTTTCAGTCTACATCTCTTCTGTCAATCACCCTCTCCTCCTATTTCCTTTCCGTTCTATAACTGGCCACCTACGCACTTTTCCTGCAGTGAAATTGACATGCAGACCCAGAGAGAGCTGGCAGTCTGAGTTTGTATACTCTGTTTACCTCCGGTGGGGTCTATGGCCATAAAGGTTTGGTACTTTTAAAGGGGATAATAGAGGTGGATAACAATCCCTTTCATGCTATACTTAAAAAATCAGTCTCAACCCACAAAACCCATCACATGTTATTACTAATACACAAAAATAAAGACTTGTGCTATTAAGGGTTGATGAAGTCAGTCCTCTGTTTTCCTCTGACCCCCTCAGCTGGAGTGGAAGCCACATGCGCTGGGGCCAGGCCTTCCGACTACGCCATCTCTCTACTGGCCATTATTTGGCCTTGACTCAGGACCGTGGACTGGTCCTGCAGGACCGAGAGAAGTCCGACACCAAGGCCACCGCCTTCTGCTTCAGGGCCTCCAAGGTCTGTGTTTACCGATCTGTACGTGTGTGATTTACTGACCTTAGTTTGTTCACCCGGCTGTAGAGGAACTGCCCTGTCTATTGAGCAAAGCAGGTGCACCATTCAGAGGCTGTCTGCGCTGTTGACATTAATGAATAGTCAGTAAAAATTACCTCTTTTGAAAGTGGATTCAAATAGCCTTCCCCTGACAGCTTCATCACAGAATCCCAGGCGTGTCTGTAAGCTCTTAATGAGCTCACGTCGAGCTAACATAAATTGACCTTTTCTCTGCTGCTGAGTCGACAGCACTGTAAATGTTAGAGCAAACATTCACGCCGCCCAAGTCCTCTTCCAGCCGGCTTGTTTACGGCCACTTTTAGTGAAGACGTAATGAAATATATCGCTGCATCCTATTCAAATTGTCCATCTTTTTCTCTCCAACCCTCCCTGTGCTGCACTCTGCAGGTCTCTGAGGGTCTGTTTTTAGTAAGCTTGTATTCCAAAAATAATGTCCCCTGCTAAAAATAACCCTGACAAAGCAGATCGTTCGCTTGAAATTCTAGCTGAAGAAAAAAACAAACAAAAACAGAGGTCTTAATTTGATGCTCAGATAATGCTGTATGTGCCTCTAAATTGTGCTGCTTCAGAGTCGGGCACATTGTGCTGCGTTTTTATTATTTCTTTGTCGTTCCAGTGTGATCATCAGTTTAACTTTTATGTAAGCAATCCTTGATAATTATCCTGTGTTGCAACAGCCGCGGAAAGAGCTCAGTGAGTCACCTTCATGGAACAGCATAGAGTCTCTTTATCTGTGAAAAGGACAGAGTAAAATACTCCACAGCCCTGTGAGGCTTAATCGTCCTGACCTATCATGCTCCCAACTCTGGGGTATAATGATCTCCCTCCATCAATACTAGCTCCTATAGAATCCTTGGAGAATCACTCGAGTATCATACTCCAGTCAAAAAAAGGGTTTTGGTTAACTTTCTGTTTAAAGGCAACCCCCCGTTCTGAACCCCCCGTCTCCCTGTGCCTGTCAGTTCCAGTTTCTTGAAAGGTCAGCACCTCAGCACGTTGAGCTCTGGCATTAATAAGTTCCCCGCTACTTTCTGTCGACTGCAATCAGTAGAATCGCTCCATCTCTGCTGTGTTTGAAAAGTAGCAAAGCTAATGAGGCCGGCCCCAACTTCCCAGCAGGCTAATGAAGGCGTTGTCCTCAACGTGCCTGCGTAATTACATTTAATCACAATAAATCTTTGTTTGCCATATTTATATGCCTGTGTGCTTCTGTTATTTGAAAAACATTGTTTTATCTATTTAGTTTTTTTTTTTTTACATTGGCTAATGAAGGCATTCTCCTGTCAATATGAACCTGGCAGGAAAAGGGAGATTCTGGACTAAAGAGGGACATCGATGGGATGGGAGTGCCAGAGATCAAGTATGGAGACTCGGTGTGCTTCGTCATGCATGTGGCAACTGGGCTGTGGCTGTCCTACCTGGCCCCCGATGCCAAATCATCTCGCCTCGGTCCCCTGAAAAGAAGGGTAAACAGCATCATGTATTTCCTCTTAAGTGCACTTTTTGAATAAATTTCAATCACCTTGAACACAGTTTAAAAAGCTGTATGTGAATGAATATTTGTAGATCTCTATCATCTCTGTACCTCCATATTTCAACAAGATCACAAACTGTTAGAGATAATGATGCACAGAGTAACAGAGTTGCATACAAAACAATGTGGCCTTTAAAACAGATCCCACCAAAGCAATCAGATTTTCTTTTAAAAGAGAGCCAATCCTGGCCATGTTTGACCCAAAGCTTCTCTTTAGATGGGCAACCATCCATTTAAAAGTGATAATGGCTCCTGTGGAGGGAGACTGTTAGTTTTGGGTGGGATGGGGGGGGGCAGCTCCTCACTGGGCCTGCCTCCAGAGACATCAAACGTCACTCTGTGCTGGCGCCAGGCAGTCCCTGCAGCTTTGGAAACGGGCCAGTGCACCTGATACGCTGGAGGTGATAGGTGGTTTACATTTGAATTCCCCTGCCCGACTCTCTCTTTCTGGATCCAGTGTTTTTTTTTCGTTGTTTTTTTCGGGACCTAGTGTCATTTGTGTAGATCTTATTTAAGCACCAAATCACCTGTGAGTGCGCCTTTTGTCCTGGCCCAGGCCTGCCTCCACTCTGAGGGCCACATGGACGATGGCCTCACCCTTCAGCTGTGCCAGCATGAGGAGGCTCGGGCTGCACGCATCATCCGAAACACCACATTCCTCTTCGTCAACTTCATCAAGTGAGGAAGAGGAAGACTGGCAAAGACTTAATCTTCAGCCTGTCATTTAAAGAAAACATAAACTGAACAGATCTGGTTCCCCCCCTGCCCCCCCTCCTCTCAGGGCTTTGGACAGTGCTGAGGCTGGCGAGTCCATGGCGGTTGGCGGCTACGTGGAAGAGGTGCTGCAGACACTGAACGATCTGATCGAGTACTTCAAGCAACCGGATTCCGAGCTGGAGCACGAGGAGAAACAGTGTCTGCTCCGTTCACTCATCAAACGCCAAGACCTCTTCAAAGAAGAGGTGAGGGGGACGAGGAGCCGCTGAACACAAGTGTCCAGCTCTTCCACTCCATGGGGGCAGTATTGTGTTATCGCCCATAAGAACAGTCACAGGGACACTTCATAGGTTGGGATGGTTTAAGGCTAATTAACTATACCACTGACTTTTTGATAATTAATTAAATTGTATCCACCTGAGACATTTCCGATACAAGTGATTAATTTTACGAGTCACAGCCTCTGCAGTAGCTCTGATGGTAGTCTTTTTTTTTCAACTCTGTATAACTTTATAATCTTTCTATTTCTAATACATACTGCATACATATTTATATATTTATCTTCCTCAAAAAAGTATCTATGTTTTTCTTTATGTTCAGTTAACCACTTTTTGTTTAAAGGTACTATTGTGAAACAAGCTACAGCTGCGATCTGATGTAGCTAATCGCATGATTTGTGTGAATTCTCTGTGTTAGGGTATGCTGACCCTCCTGTCTAAATGCATCGATCGGATGAACCTGTACGACAGTGCAGCCCACTTTGGAGAGAAGGCCGGAGAGGAGGCGGGCGCAGCATGGAAGGACATCCTCAACCTCCTTTATGAGCTCTTAGGTAAGTCAGCCTGAGTGCCGGAACGTATGAAATATCTTCTTTCAGCCCTGTCAGCTGTTGACTCTGGGTAGACATGCAGTATTCACTTTCCCTCTGTGTCTTCACTGAATTCTTCTCTGGTTTTACTTCTCTAAACGTCTTACTTTGAGCACCCTCCTATCACCTCATTTGCTCCCTGCTTTTGTTTTTCAAACCATAATTTTTTTTTAAAGCATTATGGAAATATTACAAAGCATTGGTCTGAATATGAAATTAAATGTGAGCCACATTAACATAATGCCAGCCATCAGACACCGGTACTATTTCAGGGTCCTTATTGTGCTTTGCATTCTGAATTTTCGTCCCTGAAAGATTTTCACTCCTGGCTCTTTTATTGGTATCTTGTTTGAGCCTGCACATCAACAGCTTCCCCTCGGCTCACCTTGACTGCCCTTATATTCATCATCTCCCTCTCCTGCACACACCGTGTCCACACCTTACACACAAATACACTCTTCTGAGAACATTTCAGCGCTCCCCGCAAAGGTGTTTCCACCAAAGGACGCAGAGGGGCACCGTGAGTGATCAGATGCTGCTTGATGGATGGCTCAAGAGGGCTGTTTGCTCTCACCTTCCCTCACCAGTCAGCCAGAAAAGGGAAACGCACGTTTTAATGGGAAACGCATGTTGATTATAATCAAGTAAATCAAACAGAAAATGACTTTGCCCATTAAGCTCATTTGCTGTGGTAATTATCTTATTCAAGCAGGTGATTTTGATATTCTAAATAGCAGAGGAAGAGCATAAAGGAAATAAGAATTGGGTTTAATTTCATCCTTGATCATTGAGGCAGCAGGTGATGAAACAGTAATGTGGTGTGCCTGTTTTCTGTTTGTTCGCTGTGCGGACGTCAACAAAATAAAGGTGACGCTCTTTGAATGCGAAACACTTCCCACTGAAGCTGGGTTTGCATATCAAAAGGCATACATTCTAGGAGTTTGCATTGTTGAATGGTCTTTCTCTCTGTATTATCACACAGTCTTTGTTCCATGCGAGTGAAACTCCTGGTCTTGATTTAATGTCCGTGTAGCTGCAGGTATCTTTGGATATCTGACATGTGTAATTACACTCTCACATCTTTCATTGAGCATTCTTGTCCTTGACCATCCGTGTGGCTCTGTTCATTCATTTGTAGAGAATTATTGCTTTCCTGAAAATGTAGAAATATGAGGTTTGACACCCATTTGTATTCCTGTCTGCACAGTCCTGTTAAATAGATTCATGGACATCATCAGCCCACTGTCCCTGAATCCAGATGATGAGAAATGAAAAAGTAAAGTAATGGGGAGGCTTCTTTCTCAGTGGTGAAAAACAGAGGGGGGCAGACCTTTATCTTTATCTCCCAGCCTTCAATTTTGTACTAGCTGTCCAGTTGTCCAGTCTGTGATTGGATGGAACACCAATATCAAACTGGTCCCAACTCAGTATCATGTCACCATAATTTGGGTGGAATATCAGAAATGGCAATGAATGTATGTTTTTGTCTTTTTTAACTGTGTGAAATCTGTCTTTTATGCAGCTGCGCTGATTCGTGGAAACAGGAACAACTGCACCCAGTTTTCTCGGAACTTGGACTGGTTGGTCAGCAAACTGGAGAGACTGGAATCATCATCAGGTCTCATGGGAAATGCATTTCTTTCACATCTTCAATGAGTCAAACGCTTAAACACAACAGCTGATTGTTCCATGGACATTAAGATGTGGTCTGTTTTGATTTTGTTCCACAGGAATCCTGGAAGTCCTCCATTGTGTCTTGGTGGAAAGCCCGGAGGCTCTGAACATCATCCAGAGGGGGCACATCAAATCCATCATCTCTCTGCTCTACAAGCATGGACGCAACCACAAGGTGGGCTGCATCCAGATGCCCCTTTTATTCCAGAAAGACCGTTTGGGACTTCATCACATGAGATTGTAGAATGCAAATATCTTATCAAATTGGCAAAGGCAGCAACATTTCTTGGGATGCAATTATCTTTGTTGACTGACCTGAATTCCAATATTAGCTTTCAGATGATTTTTTTTTCTTTTATAGAATTTGCCTTTAAGGACAACACCAAAAACAAGGCTGCATTTACCAATCGGTCCATAACGCACTAATCTCTCTTTAATGTCAAGCTAACCAGCTGTAACTATCTTGTGTTCGACATTCCAGCCACATGTTTGACACGAGGTGTTCAAATGTCAGCTAATATTTGCTCTGTAAATTTTGAACGGCATGAAAGGGCATCCTCATAAACAACAGCTGTCGAGCATAAGTGGGAGGAAGAGCACAAGGGTCCCGCTGACGCTCAGAGCTCTTTAGTGCGGTGATGGAGAACCTGGTTGAAATGATTTAATTGCGATCAAATGTTGAAAAACTCAAATATATATCTTTGTAACTGAACGTGTGACTTTTACCTGTATGCACATGGGAGTGTAATGCCTCACCCTTTGCTCTGTTAGATTCTGGATGTCCTGTGCTCCCTCTGTGTTTGCAACGGCGTGGCAGTGAGAGCAAATCAGAATCTGATTTGTGACAACCTGCTTCCTAAGAGGGACCTGTTGCTTCAGACTCGACTGGTCAATGATGTTCAAAGGTGTGAAGAAACAGAAATGTGATGGTTAAGCCTGGTTTTATGTATGGGATCAATATAATAGCTGATTAATTCCAAAACATACTAATGTTTATTCATTGTGGGTAAGAAAATGTTCAACTTCAGTTTTACGTTTTAGTAACCATGGATTCATTATTGATTTATTGTCATTCAAATCCAGTATGAGGCCAAATATCTTCCTGGGTGTTGCTGAGGGCTCTGCACAGTACAAGAAGTGGTACTTTGAGCTGGTCATTGACCAGGTGGACCACTTTGTAACCGGAGAGCCGACCCACCTGAGGGTTGGCTGGGCTAACACTAAAGGCTATGCTCCATACCCCGGAGGAGGAGAGGGCTGGGGAGGCAACGGGGTTGGGGATGACCTGTACTCATACAGCTTTGACGGACTTCATCTCTGGTCAGGTGGGTATGCAGCATTTTAATGATATAAAATCATCAAGGCCTTAGTGTGTTGGTGATGTTTTTTCTTAATTAGCTCTAAGCAACAAAACTGAATAATGCTGGAGCCTCTATACTCTGACGGTTGTTTTTTATGTACAGCAAAGGAGAAATAGCACAGAAACTCTTAAATGCAACATTTTCAACCTCTACCTGACAGTCTTTCATTGGATATACTAAATTAAACTTGTTTCAAATCCTATAAATAAAGTGTCAGCTGATTGCAGACATGTTTTCATCTTCATAAGTGGTACAAAGTAGCTGCAGGCTACCGCGCAAGTCTCCCTCTTAAAAAGAACCTCTATTTTACCTCCTTTCAATCCCATCTGTTAAAAGAGCTATTAAAGCCAGTCATTCTTTCCAGTCATTCCTTTTTACAGCAATCAACATCCAGCTCTCAGCCCACCTTTCCTATCTTCACCCATCACCGTGACTTTGCAGCTGTCACAGTTCTCTCTTCTCCTCTGTGTCCCATCCACTGCTGTCCAGGCCGCATCCCGAGGGCCGTGGCCTCCATTAACCAGCACCTGCTCAACTCAGACGACGTGGTCAGCTGCTGTCTGGATCTGGGTGCTCCTAGCATGTCCTTCAGGATCAACGGGCAGCCCGTCCAGGGCATGTTCGAGGACTTTAACACCGACGGCTTCTTCTTCCCCGTCGTCAGCTTCTCTGCAGGTGTCAAGTAAGGGCCTGTGTGTCATAATTGGGTAATAAATTGTGAACGTATTCCCAGAGTAAATGTTTTTCAGCAACTTATATTGCAAGGGCTACTGACCTTTTTATAGGTTCATGTAAAAGGCACTGATGCACTGTTACAGTATTAAAGGTTTATTATTCTGGAGCACCCTGGTATTAAAAATGTTGGAAGTAACCCAGTTGACAAAAGTTTTCTGATTTTGGTTTGAGACATTCCTGTCCAGCTTCCTGTTCCCACTGTATTACGTCTTTTATCCTTGAATTCCTGTCAAACACTGGCAAAAATACATTTTTAGATCATTTTAGATAATCTTATCTTGTTAGGACAACAAATAATGTACAGAGATGAACTGTAAGTCAGTCGTTTTTCTGTACACAAAGGAAGGAAATCTGCCTGTGAGAGCTGTATATCAAAACTGTATTGAAGAAAAAATTAAATGACCAGTTTTAAAGTCAATAAATAAACTCGTACACTTGCAGAAAATGTCCTCTTCTTATCACAGAGTCCGTTTCCTCTTGGGTGGACGCCATGGTGACTTCAAGTTCCTGCCACCCGCCGGTTACTCTCCCTGCTATGAAGCCCTGCTGCCCAAGGAGAAGATGCATGTGGAGCCGGTGAAGGAGTACAAGAGGGATCACGATGGAGTCCGGGATCTTCTGGGAACCACCCAGTTCCTCTCTCAAGCCTCCTTCATTCCCACTCCTGTTGACACCAGCCAGGTAAGGCTTTAATGTCACAGCTGTGGAGTCTGAATGTACAGTTTTCTTTGCAGGCATCTGTTGGAGTTTGGGGCATTAGATAGCGATGGAAGGAAAAAGCACTAACTGATCAGAGGCTTTGTCTGTTTGTGACTGATCTGAACCCCTTGAAACTGATTGGGACAAAAAGACTGTTAAACTTCCAAAAGCCTATTTTACATTATGATCAAAGAGAGTCTAAGGTTTAGTCAACTTCAGCAAATGTAAAATATTGAATCTAATATGCACAAAAGGCTCCTGCATTCCCTTTTGTTTTTGACCAAAGGGGGAATTATTAGGTTTTCATGTGTAAGCACATCTTCATACTTTATAAATTCATCCTGTTTTTCTCCCTGCAGGTTGTTCTTCCCCCCCATCTGGACAACATTCGTGACAGGCTGGCAGAAAACATCCATGAACTTTGGGGAATGAATAAGATTGAACTTGGCTGGACTTATGGCAAGGTAATTCTGTTATCTGTTATCATCCTATCAGCAGTGATTAAAAAGTCAAAGGAAAATGCTGCGGTTATTATTGGAAACAGTAAGTGATGAAGGTTGGCTCCCCCCATTAACATTAAAATACTCATTAATGGCTCATTAACTTGAACATTTTAAACCCCTTTAACTTTATTCCTGATGTATGAACCCTATTAATGCACAAGGTTACCAGGACAAAAACAGATTGTTTAAGGATAATTTGAAAAAAATGAAAGGTCTCATTAGTCCTTTAGTTCAGTTATGGAGGTGCAACCTGGTTTTCTTGGCTGAGTCATTTTTCTGATACCTGTTAATTGGCATGACACCTCCAACACACCCAAGTGCGCACACAGACACACAGTCACAATACAATGCCTCCTGCCACATTAGTGTAGCTGTTTTTGCTGAAATGCAATTATAATATTTCCAAATATATTGCATTTTCACTTGTAAATGACGAAAAAGTTCAGTTCATGCACTGTGTTTCGGTCGGAGTATAATGGGTTAATGACTTCTGATGAGAGGGTAAGGCAATCAGTATTTTTTTAAAGACGTTCTTAAGTTCTTTTGATGGACTGCCAGTGGATAATTACCTCATACAACTCCCATTCAAAGGAATTGAATGTCCTTTGTGAAGTATCTGAAGACCTTTTGGTCCATTTTCCCGTCTTTCTCCAGTCATTTGACTGTCAGCTGCTGATCTGTTCGCTGCAGAGGAGCCCATTAGAAGTCTGATCACACAGCCCTCCTCTTTTGTTCTGTGGTGGCGATCACACAATCATTTCCCTCTGAGGCTGTTTCCTCTGCAGCCATTAAACAAACCCGATGAGTGTCTCACCTTCCACGAGGGTGACGTCCACGTTAATGAACACTGGGAGAAAGTTGCCCTCAGGGGTTTAATCCATCTCGCAAAGCTTGTCAAGGACAACATTTAGGTCCAAACAGCTGCTTCCTCTTGAGTTAAGCTGGAACAAGCTCCATGATCTTTGACTGACATCACAATAGATCCAAGTGAAATAGCTCTTTGGACAAAGAGCAGATCATTAACACGGTGATGATGAATTTGGGCGCTTTGCTCTGATTAGCATTCCTTTGCTTGTTCTTTGCGTTGCTTGTGTCTTGAGAGCTCGTATGCCCCATTCAGCTGTTGTAAACAGCAGAGACCATCATCAATTAAGCTCACAGACATCTTTTAACAGTTTACTAATTCTGAAGCCTAAATGGACGGAAAATAAAAAAGTGAGCTAAAAGTTTAGTTTCTGCTGCATAATATGTGACTCCAGCATCATTCTTCACTAATAAGAGAAAAAGTTGAGACATTAAAGCGAGATGGAGCAGTTTAAAAATAAATAAATTCGATCTTCTTGCTCCCCAGGTGCGTGATGACAACAAGAGACAGCACCCTTGCCTTGTGGATTTCGCTAAGCTGCCTGAAACTGAAAGGAACTACAACCTGCAGATGTCTAGCGAAACTCTGAAGTAAGGCCCGGCTGTTTGTTAGATGATTTAATTTACCCATTCATGCAACTGCTGCAGCAGCTGATTGTTGAATGCTGAGCAAGACCAGATTAAGACTGACATTAAAGTAGTTCTTGTAATGACTTTTATCTCCTGAGCCAGTTCCAGTATCGATTTCGGGAGAATATAGGGCCCGATGGCTATTTGATCTAATTACTGAGTCATCGCACTGTAAAAACATTGCCTTGGTTCAATAAAGCACCCTCCTTTTACAGCGAGCTTCGGTTCGGGGATATGGCCTCAAGTATATCATCCGTACAGCCAAATCAGAGTGCTGTTCAGGGTTTGTTTTTCCGGAGGTTTATTGATAACTGATGGCTGTGTGGAAGAAGTAACCATATCTCAGTGGACCTTTCTAGTGGAAAATTGGAGCATTTTTGTCTGACCAAGTGTAATGTGACATAAAACTGAAGTCAGCGCTTTATCTGGCGCCCCATTTCATTTTTCACCTCTATCCACAGGACCCTGTTGGCTCTGGGATGCCATGTTGCCCAGGTCAATGTTCATGCCGAAGAGGATCTGAAAAAAAGCAAATTACCTAAAGAGTATGACAGCTTCCTGCATATTAAGCATATTAATTCAAGTTATAGCTGGACATTTGTTAGTCATAGTTTTTCTTCTCTCGTTGGTTAATTTGTAAAAGTGTGACACATTAGCTAACTGTTGTTAATGAAATAAGATTTAAACTTCTTGTGTTTCCTTCATGGTGCCGTCTTTTGATGCATCACCTGCAGCTACATGATGTCTAATGGATACAAGCCTGCGCCACTAGACCTCTCTGATGTGAAACTGAATCAAGGCCAAGAGGTTCTAGTTGATAAACTGGCCGAAAATGCACACAACGTGTGGGCCAAAGACAGAATCAAACAAGGATGGACCTATGGCATCCAGCAAGTAAGTTATTTCTTTCCTCAAAACAAAAAAAATTAACTAACTGGAGAATTAAAGATTACTTTTATTTAATGCCCCATGATGTGTCCATCAACTGGTATCAGACAGGTCTGGATTATGCACACCTCCTATGTGTATCTTCTTTTTAAAATATAATTATTAATTCATTTATCGATTTATTTGTCGTCAAACCGAAAACAATTCGGCTAATACCTGAAACAATTATGGATTTCACAAAAAGAAAAAGGAGCCGGAGTTACGAGTTGAGTGCAAAACGTTGTTAAAGTTCATTAAAATTGTATTTCTTACAGCTCGTGTGTTGCAAGTGTCTTCTGGTGCTATCAGAAATGAGACACTGCAGGGCACTGCTGAAAATAAGACTTTCAGATTAGGTACACACAGAGGCAGATGTACCACAGGAGGACAGGGTGTTTCATCAATCTTTAAGGTGACAAGAAAGACCTCCAACTGAGAAATGAGTGAAATGTTATGCAATTTGTTTGGAGCGCTGTGTCCTGTGCGCCCCAGGTATCGCATCCATCGGCGTTTCTAATAAGCACATTCGGCTTCCAATCACAGCAATTGCTCAGGGTGCGGCCTGAATACGGTTCAGACAGACTTTGTTTGTATGTGCCAGGATCTGAAGAGCAGACGTAATCCTCGCCTGGTGCCATATGCTTTACTGGACGAACGCACGAAGAAATCCAACAGGGACAGTCTGAGAGAGGCCATCAGGACAATGGTTGGATATGGATATGACATTGACCCCCCAGACCAGGAGGGTGAGTCTGTTTGTGACACACTTACACACCACAAATGCTGACTTTAGGAATCTTACTCGAAACACATCTCAAATCACAACACGTCATCCTCAACAGTGGTGTCTCAGCCCAATGCTGGTCACTCTTACACTGTTACATCTACGTGTGTCTTCGTTATGTTAAGCCCCGTTTTCTCTATTTTTCCCTGGCCAAAGTGGTGCACTTTTCTGACGACCAGAGCATCGAGACCATCCGATTCTTCCGTGTCGAGCAGACCTACGCGGTCAAGACCGGGAAATGGTACTTTGAGTTTGAGGTCCTGAGCGGAGGAGATATGAGGGTTGGCTGGGCCAGACCGGGCTGCAGACCCGATGTGGAACTCGGAACCGATGATCAGGCCTATGTCTTTGATGGCTACAGAGTAAGCTTTTGTTTTGTTTTTTGGAGACCAGACCCGAAGCCGTTGGTTTTTCTGTCACACCTTTGAAACTGAACTTCTTTTCTTTTTTTCCAATGTTCCTCCTCACTTTTCAAGGGCCGGCGGATGCATTCGGGCAGCCGCTACTTCGGACAGCCTTGGAAAAAGGGTGACGTTGTGGGTTGTATGATCAATATGGAGGACAAGTCTATGATTTTCACCCTGAACGGCGAGCTCATGATCACAAGCAAAGGCTCTGAGCTTGGCTTCGCTGACTTTGAAACCGAGGATGGTGAGCGCTCCAGATTTCAAGCAGTCCAAGAGTTTGAGTTCCTACATATTCAGTTCCTTTTAATGCACTGTTTTGTCTGTGTATCTTCTATGAGTTTTTCCCAGCTGGTAAATACATGCATGCCTTCAGTGGGAATGAATAAATAAAACTTGGTGATATTTTTACAGGTATATCAAAAAAAAATTTAAGCCATTTTGGTTGTGGCTAATTAAATGTATCATCAGTGATGAGAAAAATAGCTTAGATTTGAGAACTTTTGCAGTAAATCCAAAGAAAAGTCTTGTACAGGAAATATTTTTGAAAGTGTGAGTAAATGTGAAGGTTGGTAGGCAGTCATTTATTCATCTTTTAAACACCTGCAGGTTTCATCCCAGTCTGTAGCCTGGGTATGTCTCAGGTTGGCCACATGAACCTGGGCAAAGACGCCAGCACTTTTAAGTACTACACCATGTGCGGCCTCCAGGAAGGTTTCGAGCCGTTCGCCGTCAACATGAACAGAGACATCACCATGTGGTTCAGCAAGCGCCTGCCCACCTTTTTCAACGTGCCCCCAGATCACATGCACATTGAGGTGGGCATTCACATTTATCATTCTTATTTACTTTTCAGTAACAACATGGTTGTCGGTCACAAGTAGTTGTTGTTCTGAGTTCTTATCCCTGCCCTCTTCTGGCTTCAGGTGACGAGGATTGACGGAACTGTGGACAGCCCTCCCTGCCTTAAGGTCACTCATAAGACATTTGGTACCCAGAACAGCAACAGCGACATGATCTACTGTAGACTGAGCATGCCTGTGGAGTTTTATTCTGCGGACAGGTTACTGGACGAATCCCTGAAACTCAGGTCAGACACTTTATTGAGTCTCACGTTCCACTTATTCCTGCTTCAGATCGAAGTCGCAGAATGATTCATGTGCTTTTGAATTTTGTTTCTGCAGCCATCCTCCAAAAGAAGATGGAAGTGTTGACTATGGCAGCATCACAGCTGTAAATAAGCCTCGATTCTTCCAGATGTGTGGGACATATCATCACCCTGTATCACCCATTGATGATGGTCTTCTTTTTGCTTTATTCTTAATTGGCAGTACTACCACTCTGTGAGGGTGTTTGCTGGACAGGACCCTACCTCTGTGTGGGTGGGCTGGGTCTCGCCCGACTATCACTACTACAGTAAAAACTTCGGTCTCGGCATGACGCGGACTGTCACCGTTACCCTGGGAGACGAGAGGGGCCGGGTCCACGAGAGGCAAGCTGCCGAAGCTTTGATATCTCGAATTTAAATGAAATCTGTGAATCTTATGCTGTATACCGCCATCGGGGATACTCCCTGATATAATTTTTGTGCCTCTGCTGTGGTGCTGTTTTTCTAAAGCAGGGTGGAAGTGTTAGCTTCAGGGGGATGTTGAAGCGTGTAGGAAAGAATTGTGAGACCTTTAATTAGATTAAGGACTAATGAATTAGTCATAGTTTTACTCTCATTGACTATCGTGTTGCATCTTGCTGATTTCATGCAGTTTCACTTGTTAACTTGGTCACTCGTTTTGGGAAGTTATACTGTGATACCTCCATTTATCAGGTGAACATGTACTGTTTCATGAGGTGCATGTGTGAAAGTTTTGGACCACTAATGGAGCAGGGAAGTTTGTGTCTGTCTGGAGCTCTGTCTGGAGTGCTCCGGGTTTGCTCTTAGGCTATTGATCTCCATATTGCTCAGTTAAATTTACTGAGGCTATTGAGAAAATCTGCAGAGGTTATAGCAGGAGGTACGTTCCTGTCAAAGCCAGCTCTTTATTAGATAGAGTACAATAAAATGTAAAAATGAACTCTTATAAATCTTATTAGCAGCTAAGGGTCATTAGCCACATCGGTTTATGACCAGTCGACGGCAATAGATGAACCTCGTGTCTGTGTTAGACGGATGAGTGCTTCCTGTCTTATTAGGATTCGGCTATGAACTGGAACTCAGTCCAGTTGCAACTTGTCACTGGTCAGATCCGAAGCTGGTTTTGGAACAAACATAACCTTGCTAATTACTGAAACTTTGTACTACCATACTTTATCTCTGTAATTAATATTAGGTTGATTCTGATCCCTTTCATTGGTCAAAACATTATTTAAAACCAGGGCAGAAATCCAGGATATTTGGGCACATCAAGCTATGGACATGCAATAGCAAATAATGCCCTAAAATATCATGTTTCTTAGTATTAGTATGCCAAACCTGCATTTTTTATTTTATGTTACATTGTCAGTCTCCTGTTTTTTTGTTTATAAAGCTGCTCTCTACTGTTTAGTTTACTGTCAATATTCAGGGAGGTAAAGCGGCCGATGCAGATCGATGACTGTTTGCCTAATGAAAACGCATTGTACAGGCATTGGTGGATATCTAGATCCACTGCTATTCACCATGTGTGTGCTTAAGATGTGTTCCGTTGTTACTTTTTTTTTTTTCTTTTGCTGCAGTGTTCAGAGGAGCAACTGCTACATGGTGTGTGCTGCAGACGCCCTCGGCGCATCTTCATCCAGCCGCTCCAACTCGGACCTGGAGATCGGCTGTCTGATCGACCTGGCCAGTGGCCTGGTCTCCTTTACTGCCAATGGGAAGGAACTGCCCACAGTTTATCAGGTTAATGAGCACATTGGGGCTCGAACCTTTAGAGGAAGCTCTGGGAATGTCTGGCTCAAAGCCTTAAATATTGAATATGACTGTCACATTACATTTCTTTTCTTCCATGATAGATGTTATCTATTGGAGATTGGAGTTTCAGGCACCTTTTTTGAAGCACCACATATTTGCATGATTCACACCCACTCAAAAAGACCTTTCTATCTATAGTCCTTTCAGGCCAAATTAACAAACACGCACCGCGGTACAGCAGCTTTGAAGAAAAGGCAGTTAGAAAAGTATTCAGCTGATCTCTTAAATGCCAGCTATAGCCAGCAGAAAGATCTGGTTTGCATTCCTCGTATCAACCTGCTGATCTCTCAATTGGAAGCCATCAAGCACCTGATTAAAGGTGTTAAAATGGTGCTTCCGTAACCCACATTTCTTTCTTCTTTAATCTCTTCTCTACTCGCAAGTTTCCCTATTCTCTTTATTGATTTAGTGTGAAAGTGGGTTTTTGAAAAGTTCTCCAAAGGAATTTTGCGGGTTTGAACTTGTTAAAAAGTTCCTATCCTATTACCATATCAAAGCTTGAAAAGTTTTTTTCTTTCTCTTTGTGAGTGTAAAGGTTATCATCAGTGCACCAAGTCAAACTCATTGAACTTGGAAAAGAACACACAAAAAAACGAGTGAATTCGAGAGCTCAAAGGATAAAAGATGTACACGGTTTGGTAATGTCTTTAATCTGTTTTTAGGTGGAGCCAAATACCAAGCTCTTCCCAGCCGTGTTTGCACGTCCAACGAGCGCAAACCTCTTCCAGTTTGAGTTTGTCAAGATTAAGGTTTGTTCCTTTGTTTATCCGATGTTCAAAGTTAGCACATCCTCAGCTTTGTCTTGAATTTGTAAACTGGTCGTTCCCTTTGTATGCAGCACATATCTGATAACAAGTAGGTCCTAAACAATTTAAAAGGGCCTTTTATAGTACGTCTAATTTGTAAATAATTATGCTCTGCTGATATAAGGCTTACAATTCTTTTGACTGACTGGCACGATTTACAACCTTGCAGTCTTGTCTTTGCTTTAATCCAAATAGATTCTGTGTAAAAGACACTAAATAAACGCCTGATTTAAATCGGTTGTATCAAATGGTTGATTTTCTCAGCCGATGTGGACACATTTGTTGAAATTGTGACTTTAACATTGTTTATTTCCCCCTTCACTGTGTGATTTCAGGATGCCATGCCGTTGTCATCAGCCATATTCAAGAGTGAGCACAGGAACCCGGTGCCTCAGTGTCCGCCCCGTCTGGACGTGCAGACCATTGTGGCTGTGCTTTGGAGCCGGATGCCGAACACCTTCCTCAATGTGGAGACGGCCCGGGTCAGTGAGAGGCACGGCTGGGTGGTCCAGTGTCTGGAACCTCTGCAGATGATGGCTGTACATATACCTGAGGAGAACAGGTAATCAGATACTGGAGACTAACTCTGGGAATGTCTTGTTCAATGAGATTGTCTTAGTCCAATCTTGCTTTGGGAATCCTGTATTCTTACCGAAATGTATACTTATGATGGATTACAATGTTTCCTACAGTTCTTTTGTAAATATGTTTTCTACCTAGATGAAATTCACAGTATAAACATTTAAACGTCAATAAACGGTATACTTTTGTAGAGGTGATAGCAGCAATTTCAAATCTCTTCCATGAAAAAAGCCTCTCATGTGTCTAATGTTAGTCAGAGGACGACTCCAACCTCTTCCTCATCCAGTCAGTGGGAGCTATGAATATGCTAATGAGGTACACCCACATCTCAACCTCTCAGCGAGATCAAGGGCCTTTTACGTAAGATGCAGCAACTACTTGCAATTAGTTCATTTTTCATTGACACAACAGGACAGCGGTGCAGCTGTGCCTGTCTCTCCAGGAAGGAGAAACAGTCTTCCCGTGACTCACCCCTCCACAGAGGTGTGAGAAGAGCTGCCCGTGTGGGGATAACCTGCGTCTTTGTAGGCTTTTTGATACGGGGGGGGGGCTTTTCCTGGGTCAACTGTGGATGGCTGGCTGCTGGAGGCAACGCTCTGGGCCTTCTCCGCGGTGCTATGAATTGTGAATGAGAGTGGGACGGAGAGGCAACGCGCCTCACCGATAAATGGCTTATAGAAGATCAGGACTTAAGACGGGTTTAGTGGGAAATCCCAACTGCTTTTTGGGTGAGACTCTAGATTGGAGGTGAGAGGAAGAGTCATCTCTCCCAGGGGAAGACATCTGTTAAGGCCGATTTGAGCCAATCAGCCAGAACTGGATAGGTTAAAACTATGAAAAGCACACACTTACATGTGTGTATCTTAACTTTTCCCTCCACAAAGAAATCTAAAACAAAAACATTGAATAGGATGTCATTCTGATGGAGTCTCTTTTTGTGGGAAAGTGCTGCAGGCTGTCTGCAGATTTGATACCGTTTAGACCTTTAAGGACTTTCTATGCAGCGATTTAAAACAGTAGAGCAGGCACATAATGAATTAAGTTATTTTTCAACACTGTTCTGGCTATTAAAAATCTGCTGCCCTCTCTTTTTTTTCCTCCTGCCCTTTCTTCAGGTGTTTAGACATCCTGGAGTTATCAGAGCATGAAGACCTGAGGAAATTCCATTACCACACACTGAAGCTGTACTGTGCCCTCTGCGCTCTGGGAAACACTCGTGTCGCTCACGCTCTCTGCAGCCATTTGGACCAATCACAGCTCCTCTACACCATCGATAACCAGTACCTCTCTGGGATGCTGAGGGAAGGCTTCTACAACGTCCTCGTCAGGTGTGTTATCATACTTTACAGAACAGCGTGGGCTGGATATCCTCTTCTTGTATCCTTTTACAAGACGTTTGTCTACATCTAATCAGACCAATAGCCGTGATTTCCCTTTGACAGAGGAGTGCTACAGCCAGAGAGGGAAAATGAAAGTCAGCGTTATTGCAAAAAATTGTAATTGAACATCAGCTGCTGTAAAATGAAAATAACCGACAGGCAATATTTGTACTAATGTGATGGCCTGACTTTGGTTTATTTATTTATTTTTGGGTGTCGAATCCATCACCATTTACTGCCAAGTGACGGTGCGGTACACAAATCCAGTAAGCACTTTTGTGCAATACATCATCATAATGCGTTTCTGATGCTGGTGCCTCTGCCAGCTCTCATCCTGCGCGAAAGACTTTCTTTCTTTTCAGTTTACATCTCTTTCACATAATCATTGTGTAACATCATTATAGTAAATGCATTTTTACCTTTTTCCATCACAGAAAAGGGAGTCTTAGTGGAGCTTTGCATGTTTGCAGCTGAGAGTTGTCTCTCAGAAGTTCGAGTGCCCAGAGTTTAAAAACATCCTTATCCTGTACACTGTTAAAAGATCTTGCTGTTTCATATGGTTACAATAGTGTTGAACAAAGGGGAACTTAGAAATGTGGCTAATGATGCACTTATACCACTGAGGGAAGTCTACTTTCAACCTCCAGACATATTCAGCCGTTAAACTTATTTGGTTTCAGCATTCATCTTGAGACGGCAAAGGAGGCCCGTTTAATGATGAACAACGAGTTCATTATTCCCGTGACGGATGAGACTCGCTCCATCAAGCTGTTCCCGGACGAGTCCAAGCGCCATTCACTGCCCGGCGTCGGCCTGAGCACCTCGCTCAAACCCCGGGTCAACTTTTCCCCCGTTGGCATCATCAACACCAAACGCCAGCAGTACCTCTACAGCCCCCAGATCCCGCTGGGCATCCTGAAAGAGAAGGCCATCAGCATGCTGACCGAGGCCGTGCAGGGCGGCGGCGCCCACATCCGGGACCCCGTGGGCGGGAGTCTGGAGTACCAGTTTGTTCCCATCCTGAGGCTCATCGGAACCCTGCTCATCATGGGAGTCCTGACCAGCGAGGAGGTGAGGCTGATCCTCCTCCTGATTGACCCCAACGTGTTCGGAGAGGCCAAGGAAGGCGAGGAGGCGAAGGGGAACGAGGTGGCCGTGACGGGGGAGAAGGAAGACGTGAGCAAGAACGAGGAGAAGGCGGTGGAAGCTGGAGAGGAGGAGACCAAAGAGAGCAAAGCGCCTGCAAAGGGTCTGCTGGAGAAGTCGCTGCCTGAATCTGTCAAACGCCAGGTGATGAAAAGAATGTTAAAAGAAAATGCAGTTGCATCGAATAAGAGTGATGATTGCAAATGATGAAACTTAGTCAATCATTTTTTTTACGGCAGGGTGTTAATTAAATCTGCCTGTCTTATCGATGTGGAACGCTAAGTCTAATTTGTCAGCATTTCAGGGCCTTTATGATTGATCTGATGAGGAAAGACGGCATGAGTAGAAAGGACAGTGGTCGAATACAGATGTACCTTCCAGTGACAAAAGTTCAAATGAATAGAAGCAGCAAATGCAATGAGGTGGTAAGGATTAAAAAGCGTTAAACATCCCCTCAGATGTGTGAGCTGCTGCACTACTTCTGCGACTGCGAGCTGAGGCATCGCATCGAGGCCATCGTCTCCTTCTCCGACAACTTCGTCTCCAAGCTGCAGTACAACCAGAAGTTCCGCTACAACGAGCTGATGCTGGCTTTCAACATGTCTGCCGCCGTCACCGCCAAGAAGACCAAAGAGTTCCGGTCCCCCCCGCAGGAGCAGGTACGGCCCCGCTGAGCAGTCGGGACATTTCTATCCTGGGGTTTTATTCTCTTTGTGATACAACCAGCCGATCGCATGACACAGCCTGTGGTCTTGTATTTTTCGGCTTGAAGACATTAATACATTAATGAAGAATTCCTTATCGCTGCACCAGCAGGTTTTTATATTTATCTAGTGTTCAAATGCACAGCATTGAAGCGTGTCAGCAGGCTGGAGTTTTATATCTGTGACTACAAAGTGCTCAGATCAAAACACGGGCCCCTCCTCTGAAGACTAGCACCTTGTAGAGAAATGCATGCCCACAGCCACTCTGATCCCTGAGAGAAAAGTTGTTGCTCAGCAGCAGATGATCGCGCCATATTCCTCCAATGGTTTATTAAAAAGTTCTTCCAGAAATAGACATCAGGAGAACTTCAACTGTAATCTGTTTTTGCTGACGGTGGAAATGGCGTCTCATTTATATTTAGTGCTGTATAGTTAGCCTGTGACACATAGCCAATACAGCAGATTTGTGGCTTAAGGAGGCATTATCATTAGTGCATTTGTCTATTTCTGTGTCTATACATTTTGTACTTTTATCCATTCTTCCACAACTTATTTGCTCATTTCTCCTTTTTCCTTTCCACCCATCTTCTCTCAGCTGATTCTTATATTATCCTCTTTTTTCTTTCTTTCTCTTAGATCAACATTTTGTTGAATTTCAGTGCAGGGGAGGACTGTCCCTGCCCTGAGGAAATCCAGGATGAACTCAACTCCTTCCATGAAGAATTACGACTGCACTGTGGTAGAGTCCCCCTGCATGACAAGTAGATTTTTATACAGATGTTACAGCAGTTATTTTCCATGAACTATATCAAATTCTGTTTTCAGAGAGACGGTTGTTGATTTGTGGGTTAGCCCCCCAGTTTTGTGGGCACGGGTGTGGATTTATTTTAAGTTATCACAGCTCAGCATTAATTCAGCCTCATTAAAATGAACTGAAATGTGTTTGTCTTTGCAGGAATTCCCGCCGAGGAGGAAGAGGAAGAGCAAGACACCTCGATAAAAGGTCGCCTGCTGGCTTTGCTGTACAAGATCAAAGGCCCCCCTCAGAAGACAGAAGAGGAGCCAGAAGAGAAGGAGCAGGCGGCCCCAAGTACGTACATGTTAGCACTACAAGAAACGTGCTCCTTTTTTCTCGTTGACTCACTCTGTATTGCACTAATGGGAAGAAAAACTTTGAAAGTAAACATGAACATACCCGTTTGTCCACCATCTTCTCAAATGTCGGGTTTCTGGCTCACTGGGGGTGCTCAGTTTTATATATCAGGCTTATTTCAACTGATCAGAAAACCTGAGTTTATTTTTAATTACATTTTTTATTTTTAAGTCATTTGACAGATAGTCATGTACAGGTCAGACCATGAGAGTATTGTATGTTTAATGGTGTTTGATGCGGTGCATATAGATGCGCATTTTCCTTTAAACATCACTGGGAGGTTTGATTCTTATTTTTTCATTAGATATATTACAGAATTTTACACACGTCCCCGCAGGTGTAGACGTCGTTTCAAAGTTCAGGGTCGGTGCTGAAGGTACAGTTTTGTTCTGTTCAAATAATAGAAGACTAATGGAAAGCCTCTGCGAGAGTTCCCGTTATAAATTTTAATGCCTTTCTTTGCCTCACACACCTACCTGCATTATAGAAAGGTTCCATGTAATAAATGATTATGTGATTCCAGAGGATTCCTAACAGACCCACATTACCTTTTTTATTTTCCTGTCAGATCAGATTCTCTGTAAATGAACAGCGTGATATATTGGATGAATAACATCTATCAGCTGAGACACGTCCGACTGAATTGAAATCTCTTATAAGATCCTTCACTATTCACTATTGTTTTGATTAAAATCAGACAGATTTATTCATTATTTCTGTAATGGAAACCTCTTACTGTAAACCCCAGCCTGATCAGGAAAGTATTACACCAAGGAAAAAGAACTGTATTACATCTGTTTTTTATTACTGATAACATGTGTCTTATTCATCATCACAAGCACGTGTTAAAACTCATTTTTAGAAAAGCACCGTTGTACTTTTTTTGTCATGTTGCTTTTTGTCTTCATCACTGAGCAACTTTTAAGAAGTGGGAACAACTTATGAAAGATGCAAGTGAGAGCTTTAGTGTTTAGTACATAATTATAACGCAGTTGCTGGTGTAATTACATAAATAGCTGTTCTTCTAGTTAATGCCTGTGGGCATTTGGAAATTGGCTTACAGACGATGCAGTTTTTTTGTGGTATGACTCCATTCCGGGCTTCAGTTTGGAATGAGGGATAGCAGATTTGAATCTGGGAGACGTTCACCTTCAGGGCGACCTGCTCTCTCTGCCTCTGCCTCGGCTCTCATTAGGATTCTGCTAGGATGTGACCTGTTTGCTTGCTACAGATGTTGTGCAGTTCGACTTAAGCACTCAAAAGTTCAGGGACGGCTTTGGAATAACAATCTTATCACCTGGAAAAGTGTAAGATCTGGTTATAGATTTATCATTTATCATCTCAGGTCAGTGAGTGTTGCCCATTTTTGTTGTTGCTTGTCCTCTGTGAGAATGCAGTTTAATGGGATATTAAGATTGAGTTTGGAAGACAAATTGGACTTTATAGCTTCATTCCTACCTTGGATAAGATTAAATGGACCTGTACCCGATTAATTATTTCTACTGGATAAGCTATAAGGCATTATGTGTTGTCTTCCTTTAGCTCCTTTAGCAGTATGATGTAAAGGATTTACACATCTGCTGCTTTAACATTTGAAAAAAGACTAATAGAAAGGGGTCAGTTTTACATGAGAAGGGGCGTGCTTCTATTTTAATTCTAATTTAGTTAAATCTATTAGTTTAATTTATTCATATTTTTAAGACATCGAAGAGACAAAAAACTATCAGACCATGTCCAGCTTGTTGATTTGATTGTAGTTTTAGTCCGAATATTTTTGTTTACTTCTTGACACCACATGTTAACATCTCCAGACTTGTTATATAAGATTAGAAAAATTGCATAATCACAGTTAGTCTTGTTCTACTTTCATCTGGGACACCATGTGGTAATCTACAGTGTATTCAGATGAAACAAGTAATTTATTCATACTCAGCTGTTCTGAGACATCTGAGCAAATTCTACCAGTATTATTATGATTCTATTGAATCATATAGATGTCCTGGTCGTATCCTTTTTTAATTTTCCAACCCTTTACTGATCTATCTGAGCTGTCAGTAAAGAGCAAATAAAAATGAGTGGGTAACCATCAAATCTATCATCTACTCTTCAGCTGTTTGCAGAAGGGTTTTCCAAAGTGTATCCAAACAATCTCACGATCACTTCTCAGTTGATTTGAAAGATTCTGACTCCTTTCTCTTCACAATCTTTATCATTCTTATTTTTCTGCAGCCAACCTGAAGGAGCTGATTTCTCAGACCATAACAAGCTGGGCTCAGGAGTCTCACATTCAGGACCCGGAGTTGGTCAGGGTGATGTTCAGCCTGCTGAGGAGGCAGTACGACGGCATCGGCGAACTGCTCCGGGCCATGAAGAAATCTTATACCATCAGCGCTGCATCTGTGCTGGATGCTATTAACCTGCTGGCCTCTCTGGGTCAAATCAGGTCTCTGCTGTCAGTGCGCATGGGCAAGGAGGAGGAGAAACTCATGATTGATGGACTGGGGTAAGAAAATATGTTGCTATAAAAGCAGTTACAGTCCTTTCTTTTTTAAGAACTGCGGTATACCTTGCTAATGCTTTTTCAGGGTGCTGCTGAATGCTGCTGTATTATTCTGTTATTACGGAGCATTTCCGAAGCACAATGTTCTTCAATACCGTGATGTTTACAAATAATGTCTTTGTGTTCCTAGTGACATCATGAACAATAAAGTTTTCTATCAGCATCCGAATCTGATGAGAGTTCTGGGCATGCACGAGACTGTCATGGAGGTCATGGTCAACGTGTTGGGAGGAGACAAGTCCCAGGTACGATAGTTGATATTCAACCTCTCTGTGCCACAAGGAAGAATAATTCCCTCTTAAAAAAAACAAGCTTTCCTTGAACTTAGTGAAATGCCTGGTGTGGAGTCCCTTGTTTAACGTTTAATGTCATGAAATACAATGGCGTAACACCACGCTGTGGATGGATTGGTAGAGTTTACACAAAAAAACAAAAAAAACTGGATCTCCTCTTAAAGATTCCACTGACCATCAGTGCAGCCCCATCTGTTTGTCAAGAGAAGTTCTTAAAAGACAAGAACCAGAATGTGTTTATGGCCAAAGTAGCAAAACACCCCATCAGAGGAAAAAATAAAATCAGCCATGTTAATATAAAATTAACCTTTTAAATGTTTGTGTGCAGAAAAGTCTGCAGTTTTACATTGATGCTATCTCAACACATTCCAGTGTAAGATCGTTTTCATCCTGTCCACATCTGTTCATTTTTACCCTGAATAAACACACAAGAAGCACTTTTTCTGATATCATCACACCATACCATATTGTTGTTTTATACTCAACTCCAGGGAACTTTGTTTCTCCAAATAATTCCACACTGGTTTTACATTTTCACATAAGCTCGCTGAATATTGCCTGCAATCAAAGAGAGGTTAGCTCCTCATTAACTCTCAAAATAGTTTAAACCTGCTACTTAACACCACCCCCTCATTAACTGAATAGGATCATCCAGCCAGGGAGTGTTCCTGATGAGTCTGTAATGGAAGCTACACAGTAATCCCCACAAGTTTCTCCTTTTTTTGCTGCATACTAATGAAATTCCAGCTCCAGAAATGGTATTAATCACACCATGTTCTGTATCTGGAATGGCCCTTTGTGCCCTCAGGATCACTGTAACTGTAAGATACTTTATTTAGTTGCTTTGTGCAAGATGCATCTCACAGACTGGACTCAGAATGCTCTCCTCTCAAAAACCTTGTGATGAAATATCAAAACTTCTGTCCAGTCACAGAGTCCAAAATCAGCACATGGTTATCTTTCATGCTAAATTTAGACATTATTGGACTTTAATGTATGGGATCAGGATTATTGAACATTTCTATTAGAGGTAAAACTTGACAATAAACAGAAGGACTTTACCTGGGAAAAGTTTGGGTGCTTCAGAAAAGCAAATGATATCCTCTGAGGTTTTAGGTTAGCCAAGATCAACAGCCTAATACCCAGAAAAACCACAAGGCATGCAGCCTCTCCAACCCCGCTGACAGAAGCTGTGAGAGCCAATGGGGATTTCGGACGAAGGCCAGAGCCAAACATGAATTCAACCTCAGACAGGCAGACCTCAGGGACACTTTAAGGGCCTCATGACTGACTCTGGCAGTCTGACCACAGTCCCAGGCATAAACTCTGGGCTGTCACCTGATATGAACACTCACCGTGGCCATATAAAGGGCCAGCGCCACCGCTCATGAGCATGTATCAGGCCCATGTTATTTACAATGTGATCCCTTTTACCGTTGATTTAATCATCATATGGCGCTTCAATAGCATCAGTGATTTGTACCATATTAAGTTATTGATTAGTCCGTTAGCCCCTGCTTATCATTCAATCAACAATAAAAAAAACACTCACCAGATTTTCCACGTTAAAAAGGCAAACTTTGTGTCTTACTTTTAAAGTAGGGAAACGTTTGGCTGGATCCAGAGCTCAACAGTTGCCTGATAGGTGAGGTTTTCAGCGTGGTGCACTTTTGCAGATTATAATTTGCTGACAGAGAGGTCAGGGTTTTCTCCCCCCCTCCGGTTGTCTGCCTATCCCTCTGGCAATTTACTTACATCTCTGGGCTGGAAGAAAAAATTACTCTGCTGATTTATGCTCAGACTGAACCTTGGACTGAGCCCACAGTAGAACTTATAAAAATGAGGATGACTCTAAAGAAAGAGGATTAGATGCAAAAAGGCTTCAAGGTGAAAGCTTCCTGAGCAGAAAACAAACGTTATTAGTTTCCCCTCACATGAGAGTCACCTTTAGCAGGGTTTATTTCACATGAACCATATCAAACTGACCCAAACACTACTTTGTCATCCTAAATCTCCTGCTGCTGTAGATCTGCTCATCTTTTGGGAATTGATTTATTTTGGGAAGCCTAAATGTTTTTCGGTGCATCCTGACGTTTTGTGTTTCCCCCCCCAGGAGATCGCATTCCCCAAAATGGTGGCCAGCTGTTGTCGTTTCTTGTGCTATTTTTGCCGCATTAGTCGCCAGAACCAGAAGGCCATGTTTGACCACCTGAGCTACCTGCTGGAGAACAGCAGTGTGGGGCTGGGTAAGTGACCGGCCCGCTAAGAGCATCCTCTCCCGGCCGCCTGTGACGGTGAACTAATGGATTTTCAGTGTATCATTCTGAGGGAAAGTGTGCAAAAAGATCCACACACGAAGGGAAGGCAAGCCCGCGGAAAAGATAAATACTGAGAAAAGGTTTCTTTGACATTTAGAAATCATTCTTCTTGTATTTGCCACACGAGAGCACTGAAAATGCCAAGTTGCTGCAGGCTGGAGGATTTTTCTTCTTTCTTTTTTTTAGTTGAAGTTCATTCTGAGGCTCATCACCCACATTATAAGAAGCATCCAGCGAAGAAGAAACGGGTTGTAATTCAAAATGCCAGAATATCAAGTTCAGAGGAAAGGAGTGAGAGAGGCCAAAGGTTTAATTGTTCCGCAAATGACTGCTGCTGCACACAGTTGAAGGAAAAGAGGTTCTATTGATCCATTGAGGGCAGATGAATGATGTGCACAGATTGTGGTACACAGCTTGACACTTGGTGTCTGCCCATCAGTAAGAACCATCACAGCAAATATGTCGGATTGCAATTGATTATTGAAAGACTCATGAGGACCTTTGCTTCAAGCCTCATTAATGCCCATCATTCACTCATTCACTATGAATAGATAAACTGCCAGACTACAAACAAAAACTATAACGTATTCGTGTTTCGGTGTACCACATTGAACTGATCTGAAATCAATGAGACTTTTTTTTTAGTAGTGATGGGAAATGATGTGGTTTCAATGTGAATGAAAAGTTCAATTTAAAAAAATTGGCAAACTTGTGATCATGTGCTCATGCTCAGGAAGGAGATGAGCAGAGCACAGTTAAAAAACTGCATAAAAGAAAGTGCAACAACAACAAAAAGGCTTTTTAAAATGATTTTGTGGTTGACTTTAGAATAAGAATCAGAGGTAAAAGTTTATTTGAATATAGTTTTTACAAGATTTTTCAGACATAGTGACTGAAGTTTGTTTCTGTTTGTGGGCATGATGGTGTAGGGAGTTGGTTTATTGGAAGATGAACTCTTTTGCTCTGGAAGACAGAAAAAATTGATCACAATTAATGATTTAAGTACCTGCTTGGGGTCTCCTCCTAATCACTGTGACAAGGACTCACCTTAAAAGTCTTTTCTGCCTCCGACTCATTCTCCTTTTAGACTCTGTGAAGGCTGGGATGGAGAGATCATGCTCTGCTGCCCATTTCTCAAAGCGCTCCTCCTCCTTCTTTCTTCGAGTCTGCTTTTTTTGGCGCTTATTTTCCCAGTAGGCATCCAGGTTTTCCTTAAGGCTTTGCCTTCTTTTGTCACGTTTCAGCCATTTCTTTCTTTTCTGTCTTTCTCGCTGAGCTCGCGTCATTGGATAGATGAAGTTGAAGTTTGCTTTAAATAGGAAGTGGACAAGAAAGCATGTTAAAACAGCACAGTTGTTGATGAGAAGTGGGTGAAAAAAACATTTTTATCGTTGCCTTACACTCATAAGACTCAAAGCCCTCCTTTTCCTCTCGCGTGTATGACTTGGTGAGCTTTCTCTTATAGTGGTTTTGGATCAAATGATTGAACCAACCAAGTAATCTTCTTCGGACGCTCTTCTCTTTACCTTTTTCTCCAACTTCTGCCGTTTCATCCGGCTGGAGTTCAAAGTTTTCAAAGTCATCCTGGTTTTCCTGGGCCGCCGTTGGACATGTTTTGTCCTGGTTGTCCGTTTCTCCCGGCTCCTCTCGTGGCTCTTCAACAGGAAAAGAACTGTGCAGCAGCTCCTCTCCTGTGAATGCATCGTCGTCTTTTTCCACCCCTTCCACGCAAACCTGTTTAGCTGTTGCTATGCTAGGTTTGTCGAAATGGACTGTTATTTGGCATGTTTTAACGGTGTAGCCCCACTCTGGTAAACTGGGTGTGGGAGCAGCAGAGGCTGGAGAGTGACCGGTGCCTTCGGTCATCAGGTGTCTGCTCCAGTGGCAAAGGTTTTTACTGTGAACGTGATAGGAGAGGGGTATATCGCACTTGAACAGTTCCCCTCTCATAATAGGTTTAGGAAGAACTCTCATCACTTTGTTTGTGATGGACTGGACCTTGTCTTCCTGTTGACACACAAGAAAATAGTATCCAAGTGTTAAAAGTGCTATTACTTTTCTCCAAAAGTCTTTATAGAACTTAGCTTCCAAGACACAAAAATATTTTATTTTCACGCAAATGTTGGCTTTATTTTTCAGAAGTAAACAAGGTTTCCCCGAAGACATTCATTCATTTTTTTAGACATTTTAGCATCATTCAAAAATAGTTAAGACTTTTCAAGCTGATAAAATAGTCTTCTCTACATTCATTGTATTGCACTTGCATTTTTTTTCGACCACATATAGAATTAAAATGGGTTCAGAATCTTTGTGAGATGATTGTCGAATCATTCTTCATCCCAAAGCGGCACTTCTCTAGAGCTATTATGATGCAACACCATGGCAACAGCAGAGATGTTGTCCTTTTGGAGCAGCCTAACTGAGCTATGCAAAGCCCAAATAATGACTGAAACAAGACCCTAAATAGATTGAATGGATTTTGTTAATAAAAAGGAGATACGAAGAGGAAAAAGAAATAACGGAAGGAGGAAGATTATTTAGAAAGGAAACATTGCTGCCACCTCTCCTGTCAGCTGTTGGACTGTCGTGGCTGTGAAATCCATTTTGTTTGTCTGTTTTTGTTTTGTTTTAGTTTTTTTTGGTCTTACGTTCCACCCAATTTAAAAAAAACAAAATACATCTGTTGCTATGGTAATGCATCACGACAGATTTGAATGTGTGCTTGAATTACCTGATTAAATAATCCAATTGTTTTTGTTCTTTAATTTTTTATAAGATTATTTTAAAAAATAAAAACAAAAAATCCATCAGAAAATCTTTAGGAGAAACAAAGAAAAATCAAGCTCAGAGCTGCCACCTGTTTGGTGCCGTTCTACAAGTTTAGCAATAAGCATAGTTTGAGCTGCTTTTTAAATGAAAATTCACATGTTTCTGCAAGCCTTTTTTAACCTGAAAATCTGAAAATGTCAGTTTTCACATTTGGGTAGAACATGTGTGGCTCACCCAAAGATTTATGGCAGTATTGCTCAAAATGTGCCAAACAAAACTTCAAAACTGTACCAGAGTTAACTGCAGGGTAAAACCAAATATGCCCAAACATATTAGTTTGAACCTTTTTTAAAGAAAATATGATTAAAGTATTTGCAATTGAAATGTAAAAAAAAAAATTAAAAAAATTGGGACACACTGAATTTGGTTCTGCTAAGCAGACTCGGCTAGGTCTAACATAAGTTAATGATCCCCTTTACCTTTTTGAGAAAGCAGTCCAAATCAACATCTTCCCAATTCAGTCTTTCCAGAACATTAGTGTATGATCCCCTGCGAGCGGCAGAGGGACTCTGGATGCCGTCCTTTGTGTTCAGCTTTGAAAAGCCGTGTTCAGTTTCTGTTGTTGGTGCCTCCATGAGGTCCAAAGGTTTGATGATTCTTAGGTTCCTGCTTACGGACAGTGCTGAAGAAAATAGTTTTTTTCCGTACTGTACAGGCAGTGTGTGCTCGTTCTTTGCTCCTAGAAGAGTGAACTGTGAACAGAATGTTAAGCATTCTGTGTTTAAAAAATGGTAGAACACAACAAAAAATATGAACAAAAACAGACAATAAGAGAGTTTTGAATCAAAACAAAAGGCCAAAATGAATTCAAAATATTGATAGAATATATAGAATAGAATACTTTATTGACCCCACAGTGGGGAAATGTACTACTTTAATATAAATGTAATATGATATAATATATACTGTACTATTTCATATTAATAATATTTAATGATATTGAATTTCCATAGCTAATAAAATATGTTTTTTTTATCTGTTCTGTCAGCCTTTCTATTTTTTAAATTTTATTTACAAGTTCAAGCAACACAATAATGACAGCAGACAGATGTGTTTGCATGTAAAATGTGTGGGTGGTTAGATAGTTTTGGATCCTGTTCTTAGAGAACTGAGAATATCAAGACAGGCACATGTTGTTGGAAAGGTCTGTTTTTAATACACAGCAACCACAGTTTGCTTTGCTTATGAGACTGTGTGTGTGTGTGTGTGTGTGTGTGTGTGTGTGTGTGTGTTCAGCCTCGGAGGCCATGCGGGGCTCCACGCCCCTGGATGTGGCAGCATCTTCAGTGATGGATAACAATGGCCTCGCTCTGGCTCTGGAGGAGCCCGACCTGGAGAAGGTTTGTTGCTTCTACAATAAGAACAATAATAATAGTGATGATGATGATAAAAACAATAGTAACAATATGATACTATAATGAAAATTCAGTAACAGCAGGAGGTTTAATTGAACTTAAATGTTGATACTCGGTACTTTTTTTGCCCTTTAAACTGTTGGTTGATCATTTTCATCACTTTGCATATATGCTTTTTGGCAAAAAGACAGTTTTCTTTTAGAAATTTGCATGGAAGCTATTCACCACTCACTTATGTTGGACATAAATCAGAAAGTAAAACTCATGCCTTCCATGTTTTCTCTCCAATAACCCAGACTGTCATTGTGGCAGTAAACTTTCGTGGAAAATGCTTTCAGGCTGTCCCAGTTTGTGATGGGGTCAAAAAGGCAGACCCGTCCATTAAAAGCCCCGGGAGTGAAGCAGGACTGTTTGTGTGTAGGTGGTGACATACCTAGCGGGATGTGGTCTCCAGAGCTGTGCCATGCTGGTTGCCAAGGGTTACCCGGACATCGGCTGGAACCCCATCGAGGGAGAGCGCTACCTGTCCTTCCTCAGGTTTGCTGTCTTCTGCAACGGTACGTCGGTCCATTTCATCCTCAACTGTGACTTTTACTGGGCATTTTGACATGCACTGCATTGAATGATCAGAGGCTTACTCACTGCTTTCTGGAAGTGTTTACCTGGTTTCTAAGAATACTTTTGCCCCAACAGGAAGCCATAACATAAAATAAGTGTTTGAAACCCACTGTGAGGACTTGATTTAAACTTTGGCTTGCGTGTGAATCCTACAAATGATCCAAAAAGGCCTAAAAGATAGTTGTTGATGGAACATTTTGCATGACTTTAATTTTGTATATGTATTTAAAGAAATAGAAGTATATTACAAATCCATTGCATTACATTACAATCCATTAATAGCCAATGTGCAAAAACATTTACACGTTTTAAATATAAACTTCTTTTCTCATGCAGTACATGACCACAGCCTGTTTTATCATCCTCCGTTTAATGAACAAATCTTTAGCCTCGGTCTCTTTAGCGCCTGTCTTCAAAGGAGCTAATTCTGATTGCTCAGCAAACTGCTTAGAAATGAACTTTGCCCCATGTAGACGTTCATTTCATGGTTGTTGCTGTAAAAACTGGCTACTAAACACTTGTTTAACAGTGTCATGAATTAGTAATAATAAACAATGATTGAGAGTTTGTTGGATTTATTCCAGTCAGAGTGAGCTGTTGGCTATCCTCCCCTAACCTATGTAGACATCTTAGCTTGACCCCTATAATATGGGATACATTATAGATGTAGGTGTGGGTTGTGTGTGTATGGATGCATTGAAGGATTATTAATAACAGTGTAACTGTAATCAAAAACGGGATATGAAGTGATTTAAAAAATCTGCAAGCGAGGACGCCAAAGTGCTGCTGAGTCGCCAAGACAGAGAGGTGGAAATGTTGGTCAGCTCTTCCTGGATAAAAAAATATATCAGTCTTTCAGCAAGTTGCTGAATAACACTTCTGGATATCTGCGGTGTAGCTGAGTGTTCAGTTCTTTTGAGAATGATATTAAGCGTTTGCTAAAGTGCGAGAGAGATTAATGGAACGGCCTCTCCTGTTGGTGTGCGTCTCAGGTGAGAGCGTGGAGGAAAATGCCAACGTGGTGGTCAAGCTGCTGATCAGACGTCCAGAGTGCTTCGGCCCCGCCCTGAGGGGAGAGGGGGGGCAGGGTCTGCTGGCCGCCATGAATGAAGCCATCAAGATTTCTGATGATCCCGCTTTGGACCTGCCCAACACCCCTGTTGGAGTCCCTACAGGGTGAGAGCCTGACCTCACAGCTGGTTCCTGACAGGGTTTTAAAGACCAAAAATCCATCCAGACGAATTGTTAGACTTCTAATTAGCTGTGTGAACTGTTATAGTTTCTGTTATATTTGATATCCTGTGTATTTGTGAGCTCTGCTCAACCGGAATTAGTCCTCCCTGTTACAGTGCTGTATCATAAGAATTTGATATGCTATTTACCTCCATTACTGAGAAGGGATTCAAGTTAATCCTATCGGCTCTGCTGATACAACACTGTTGGAAGAAAGGGTTTATTTACTGTTTTATTAAGTATTAGGCAGACATAATTTATTTTGTAATAAGCCCATCCATTCAGTATTTTTAAATTGTCTTATATCATTTTTTTTGCACGCATGAGGAAAAAATTTACACGAAATACATAACTAAGTGAATGGGAGAAAATTGTAATCGACATCCAAAATAAAATAAGAAAGAACATATTTTTGATCAGTTCGAACAACTTTAACCCTTTAGCTTTTGTCGATCTCTGGCTGATTTCACTTTTGAAATTAAATTTAAAGCATCTTTCAAAAAATGGTACCAGATTGAAATATGACATAAGGGTATGATTTTCTTTTTTAAAGAGAAAAGTTTAATAAAAAGGGTTTAACTCAGCTTTGATAGGAATACAAAGGTTGCAACGAACTGGCTGCATTTTAAAGCAGAAAAAAATATCGCTTGAGGTCAGAAGTGGCATTTGGAAGCCAGTCAGAATCAATACCTATCGCATAGTGGCTTGTAAAGAGGTCACATATTGTACCAAATGACTGTTCTGTTCTCATAAAAATACCCACCTACTGCTCCCATGATGACCTTTTGATACTCTTTTAAACGCATTGACGTGAGCGGTTAATACAGTCACAGGTAAACTTTGCCCTCCGTGTGTTTTAGCTCTGGCGAGGAGGAAGAGGAGGTCATTCACATGGGCAACGCCATCATGTCCTTCTACTCCGCCCTCATCGACCTGCTGGGGCGCTGCGCTCCAGAGATGCATGTGAGGCCCTCAGAGAACATACCGTGCATCACGCAAGGGGCTGAGCTGTGTCAGACTTAAGTCATGGCCAAATTTGTAATGTTACGTAGTGGTAGGACAGCCTAGGAATGGTGGTTTTACGTGGTCTTGTGTTTCCTGCAGCTCATCAACGCGGGCAAAGGTGAAGCGCTGCGTATCAGGGCCATCCTGCGCTCTCTGGTTCCCACCTCCGACCTGGTGGGCATCATCAGCATCCCCCTGAAAATGCCTGTGGTCAATAAAGGTAAGCAAATGAATTTTATGCTGGTGTCAGTGGTTGATGTCATTACATGGAGAGAGACGAGGCAGGCAGAGCAGCAGCAAAATAATCTCAGATAGAAATGGGAATCCAAAAGAGATTGAAAATCTCCCAGCAGAGGCAGAAAGTGTTTTTTTTTCTTGATTAAAGGCTGAAGCTGTGCTGTCATCACCACATGTGTGTGAGTGTGTGTGTGTTACCATGTATCACCCTCTGTTGTTTTACTGTAACCATTTAGAGGAATGTGGCTGTTGTGGTGCCCATCTCACACTGTCAGATCAAGGAAACTGGAGTGATTTCATATATCTTGCCTTCGAGAATCATATATCACAGTAAATGGCTCTGTCCCAGCAGCAGCAAGCATCACTTAGCAGTGAATTAATTTCCTTCTCTCTTTCTTCACTGTGGAGGAAAGCCATGCCTATAAAGTGTTTTCATCCGCTTTGAAATAATCCATCATATTCCCTTCTTTCCTCCATTTCCTCGGAGTTTCCTTTATTTATATATCCAGTCTCCAAAGTAAGATTCGAAAGTATCCCCTGCTCCCTGAAATGGTAAATGTATGTTTGCTGAGTGTAAATCTCCATGTACTTTGCAAACAGTCCGGAGTGTTTGTCATTTTAAATGTGTTTGAAACGGCAGACGGCACGGTGACTGAACCTGACATGTCAGCAAGCTTCTGTCCGGACCACAAGGCCCCCATGGTGCTCTTCCTGGACAGGGTGTATGGCATCGAAGACCAGAGCTTCCTGCTCCAGATGTTGGAGGTTGGCTTCCTGCCCGACCTGAAGGCCTCTGCATCTCTGGACACGGTGAGGCCTGAAGAATGTTCGATAAAGCTGTTTGTGGAGTATAATTAAAACTATTTTAGTGTAAAAAAATCTCCTTCTTGCTGTCCTGATGTACAGCTTAGCCCAGAGCTACACTGCGTGGAATGACTGTCAATTTAAATTAGAGATGAGGGAGGACGGCGTGCCAGTGATTTACCTTCGAAAGCATCAGCTTGCATTATTAAAGTTGATGCAGAGCTGCTTTTGCTCAGTTTTTAAAGTTTAACAATGTGAAATTGTGCCTTTTAATTCTATTCCCAATGTATTGGTTGATAAACGGATCACTTTTGAAGGGGTGGAGGAGCAGGTTTTCGCGTGATCAAATAGAAATGGCAAATTAAAGAAGGTGAATCTGAAAAATGTTTTGACTCCTTTTTTTTAGATTGTTTCTTCTTTTACACTTCCGGGTCATGCTGATGTATGTGAATGTAGATAATGGATATATTTTTTGTTAAGTAGTTTGGAATGCAACAAATTGTGCTATTTTGATTGTCACACTGTGACACTACAAAGTCAAACTCCCTGTCAATCAAGGAGTTTTCTCCATAATCTGTATTCTTTGGTCTGTGAAGAGCACTTCCTGTCTCACAGCGGGTTGGTTGTTGTTTTGCCCCCCAGGAGGTGCTGAGCACCACGGAGACTGCGCTGGCCATGAACAGGTACATCGGCTCGGCCCTGCTGCCCCTGCTGACCCGCTGCGCCGCCCTCTTTGCCAACACCGAGCACTACGCTCAGCTGGTGGACTCCACGCTGGAGACCATCTACCGGCTGTCCAAGGGCCGCTCACTCACCAAAGCCCAGAGGGACGCCATCGAGGAGTGTCTGCTCACTATCTGCAAGTAAGGCTTCAGACTAAGTGAGGAGAAAAAAAAACTGCCTCTTAGATCGTGATAGGTTTCACAGCTCTGCAGCAAAAACAGCTTTTTATCTCAGCACATAAATTGGAAAGTATAATTAAACGGGTTTTAACGATGATTCCTTTAATGGTTTTATTTTAGAATTTGACATGGCTAAAGTGGAAATGCAATATTAATGCTGGGCTGTTTAAATCTGTGTTTAGATGAGTAGGATTTGACCAAAGTGCTCTAGACTGAATCAAGAACCGGCTATTGTAAAGCAGAGAAATAAACTAATTGATACAGGCAGCAAGAGGATATAATGCAATAGATGAAAGTAAAATAATCAAAACGGCTGAAAAAGATGTTGCAAGTTAGAACTAAGATGCAGCAGAAGGCAAAAGCAAATCAGAGGCCCTGTGATTTGCATGTATGCATGCAGCACATGATAACTGAGTGTCTTGTTATCATACGATTTGCTCTCATTCTACAGGCATCTGCGTCCCTCCATGATGCAGCAGCTGCTCAGACGCCTGGTGTTTGATGTTCCCATGCTCACCGAATACTGCAAGATCCCTCTAAAGGTGAGACAGTGAAATGAGTAAACTGGGGGATTTATGAAGTGTATTTCGAGAAGCGCATATGAAGCCTTTAGGTGCTTTCCCTCCAAACTAAACTTTGGAATAAGATTTTTGGTGCTTTATAACCTGACTCATTTAGATTTCTTATGCATGTGATCTCCAGCTGCTGATCAACCACTATGAGCAGAACTGGAAGTACTACTGTCTTCCCTCTGGGATGGGCAGCTTCGGAACAGCCTCCGAAGAGGAGATCCTTCTCACCAAGAAACTCTTCTGGGGAATCTTTGACTCCCTTTCTCAGAAGGTACCGCCAGAATCCATGTTTTATAGATGGCTCTCCTCCGAAAATGTCAAAGTTCTCTGATATGTCAGCGTGCAGAAAAGAATTTATGCGAGGTGGTTCGCTGGCGTATTCTGTTTTCTGGTAATCTTCAGTTTTCTTTACCGCTCGCGTTTCCCTCTTGAGAAAAAGGTTCATGTTTTTCAAAAGCAGAGAAGTGAATGCTCAATAAAGTGCTGTGAGCAGTGCAGCTGAAGCAAAACCAAAATGGATGAATCATTTATCAGTCTGTGACAGCCTGTTACTCGGTGCAAACTTTCTCAGCTTTATATATTTAATGGCGTCCTTATTTATTTTTTAGGCTGGTTCAGATCTTCTCAGTCTGTCAAATAGTGTCTTCCAGCTGAAATAGATGAAGGCAGAACTGTAGGGAGCCCAGTTTGTAACCCCTTCCTGCTTTGTGGTACTTCTGCCTGTAGAAATATGATTCTGAGCTGTTCAAAATGGCCATGTCGTGCCTGTGTGCCATTGCCGGAGCCCTCCCTCCAGACTTCGTGGATACCAGTTTAGGGGCGACTTTAGAGAAACAGGGTTCGGTGGACGCACAGGGCAACTTTGACCCCAAACCCGTCAACACTGCCAAGTAAGTCCCTCGTAGTGTCCAGAACCAAAACTGGAACAATACATTAATGGTTAAAGATTGTGTCCAGAAGTAAAACTGACTGCAATGATATGAAATATTTAAACCTGATCTTCACTTTCCAGCATCTCCCTTCCTGAAAAACTTGAGTACATTGCCAATAAATATGCAGAGCATTCCCACGACAAGTGGTCCTCAGAGAAGGTTAGTTCAGATTACAAAGTGTAAAGAGTTAACTTTCTCCTGTACTGTGGCTCAGCTCATTTAGACTTAGACTGAATGCTGCACCATTAACTGTGATGAATCGCTGTTACAGATGTCATCTGGGTGGAAACATGGAGAAGGCGTTGATGAGCAGGCTAAAACCCATCCACTGCTAAAGCCGTACAAAGCTCTGGGTGAAAAGGTAAATGGAAACTGCAAAAAAAAACCTCTGACAAAGAGCCAAATGCCTCAAGGGTTCGAAAGTACAAACCTTATCTCCATTTACATGTTTATTCTTTTTACTTGGAGTAGTTCTATAGGAGGATTAACAAAGCAGGTCCAGAGAAAGTTTAGCCTCCTCTTAGGCATGGATATTTAGCAGAGAGCAAACAATGGTAATTAATTAATAATAACATTAGGCTGTGGATTGTCACTTGAAAGCTTAATATGCTAAACAGGAAATTTCAACATTTTCCTGGTACTTTTTGGATGAGACTTCTGCAGCAGAACAGAAGACGGGAGCCTTTGGAGCGATGCAGCTATCTTTGATGAGGCTTAATCCAATTTAAGGTGCAGACTAAACTTGCCAACAGGCTTCCAAATGAAGATCCATCTGTCTTTTGTCCCTGCCTTAATCTGTTCCTGTAGTGAAATCGAATATTCATCAGCTTCTGGCAAAAGATCGAAGATCGAGTCACTTTGAGAACCTCCCCTAGCATTGGAAAATAATGATGAATTATACTCTAAACAAGCAGCACAACTTTTTTTTTCTTGCTGAAAAGTAAAATTATTCATACATAGTCTACCTTTATAGGCAGTTATTTTGCTATATCTTCCTACATACAAACATTTCTAATTGGAAAACAGTGACAGCTGGTGGCCGCACTGCATTTGGGTTGTAATTTAAAAAGAAAAGTCCAACTTCTCCGTGCTTAATCTGCAGGAGAGAGAGACGTACCGCTGGCCTGTGAGAGAGTCTCTGAAGAGCATGTTGGCCATGGGATGGAACATTGAGAGGGCCAAGGAGGGAGAGGCTGTGATTCAACAGCGAGAGAGCGAAAAACAGCGCAAAGTCTCGGAGTCTCAGGTAAACTTTGGTGATTTATTGTTTCAGTGCCGTCGGCAGAATGTAGGCTTGTGTGATTATAGCCCATTTTTCCAGTCTCAATGAATGATTCACTCTGATCTCAGACAAATAATGAGGTTGGTTTCGTCTCTTTTGAAGCCGTCCATCTTTTAATATTTACCTTTTGAGATCTAGATCAGTTTTAATGACTGTATATAGAGGCACTTCATAACAAATAGACATCTCAAGATATTTAGTTAAAGCAATCCAACCTTTTGAAGTATTCAAATGGTCCCATTTAAACGGGGGGATCCATTTTAATGTGGCCTAATGTGTACAAAGTGACTGCTGATGGCTTTTATCAGCATAGCTTCATTCATCACACAGAGTTTTATTTTATTAAGACGCGTGGTGTATTTGTCAAAGTGAAAGCAGCTAAATGGAGTACAGGTATGTCCTGTCTAAAGGAATGATGTTGAGATAATGGTATAATTAAATTTCTAGTGTGCTCTGTCACCAAAGTTGTACGGTGTTATGCTTAATAATGTGAGCACCTGTCAGAGCTCTGAGAAAATGAAAGTGTCGTAATCTTAAATATAGAGGCAGAAAAGAGACCTACAAACTACAATTTAAAAAAAAATCTAAATCACCTAATGTGACCTCTAAGGATGCCAATGTGGAATTATGGTATTTTATGCTGCTTTTGCAAAATAAGCAAAGCTGTATAGTGGACTGATCTTAAAGGGAAATACAGGGTTTTATTTACTTTCTTTATTTTACGTCTACTTTCTCGTTAACGTTCCTCGTCTTGTCTCTCTAGATGAATGGATTCAGTCCAGCTCCAATGGATCTTCACAGTGTCACTTTGTCCAGAGAGCTGCAGGTTCCTTTTGACTTGTCTCCAAACTTTACTCAGATAAAGATTCTGGTGTTATAAAGCTCACGTTGATGCTGTTTCTGCAGGGCATGGTGGAGGTGGTGGCGGAAAATTACCACAACATCTGGGCTAAGAAGAAGAAATCTGAGCTCCTCAGCAAAGGTGTCCAAAGAAAGCAGATTGAAATGCACGGGGGGGTTCCTTTGATCAGTGTACGGTGTAAAGTGACTGTCAATGATCTGTTTGACTGACCAGGAGGAGGGGCCCACCCGCTGCTGGTCCCCTATGACACCCTGACTGCTAAAGAGAAGCACAGAGACAGAGAGAAGGCCCAGGAGCTCTTCAAGTTCCTGCAGATAAGTGGCTACGCTATCACGAGGTAAGCCCCCCCTTCAGGTTTCTGTAGCTATGTCAGTTGATTTAACAGATATCATGCGTCTAACTTCACTGTGAGCTGTTTCTGAGTTGTCGTGGTCACCTGAGATCTTTGTCCCACAGAGGCCTGAAGGACATGGAGCAGGACTCATCATCCATGGAAAAGCGCTTTTCCTACAAGTTCCTGAAGAGGCTGCTGAAATATGTCGACTCGGCACAGGAGTTCATCGCTCACCTCGGTCAGTTTTGCTGCACGTGTGGTCACATGGAGAAAAAAACACAGATGCCACTACTGGCTAAGTTATAATGTTAAATGTTCAAGTTCATAACAGTAAATGCTGCTGAATTACGGGTATTAGTTGTTTTTTAATAACAACATAGTGACTTATCTCACTTTGGGTGAAATTTTTCCAGTTTGAAGACCTGGAAATGGACACATACATTTTTTTTTAATGGTCCTTTCCTGGTTCATGAAACCTTAGAATTGAAAGAGGCTGTACTTTCTTTACTCATGACTGAAGTGAAGCGTCAGCATCTCTTCGATCCTAAATGGTTTTGCTAAACTTGTAATTCAACATTATTGTTAATGCAGAGGCTATGGCCACCAGCGGGAAGACCGACAAGTCCCCTCACGACCAGGAAATAAAGTTCTTTGCCAAGGTTGGGAGCACTTTTTTCAAACTAAGCCACTGTTTCACTACAGAGGATTTATTTGCAATTAAACCTTGACGTGGATTCTCTTTTCATTTCCCCCAGGTCTTGCTTCCGATGATTGATCAAACCTTTAAAAACCACTGCCTCTACTTCCTGTCCACACCCAGCCAGAACCTGAGCAGCTGTGGCTGCGCCTCCAACAAAGAGAAGGAGATGGTCACCAGGTAGAAGCTGAGCCTCATCTCAAATATTCTTAAAACCTTTTCTTACTTCCGTCCACTTGCTTTTCCCTTCATTCTCCTTCAGTTCTGCCCTTAACTCCCCTCTTTTTCAGCCTGTTCTGTAAGCTGGCAGCTCTTGTCAGACACAGGATTTCTCTCTTTGGTGAGGCTGGCATCGCTTCTGTCTGTATGCTCGAGATTATCCGTAAACCTAAAAGCCCGTCGGTATTTACAGTGAATGTCTTTGTGACAGGAAGTGATTCAGCGGTGATGGTGAGCTGTCTGCACATCCTCACTCACTCACTAGACACCAGGTGAGTGTGTAGTTTTCGTCAAAGGCTGAAACGGCTTCGATTCAAAGGATAGATTTGGCCTGAATATTCAGAAATGTCTGAACAGATTCTAGCTTTTAAATGTCTCCTTCTGTCAGAACGGTGATGAAGTCTGGCGCGGAGCTGGTGAAAGTCAGCTTCAAGGCTTTCTTTGAGAACGCAGCCGAGGACCTGGAGAAGCTGGTGGAGATGCTGAAGCTGGGGAAGTTCATGCAGTCCCGCGCCCAGATGAAGAGCGTCACTCAGAGCATCAACTACGTGACGGTGGCGCTGCTGCCCATCCTCACCGCCCTTTTCGAGCACATCAGAACCTACGAGTTTGCCACGGAGCTGCTTTGTGAGTTCAGTCTGGGTTCTTTAAAAGGGGAAGGTGGACACATGACTACAAAACAAACCAGAGATGGTGTCGGAACAGATAACCGAAGGTTACATGTAATCCAAGTCGCCCTAAGGCTTGTATCCCCACGATTTGAATGCGTAATTAAAAGAATTTAAAATAAACACTTTTTCAACTCCTTTGTTTATGTCTTTGTTCCAGTGGATGACGTACAGCTGTCCTGTTACCGAATCCTGATGTGTTTCTACTCTCTGGGAACTGGAAAGAATCTCTTTGTGGAGAGGTAGGAAAAGCCCCCCCCCCCCCAGGGTTATGAAACACAGCAGTGCATTAGTTTTATTACACTTCCACAGCTAATTAGGGTTATGGACGACAAGCAGTTTTCATTAAGTCATTTTTGTTACAAATGCACTTAGGGGTTTTGGAATGCTTCATAGTCACTGATGCACAAGAGGTAAAAGTCTTTGATTTATATCTCCGTATTTTGGGGGGGAATCAGTCTGCGTTCCTGGCTTGAATTTCTTAAATCGTAAATTTTTCCAAAGCTGCTGCCGATTATGCATTTTCTCAGCCTCAGACGATCCAAGCTGTAAAATGTTGTCAAACCTACTTTGCTGGGTGGTCGCAAGCAGTGTGTGACTCCTCATTGTGACCCGGGACTCGTTCTCATGTCTGTTTTTAAAGGCATCTGCCGGCTCTGGGAGAGAGTCTGGCAACCCTGGTGGGGGCCATGCCCGTAGCATTCCTGGAGCCCCACCTAAACGCCCACAACCCCCTCTCAGTCTTCAACACCAAGACCCAACGAGAGAGAGCCAGTGAGTGTCCGGCCGGAGGCCCTCTTGACTCTGTCTGTAAATCAACCTGCTGTCGGGACTCGGTCAAAGTGACCGTGGCCGTTGTGTTCCAGTCCTCAGCATGCCCGACACGGTGGAGGAGATGTGTCCCGAGATGCCTCGTCTGGACAAACTGCTCAAAGACGTCAACGATATTTCCGAGTCTGGGGCTCGCTACTGCGACATGCCACAGGTCTGAAGGGATGATGGGGAATGTTGGTGTGAGAGACTGGTGGAAATTCAATTTCCAGACGACAAATGGCTTGGTGTATGTAGATGTCTGTGTGGGATCTATCGTGAAACATACTCAGGAGTAAAAGTTGTGTTTTTGTCCGTTTTACCTGCAGAATGTGACTTTGAAACTCTTAAACAAAGCAGTCTGGAGCATGGCGATGGCTTTTTTTTAACCTCCAGGACTTTTCTTACAGGTCATTGAGGTGATCCTGCCCATGCTGTGCAACTACCTGTCCTACTGGTGGGAGAAGGGTCCGGAGAATTCCCCCCCTGACGCCGAATGCTGCACCATGGTGACCTCCGAACACCTCAGCATCGTTCTGGGAAACATCCTCAAGATCCTGAACAACAACCTGGGGATTGATGACGCGCCCTGGATGAAAAGGATTGCAGGTAAGAGAGCCACTTTATTCTTCAGAAGCACGCACTCACAAAACGTTTCCTTCTTTATTAGGTTCTTTGTTCTGAATATGCTTTGTAGACATGGGGATACATTTGGTTTCTATGGGCTCCAAACCCTCAATGCAAATCTGACCTGACGCCTAATTTATTACTTAAAGCGGCGTTCTCTTACAACGGTGTTTAATTTTTCACATCTTGGTCTCCAGTGTACTCTCAGCCAATCATCTGCAAAGCTGGAGCAGATTTGTTAAAATCCCACGTCCTGCCGACGCTGGACAAAGTCAGGAAGACAACGGTGAAGGTGAGAGCTTAAAATGAGCGCATGCATCATCCAAAGTCGACCGGATTGTGGTTCGACTCTGGCCGACCTCCTGAAACCGAAGAGTATTGCTGAAGCTGTGTGGCGTGAGGAAAGCTCGCGCAGACGGCATCATTTCCACACTCGTGAGTGAGGCTGGTGCAATAAAATCCCATTTTAAAAGGCGTGCAATTGCAGGTGGTGGCTGAGGAAGAGCTGCTGAAAGCTGACGGTAAAGCAGACGTCCAGGAGGCAGAGCTGCTCATTTTGGATGAGTTTGCCATGCTCTGCAGGGACCTTTATGCCTTCTACCCCATGCTCATCCGTTACGTGGACAACAACAGGTAAAGCAGACTGGCAGGCTTCGTTTCTGATGGCTTACTCTGACGTGCTGCTTGATTACGAGTGATTCAAACACAAGGCGCATCTTGGCAATTTACCGAGAACCATTTGAATCGGGATCCCTTTCCTTACGAGTTTTAACCGTGTCCGCCTCAGATCCAGATGGCTGAAGGAGCCAGATGCCGACTCCACCGAGCTCTTCAGGATGGTGGCCGAGATCTTCATCCTCTGGTGCAAGTCAAATGTACGTCCCCCCCACCCGGCCACCAGACTGTTGCATAAACAACCCTGTTTAAAGTCTGATTAACCTATTATGTTTATCCTCTTCATTGCAGAACTTTAAGCGTGAGGAGCAAAACTTTGTGATTCAGAATGAGATCAACAATTTGGGTTTTCTGACCGGTGAAGGAAAGACAAAGATGTCCAAGGTAAAGAGGGGGTTAGAGTAGAATGTCTTCTTTTGGTCTATTCCGGGAATCTGTTTATACAAAAAATAAATAAATAAATAAATAAGAGACATTTTTGAGCAACAATGCTTTTGACAGATAGATAAACACTGTGTTTTGATGGGCCACTGCTGGGTGCTGAACCTATTTGATGTTCTACAGATGAGAGTTCACATCCTCTTAAATTCGCCACACTGCAGAGGTTTATGGCATCTTATATTTTTAAGGTAGTAAAGTTGGGGATATTTGTCAGCACTGACATTGGAGCACCACAAGCTGCACAGTCTGCTGTCACTGAGAATGAGTTGCTTTTCTTTCTGGGTGGAGCGGGGCACAGTTGGTGTGTTTTGCAATGATTTACCTCTGCGGGGGGAAAAAAAGCTTCTCGGCTCTAAAAGAAAATGCTCTGAATCATTCAAAAAGCACTTTGGGTTTCCTTGATGTACTGTATTAAAATAATATTAATGAAATTCCATGAATAGGTATTATATCAATGGAAACATTTTTTAGCTTTTTAACTTCTTTTTGATGCATAAAACAAGCTGCCAGGAAGGAAAATCCCCCAAAAGGATCCCTCTTTACAGCACTGACAGCTTCCAGCCACCTTAGGCTCTTCTAAGATGGCAGTCAGTTGAAAAGCTTCTGTCTGCAGTCAGGTGGAGACCAGGAGAGGAAACACAAGCGTCGGCGTGGTGAATACTACTCCGTTCAGACGTCTCTGATTGTGGCTGCCCTGAAGAAGCTGCTTCCCATCGGCCTGAACATGTGCACCCCAGGAGACCAGGAGCTCATCTCTCTGGCGAAGATACGCTACAGTCTGGTGAGCCGCCCGCACGGATTTTTAGATGACGAGGGAACAGAATCGCATCCTACGTCAGCTTGTTGGACTGTCTTTTTAACAGACCTACCGTCCTTTTCCTGTCTGATTCTTCTTTTCACAGCTACACATGTTGTTGTTTTTTTTCTGGACAGCGATTTATTTATTTTTCATGCATTTATTTAATATTTTAGACCAAAGATTAGAGAACGTTCGGCCCCTAATATTTTAAAAAAAGCCCTCTATTAGACAACTGATTTCAATGGCTTAATATACGTAGTTAAGTTTGATTTATAGAAATTATAATTACACTGTATTGCAACATTCATGTTGAAAACCCTTTCCTCCTGTAGAAAGACACAGATGATGAAGTTAAGGAGCACCTACGTCACAATCTCCATCTTCAAGAGAAGGTAAGGTTTGAAATATGTCTATATATACATATGAAAATCAAACTTAATGAGCACTTTAAGGAATTGGTACTTTACTGTAGCTGATATGTGTATTTCACAGTTAGTTTCTTCGTTGATTTGACAGTTTTTTTCTCTTTGTAGTCTGAAGATCCTGCAGTTCAGTGGCAGCTGAATCTGTATAAAGACGTTGTGGTGAAGAGTGAGGAGTCTGGAAACCCAGACCAGACTGTGGAGAGAATCCAGAGCATCTCTGCTGCAGTCTTCCACCTGGAACTGGTAAGGGCCGATGTAACACCTGTGCCTAAGGGACAGAGCAGGCCAAGTCTCAAGCCGTCACATATTCCTTTCAATCAGTTTAGGTACTAATGATCTTCCCGATCAACGTTTTGGTATGTAGAGGCCAAGCTAGACAAATGCAAAGCAAACTTTAATTCAGACTTTTAAGTCTTTTAATAGGAAATTTTAGATTAATATGTAAAGAAAAATAACGTATTTAAGTCTTAAGAAAAAAAAAGAAAAAATAACTGATCAGTCCCTCATCTATCGCAGGTTAGGTTCCAGGACTACTTTATACTGTTTCATTTTTTGGGGGGCTAGAAAAAGTTTTGTTTACTGGAAAAATACCAGTAAATGGTATTTACGGGTAAATGCCAGTACAAAGTGGAGGAAAAAGAAGAATTATCAGGCCCAAAACTGAATTTCAGGTCTGAGAGTGATGTCCTTAAGGAAGAGGTAGAAATCCAGCAGACCTGACAAAGCACCTGGGAGATATACCCTTCAGCTGACCCATTTACTGTTCACTGAAGCATCAGCCCAGATGCTCTCCATGGAGGGGCGGCTGTCAAAAAGCCACTCTTAAAGAAGGGAAACGGGGAGAAAAGGCTGAGCTATGCCAAATGACCCAAGAAGTGGACTGATGGAGGGATGAATCCTCTCCAGACCCACAAAGAGGGTCCATTTTAAAGGAGCCGTCACACAAGATGTGCAATGTTTGTTACTTTGGCTGTTTTTCCTGCTCTTTTCTGAAAGTATATGGAGCTGCATGTGCAGAAAGCACAAAGGAAATTAATAGAATCCAAAATTTTGATTTGTTGTGGTCTTCAGGTGGAGCAGCCTCTGAGGAACAAGAAGTGTGTGTGGCAGAAGCTGCTCTCTAAGCAGAGGAAGCGCGCTGTAGTGGCCTGTTTCCGCATGGCTCCCCTTTACAATCTACCACGGTGAGTTTGTCTTTTTCCTTCTCTCTCACAACAGCTGAACTTCTGAAATGTTCAATAGTTACGTTGCGTGGGCAGTTCCTGTTGAAACTATCTTAATTCTGCTTCGTCTAAATCAAACTGTCAAGTAACCAATAAGTGTAGAATGTGGATAGTGGTCTCTTTTTTTTCTTTTCTTTTTTGTCTTGATTGTCTGCCCATGTAAACCCGTCATCATCTCCCTAATGACATTCTCTCCTCTGTGTTGTTTTCTTGCATAACACTACCTGAACCTCCCTCAGATACAAAAATAATAATTACTTCCTGAATGGCTATCGGGAGGTTTGGCTTGAAAGGGCTTTCAAAGCCTCCAGCTTTGATCGCCTGTTCTCCCTGCTGACGGTAAAGTGACGCTGCCAGGCGAATGCTTCATCTGCTCGACCCTCCCCTCATCTACCGGGCTATGGACCGATCTCTGCCTAGCAACCGAATGTTCTTGCACTGTTTATTCTGATTGGTCAGCTTGAATGAGGCAGAGAATTGACTGTAAAAGTAACTGATTCGGGAAGTGGAAACGCACTGCCAGCTGCAGGCCTGTATTTTGTTTCAGGTGATGAAGAAGGGACGAAATTAAAGAAGAAGAAAGAAGTAGTCTGTCTTTGACACGTTGAATAGACAGTTACAACATTATTCTTGGTAACAGTAAAATTTTAGAGGTCAATTGATGTCATTTTTTACTTTACTATACTGATTCCATCAGAGATTTTGAGAAAGGCTGAGCTGTTTTCCAACATATCTGTCCGTCTTTGTGAAGGAACATGTTTGATCAGATTTTTTAAAATATATACATATACCTGAAAGTATTAAATCAGGGTTGAACAGACCTTCTGGTGTGTTGGAAAACCGCACATCTGTCCTTAAAAGTGCATGCTCCTACGATGAGTTTTCCAACCTGCTGGAGGTAACCACAATGATTTTAGAACCCAAACATGACCAGTCAGAAGAGCCAGTGGATCCCACATTGACCAATCACCACCCTGCCTGATATGCACTTCCTGTAACCCCTTCCTCCCCCTGACATTTCTCCTTCCTCTCTCCTCCGAAAAACTCACCAGAGCCTACCCTAATGCCACTGTGCCTCCCTCCCCACTCCCCCTCATTCCTCCCCACCTCCCCCTCCCCAGGCATCGCGCTATCAACCTCTTCATCCCGGCCTTTGAGAGACTTTGGATAGATGCAGAGGAGTACTCCTTTGAGGAGAAGCTAGTTCAGGATATGGCAGTAAGTACTGGGCCCGACGTGCCCACGCCCCGCGTGCCCTGCGTTGGCGCCCCACTGCCAGTCCTGTCTGCAGAATGCTTCTTTAGCTCCGCGCCCTTTGAGCCCTGGGAGCATGCCCGGGTGGGGACCTCGCCCAAAGCACCCAGGGGCCCCGGCTCTAAGCGTGCTAGATCCTTCAGGCTGAGAACCGTCAGGGGTCAGAGGCTGCATGACCAACTCAGGAGACACAGGGCCAGCTCCGGCGCTCACAGCTCTAAAAAAGCAGGCTATGGCTTTCTGACTGCCGCGGTAAGGAGGGCCTTTCGCCACAGTGGGAGACTGTCGCTAGTTGTTTGGCTGTCAGATCTGGAAACCAACCCATCAAGTTGTCTTTTTTCGCTGTACTTTGAAGTGTGTGAAGGTGACGTTACAGTACAGTTCTGTGGGTATATCGTCAGTGGCATGCTCGCGTAGTCATGTGCAGGTCATCAAGTCCATCAAAGCACTCAAACGTACCCATTTGAGGAATGCGAAAGTAGAACTTTCGATTCGGTAAGTCGGCTTATTTTGGGAGGAAGGTTTAAATTCTACAAACCTGGTTCGTTTGGACTCGTGCAGGCAGCTGTGATGGTCCCTCTTTCTCATGATCATTCTCCATGTTCGAAAGCACATCCCAGAGCGGCTTGCTGCTTACATGTGTTTGCTCCCTCATGCATGATTAGAAACCGGGTTCCAACGCAGTTCATGAACCATTCTTTTACTTCCTCATTGTGTCCTCTCCAAGACTCACTGGGACGAGAGAAAAAAAAAGTCATTTGCATGCTTGTGGCATATCTATGCTAATGACTCATTTGAATGTTTTTATCAATGCGTGAATGTGGAGTTACGATGGTGAGTTTGGGAGCAAACTGTACTGGAGATGCTGCGGGGGGACTGTTGCCGCCCTGACACCTGTGCATTTCTGCAGAAAACCCCCATGAAGATTGTGGAGGAGGAGGAAGAGGAGGTGGCTGAGGTCCAGCCTGACCCTCTGCAACAACTCATCCTCCACTTTAGCCACAACGCTCTGACAGAGAGAAGGTGATGAGGGACCCTGAGTCCTGCTGCCGGTTTAATGTTCAGCATCCAGCAGTCCGTTACCGATGCGAATAAAGCCCTTTGACTTTGCTTTGTTTCAGTCACTTGGAAGTAGATCTTTTATACATTGCATATGCAGACATGATGGCAAAGGTAGTCGCCTTTTAAACTCCATTACTGCCTCTGAAATTTCCTCCTTCTACACTTGATAAGTTCAACACAGCACATTGAATTGCGGCCTTCTGTTCCGGTAGAGCTGTGCAGAGGATGAGGAAGAAGAGGAAGAAGAAGGGAAAGAGAAGACATTTGAGGTACTCCGGTTCTGTTCCGTGCGGTGGACAGACTCTAAAAGACTCTTAAGGTGATCCGTTCTGCGAGTGTCTGCGTACGTGTGTGTTGTTCTTCAGGAAAAGGAGATGGAAAAGCAGAAAATCCTGTACCAGCAGGCGAGGCTGCACGCCCGTGGGGCAGCTGAGATGGTGCTGCAGATGATCAGCGCCAGCAAAGGTAACCATGACCAGGCTGACTCCGACCCCATCAAGTGAAGAGCTGCCTGACAGTCCTATGAAAAGACGGTCTGCACGCTAGTCTACGGCCTTTTAATCCTGCAACCTTTCTATTATTTGACAGGAATCAATGACCTTTTATTATAACAGTCTGCTCACAGACAACAATTAGCCTCTTATGATAATTTCATGGTGTTTGGACACACCTCTGTCATTTCTAAACATTTTAAGCCTCTTAAAATTCTGGCATTCTGTGCCATTAAAATGCTCTGTGAAGAGGTCAGATTTAAGGTAAAGAAAACACAGGCACAATTTCACAAGACTAGGCTGATTATAAAATGGAAATCGAGGGTAAATTTATATTTAAATGTAAAATTAGTTACTCAGTGCAGTCTGAAAGTGTATAAAAATTCCAAATAAATCAGGTACATCGGGATAAGTTTTCTAACCTTTTGGGTTTTCTAAAAAGCCCAACTTCTGCTCCATGAACGGTGAGCAGATTCTTGGCAGGATCCTATAATTCCATTGGCTCTTTAACTCTCTCCTTCCAGGGTTGTAACATTTACCCTCTTTTTGTGCCATCAGGTCGCCTGGGCCCCATGGTGACCTGCACCCTCAAACTGGGCATCTCCATCCTAAATGGAGGCAATGTGCACGTTCAGCAGGTCAGGTTATTCAGTATCACTCTAAATGCTGGTCTGCGAACAGCCAGTTTAGCCGTCTGCCGTTTTTTCTCAGTAAGGTTACACACTTTTACTCCCTGCCCTTGCAGAAAATGCTTGATTACTTGAAAGAAAAACGAGATGCAGGCTTTTTCAAGAGTCTCTCAGGACTGATGCAGTCTTGCAGGTAAACACTTTATTAATATTCCGCCTGCATTACAGAGGAGACGGCTGCTAATTTCCGAATTTGTTCCCTCAGTGTCCTGGACTTGAATGCATTTGAGAGGCAGAACAAAGCAGAAGGACTTGGCATGGTGACAGAGGAAGGCTCGAGTAAGTGACGTCTAGGTGATATTCATCAAAAACTCATCAAAACGTTTTAGTTTTTTTTATTACACAGATTCCGCTTAAAGTTCAGCATATCCCTGGTGTTAAAGCACCAAGTGGGTACTTACATTCCTGATTATAAAACGTTACACCCCCTCTCCGATACTGAGCCATGAGAACTGGTGAATGTCGGTGTCTATTCAAACCTGTGAATAAATTTCGTTGCTATGAATGTGGGTTTTGATTCACACAGGTAGCTGGCTGCTTGTGCTAAAGTCTTGTAGACATTGAAGTCGTCATTGTGGTGTCCGCATTGTCTTTTGCTCTAGTGAAAGTAGGGGTAAGTCTTAAATATCACCAGGGACAATGGAACACTGAATGCAGCACACAGACGTGGTCATTTTGGGATGGCCCTGGGGCTTTTAAAGTGGGGTAACTGGTGGGAAATAGGTGGTCTCATGGCACAGGCTCCAGCATTACAACAGACCCCTCCCCTCTAACTTTTAACACTCTTCACTTGATGCTTGTTTCATCCAACTATGTTTGTCTTTCCATCATTCGGTCCCCCGCTGAGCATTTCCACTGAGCTCTGTGTTTAACGATCCACCGATACTACCAGTGTCTCAGCAACTGTTCAGAATTTTGAATTTTTTAATCGTGACTGTATTCTTCTTTTGTTGTAAAAGACCTAGATACTAGCCAGGCTTATGATTTCCCCCTGCCGTTAACTATTTTTTTTTTTTTTTTAACTGCATGTGTTTGTTTTTCACTCGTAGCTGATGTATTCATAAATCTTTGTATTGTAACTCCGTGTCCTCTCTTTTTGCTCATGTCTTCGTGTATTGTTTGTCTCCTTCCTGTCATTTAAAAAACCCATCGATGGCAGTCCACACTGAGCGGGGTAAATAGCAAATTAAGATTGTCCTGACATGGCTATGCTTCCATCCTGAATGCCCCCTACATATCTGCGGTCCAAACGTCCGGCTTTATTTAGAACCCATCCTTTCCTTCCCTCAGACGTCTGCAGGGAGACACAGTGCATGCTGATGTTAGAGGACACACAAACCGGATCGGCAGAACCCATTGCTTGTCCCATCCTGTTACATCTGTTGCCATCCCCTCCAAGTTAACATTTACTAATGCAAATCCTATTACTGATGCACAAATATGCCTTTTAAGGCTATCAGTGCCACTTTTTAAGGGTTTGACTGAAGGTCTGTGGACTCCTCCACAGCTCAAGCACAGCTTTGTCTTGCTTTGGACTTGGGGCCTATTTCACAAAGCTGGTTATGATACATAATTCTAACTTTCACATGGTTTTATCTGCTTAGACTTGCTTTTAGCTAATTTTGTACTGCTCTTGACTGGATCAGCGGGTTGGTTTTGAAAGCGAATAAAAATGTTCACCTTTCTTAGCTTCTGTCAGGCCCAGTCGAGGCCTGCATGTGAAAGTTATCAGGCTTCCTCCAGCTTATGGAAATGTCCTAGTGTTTCCCTGTTTTTTAATATAAAAGCATTTTTACAAAAAGACACTTTGGATTCAGTGTTTAATCTGCAATCTAAAGGCTCTGAACCTCAAAAATGTTTTGAACACAAAACCTGCCTTGCTTGCCTCACATTAATGGCTTCTGAGGGGTATTTCACATGTTTCCCCTCACATCGAGCACATATATTTAATTTTGTGGAGTTTTCTGTATTCACCAAATTGTCTGTTGTGTGAAGGCTCCAAGGTGCTGCAGAATGACGAGTTTACTAAAGACCTGTTCCGGTTTTTGCAACTTCTATGTGAGGGACACAATGGAGGTGAGGGTGGTTTTCTGTGTTCTTACAAAGAGAAGTATCTTATAGTTTGAATACATTTGTTTTCTGTACTGTTTGATGAGGGAGCAGTGGGTTATAAACAGTGGTTTGTCGTCAGATTTCCAGAACTTCCTGAGAACCCAAACTGGAAATACAACCACAGTCAACATCATTATCAGCACTGTGGACTATCTCCTCCGTCTTCAGGTGTGTAACACATCAAGACACCTGATTCATCGCAATCCTCATATTATGGCTCTTCATGGGGGGGGCTCATTGTTATTATCCACTTCAGGAATCAATCAGTGACTTTTACTGGTACTACTCTGGCAAAGACGTCATCGATGAAACCGGAAAGCTCAACTTCTCCAAAGCTTTATCTGTGGCCAAGCAAATATTCAACTCGCTGACTGAGTACATTCAGGTAAGAAGCTAAATCTCTCCATTGGAGCCAGTGGTTCTGAAAAGTCAGTGGTGTCAGATATTCCTCCATTTTCCTCTACCTTCAGGGCCCATGCATTGGGAACCAGCAGAGTTTAGCTCACAGCAGACTTTGGGATGCGGTTGTGGGATTCCTGCATGTGTTTGCAAACATGCAGATGAAGCTGTCACAGGTACGTTAAAGCAGTTATGACTTTTTGGATTTCTTCCCGTGAAGACCACACAATTTGCGTGCCCGGCCTATGAAAACCTTCTGACTAAAATAACCGAAAGTTATTTTCCTGTAGGATTCCAGTCAGATTGAGCTGTTGAAGGAGCTCATGGACTTGCAGAAGGACATGGTTGTCATGCTGCTGTCTTTACTGGAGGGTAAGAAGCTGCCCAAAACTGCTTTCAGCCATATTAGTGTAGAAAAGCACTAGCACATACGATTATTTGGTTTGACATGGATGAGAGAGGCTGAAAAAAACCAAAAGCAGCTGCAACAGAAGTTCTAAATTCAGGCTGTACCTCCTCAGGTAATGTGGTGAATGGAACCATTGGAAAGCAGATGGTTGACACGCTGGTGGAGTCTTCAAACAATATGGAGATGATTCTCAAGTTCTTCGACATGTTCCTCAAGCTGAAGGATCTCACAACCTCCGACAACTTCAGGGAGTATGACCCCGAGTTTAAGGGCATCATTTCTAAGAGGGAGTTCCAGAAGTCGATGGAGACTCAGAAACAGTACAGCCAGTCCGAGATCGAGTTCCTGCTCTCTTGTGCGGAGGCCGACGAGAATGACATGTTCAACTACAAGGAGTTTGTGGAGCGATTCCACGAGCCCGCCAAAGACATCGGCTTCAATGTGGCAGTGCTGCTGACCAACCTGTCGGAACACATGCCCCATGACTCCCGACTTTCCACCTTCCTGGACGTAGCAGAGAGCTTGCTTAGCTACTTTGAGCCTTATCTGGGTCGTATTGAAATCATGGGCAGCGCAAAACGAATCGAGAGAGTCTACTTTGAGATCAGCGAGTCAAGCCGCGAGCAGTGGGAGAAGCCACAAGTCAAAGAGTCCAAGCGCCAGTTCATCTTTGATGTGGTGAATGAGGGAGGCGAGAGTGAGAAGATGGAGATGTTTGTCAATTTCTGTGAGGACACCATCTTTGAGATGCAGCTGGCCTCGCAGATCTCCGAGCCCGACGTGGTTGAGCAGCCCGAGGAGGAGGAGGAGGAGGACGGACACAGCATCCTGGAGGAGCTGACCGGGGATGAAGAGGCCGCCCTGGAGTCGGCTTCCGCTTTCACCACAGCGTGCCGCTCCTTCAAGAAGAAGATCTCCGATGTCCGCCAGATGTTCACCATTAAGAACGCACGCAAGCAGTTCAAGAAAATCAAGAAGCTGAGCATCAAGGAGATGATCACGGGTTTCTTCTCCTTCATCTGGATGCTCTTCACCGGCTTCTTCAAGGGAATCTTTGGTCTCATCTTCGGTTTCTTCCACGTCATCTGGTCCTCCATGTTTGGCGGAGGGCTAGTCGAGGGAGCCAAAAACATCAAGGTCACAGACATCCTCGGAAACATGCCTGACCCCACTCAGTTTGGTATCCATGGCGATGTGGTAGAGGGGGACAAAGTGGAGGCCATAGAGTCATCGGGAAACTCGGACATGGCCATGGCACCGGCAGGGGACATCACAGAGGTGGACGCGATGTTGGAGATGCTGAACATGCCTAAGAAGGAGGGAGGGAAACATGTGGAGCCGGGCCTGGGGGACGTTTCTGAGCTGACCGCCGAGCCCTCCACAGCCGATCAGAAGAAGGTCTGTCAGAAGAAGGTTCTCCTGATAGTCTGTGGGTGGAGATCTTTGGGGCGTGTTGTCTCATGGAAATGCACTGTGTTACAGAAAGCTGCTGCCAAACCTGCCGAAACCCCCGAGAGTGAACCAGAGAAAGCAGAGTGAGTACCGCGAAAGAAAACAAGAACCGCCGATCGTCTTACAAAAAAAAGTTAACACGTGTAACTGATACAGCACAGAGAACCAGGAGAAGGAGGATAAACCAAAAGAGGAAGAAGCCAAGGAGCCTGTGACGGAGGAGAAACCCAAAGCCAGACCTAGCCAGCCTAAAGAAGCGTCTCCTGCCATCATGTCCACCATCTTTGCTATTCTTGACATCTACCTGACCAAGATCCTGGTGACACATCCTCCCTTTTAATGATATCTTTAATGATGCCTTCACCTTAATTCTGGGCGGTACAAAGCAGCAGGTCTGACAGTTGTTCTTTCCTGTCCAGAACTACCTGGCCCGCAACTTCTACAACCTCCGTTTTCTGGCTCTGTTTGTGTGCTTCGCCATCAACTTCATCCTGCTCTTCTATAAGGTACACCAAGTGACCTCTGACCCAACACTTATACAAAAAGAAATTTAAAAAGTCGGTGATTTTGCATGAAAATGAACAGTCCGACGAGGCATTGAAAGAGGTCTCCCATTCCTTCACAATGGGATTTTTGGAAGACGCCAAAAACAAAAGGAGATTTTAGTGGATGGTTGCAAATTTTCTTTGCACCATCTCAGATTATATTGGCGAGAGTGTAACATAGCTACAATGAATACCCACCTTCATGGTAATTCATAACAGAATTACCATTTGAGATGGCCTCCGTCTCGGTGTGAAGTGGGGAAAATGGAAACAGAGGGAAATGGTCCAAAAACAGTGGAATTAAAAGCTCCAGTCATTTACAAGCATTCACTGTGTGGACGTGTGTGTGGTAACTGCTCATCTTTACTGTTTAGGTCACCGGCGAGAGCGAAGAGGAAACTGATGATGACCTCGCCTGGGGTGATGAAGAGGAGGATGACGAGAACACTCTCTTTGACATGGATGAGTTCGTGCTGCAGGAGAGCACCGGCTACATGCTGCCAACGCTGCGCTTCCTGGCCATTTTCCACACCGTCATCTCGCTCGTCTGTCTGGTGGGATACTACTGTCTGAAGGTACACGTGCTGGCGATTTCTGCCGTTTCAGCCGCCTGCTTTCACTTTTGATGAAACGAGTTTTATATATGTTTTTTTTTTTATTATTCTTTTCACTTTTAGGTTCCTTTGGTAGTTTTCAAGAGGGAGAAGGAGATAGCCAGGAAGCTTGAGTTTGACGGTTTGTACATCACCGAGCAGCCGTCGGACGATGACATCAAAGGGCAGTGGGACCGGCTGGTGATCAACACGCCGTGAGTGGCTGGCCTCTTCAACAGCGTTATCGTCCATCTCACACTCCTAAAAGGGATTTGTCTTTACCAGAAGATGAATTAGAGATTGTGACCACAGTTTAAATTGAATTATTTTATTTTTTTCGCCGCTAAAATCCTGAAGAATTACCAACAAAAAAATGTGATGCTGAAAGCTTCACGTTCCACCTCATGCTCTGCACATTTCGATCTCAAAGCGCCATATTTAAAGTGGTCTGGGGAAATTTGAGTGATTTGTTCTTAATACGGCCCTTTAAAATTTGACTCCACATCAGCTTTTGATATTTCGTAAAACGAACTAAAGACATTCTAAGACACCTGAGGTTAAACGGGAATATTTTAGAGCTGGCAGATTTGAGTTAGCGGTTGGATATTTTGCACATCGCATCATTTTTGTGAGTCTTAAGAACACGAAAAACAACATTGAAGCTTAAACTCATGTGACGTCTGAAGAACCACATGCAAAACCTGACAGATAACCTGGAAGGTTGCAAAGAAACCGTTCTTATGTAAGGAAACCAGATGAATGTTCTGAGAATCAGTGGCAACAGGTCAGATGGAGGGATAATTTAGCATAAGCATGGGATCATCTTCATGTAGAAGAAAAGGCAAAGAAACCGTTCGGATGTCATTGCCAACATCTGAAAAGTTAAGATTTGATAAAAAAAAAAAGGGACAGCTCAAACCTTTTTCATGCCGTTGTTGGTGAGAGGCGAAGATTGTCACGTAACTCTATTTGCTTTGCAGCTCCTTCCCGAGCAATTACTGGGACAAGTTCATCAAACGCAAGGTGAGTGAACGGGATAAGAAAAAAACTGTTCAATGATGCATTCTATTGCCCTCCCTGAACAGAGAGCAACGGTTTCGGCTTCTCTTTACATTGTCACTTTAAAGCCGTGCAAAGCCACGGATTGAAGCTCATGTGTTGGGCTGCCCTTGTGTTTCTAGGTCATCAACAAATATGGAGATATGTACGGGGCCGAGCGCATCGCCGAGCTTTTAGGACTGGACAAGAGCGCTTTAGACTTCGACCCCACAGTGGAGACGGTTGAGAAGGCAGCCTCCCTGCTTTCCTGGTGAGAACGCAAGTCCTGCTTTGTCACCTCTTTATAAGAGCTGGAAATCTACTAAGTCTACTCTAAACTTATCTATCAATCACACTGAACATAACTGCAGGACATTTCTGCGATAATCAGAATAGCTGTTTTTTTGTTTTTGTTTTTTGCAGGGCTCATTCTTTGGGTTAGCCGCCTCTTACTTGGTTTTCATGTCACTCCTGTTCTTTCTTTGTCAGGTTGAGCTCCATTGACACAAAATACCATGTCTGGAAAATGGGTGTGGTTTTGACTGACAATGTAAGTTTATGTCCTACAAAAACTGTTTGTATTCACAACACTGAGGGGAAAACTTGAAAGGCAGTGTTCAGAATGCCAGCTAAGGGGGCTAAACAGGGGGCAGAGGGGGCTAAACAGGGGGCAGAGGGGGCTGCAGTGTTAGAAATCTGCTCTGACCACATCACCCTTATCAATTAATCGTAAAAGTATCTTTACCCATCACGTGGTTCATTGATGCCGTTTTTCCCTGGAAGTGAAGGCACTGACAGGTTTTCCTCTCTCTTGCAGTACTTCCTCTATCTCATCTGGTACACCCTCATGTCCATTTTTGGACACTTCAACAACTTTTTCTTTGCCGCTCACCTGTTGGATATCGCCATGGGCTTCAAGACCCTCCGCACCATCCTGTCCTCTGTGACTCACAACGGCAAGCAGGTGAGGGAGTGTCCCAGCAGAGGGAGCCAGAGCACAATTATTAAGACAAACCTCATTGAAGAAAAAGTCTTACGTGGTTACTCGTATTCAGCTTTTGCTTGTTGAGGCCGTTGAATTATTGCAAGCTATGGCCATTTCCCTGGAAAACGCCTGATCTTCATCTCACATAGTTGAAAATAGTCGCATCTGTGGGGAGTTTGAAGACTCAATAATCAAGGTACAAAAAATTGAGAAAAGTGTCATGAGAAAAGAATAAATTAAATAAATGCAAAGGGAGGAAAAGATTTATTCATATGATGCATTTATAAATTAAGGCCTGACTAACGGATGCTGGGCGGTGATGTGCACAATGACGTGCACGGCGCCCGATGATGGTCCAAAGCTATCCCCAAACATGGAAATATGCAAAGTGAATGGAGGGTGCAGAGATCCATCCCAAGAATAATGGATTAGATGAAGTTAAAAACTGTAGATTTGTTCAACTAAAATGAACCAGTTTCATGCACACTTCAGAGAATATTTTTAACTAAGTAGTTTTCATTCTATGTAAATAATTTTGAGGGGGGAAAATACGAGTTTTCCGATCAATACAACAGAGTTGGAGCTCCGTTAGTGGCCGCTTAAGTTAAACGTTTCAATTAGTTTGCACAAAGTAGAAAACCTACATTGAAATAGCCAAAGTTAACTTGGAAAAAAAATCAAAATGAATTCAGCTGCACTTAAATACTTCTCTGAGCATACGTCCTATGATAGTAAAGCCCCTCGGAAATCCTCCGTTCAGCCGTTTGGACCTTGAATTTGCTGCCGTTCTTTGTGCTCCTCTTTCTTTCAAAAAAAAAAAAAAAAAAAAGATCACCGTTAAATAATGAAGGCCAAGCAAAAGCGTTCCAGCGTTTTAATGAGCGCCGTCTGCCTCCAGCTTGTTCTGACTGTGGGTTTGCTGGCCGTGGTCGTCTACCTCTACACTGTGGTGGCCTTCAACTTCTTCAGAAAGTTCTACAATAAGAGTGAGGATGAAGACGAGCCGGATATGAAGTGTGATGACATGATGACGGTATGTCTGAACATCTACGTCCATTTCTTTCAGAAAAATATCAGTGAAAATTGAAAATGAATTCTTTAGAGATACAAGGAGAAAAAAATCAATTCAGCTTTCCACCAAAGCAACTAAAATATATATATTTTTTTTTCTGAATGGTGACAGATATCTTTGGGAGAGTGTCCTTGATTGGGGGATAAAGGAAGGACGTGACAGCTACATTTAGAAATGTCAACTTTTCATCACCAAAAGCTAACATTCATTATATTTCAAGTGAATGTCTAACAATCTATTTATTACATTTAAGTAAATAAGCCTGGTAAAGAATCACCTCAGAATCTGTGGAGCTTGACCTTTTATTCTACGTATCGTTGCCTCTCAATACACAGAGCTTTTTCTCCCTTAACGCATCTGCCTTCTGTTCTTCTTTCTTTAGTGCTACTTGTTCCACATGTACGTGGGTGTGAGGGCTGGAGGAGGTATTGGAGATGAGCTGGAGGACCCAGCTGGAGATCCATATGAGCTCTACCGCATCCTGTTTGACATCACCTTCTTCTTCTTTGTCATTGTCATTCTGCTGGCCATCATTCAGGGTACGTGTAGTTACTTCCCTTAATCTCCCTTCATCTTATTGGCTGGAAACGCAGGTCTTTGTGTTTTACTGTCCCCACAGCAGCCTGTTAGTAGTTGCTTTTCTCACCCAACTGCTTCTTAAACGTCCACAGGTTTGATCATTGATGCTTTTGGTGAGCTGAGAGACCAGCAGGAGCAGGTGAAGGAGGACATGGAGGTAAGCTTAGAAAAAGTTTGATGGAGGGCTGCGTTGGGTATCAGTCATGCGAGAGCCAGAAGGAGCCTCAGTGTGCACATTTCACTCCAAACAGCACTTTAAAAGCAGGATTTGAGAGAACGACCCGGGTAAAGGGTTAAATGGTTTTGTCTCATGGGTTTTGTGTAAATATTTTTCAAAATGTTTAAAAAAAGCAGAACTAAGATTGAACCAATCAATGCTGCAGAAAAACAAGTCTCTAAAATCGAATGTATCTCGCTGCTCACAATCATCAACTACACACTACACTAATCCACTTGCATGTTTTGTACGGTTGTGTGTCATTAATACCTGGATGGGATTTCTTTGCGCAGACCAAATGTTTCATCTGCGGCATTGGAAACGACTACTTTGACCGGACCCCTCACGGCTTTGAAACCCACACCTTACAAGAGCACAACCTCGCCAACTACCTGTAAGAGCAGCCGCAGAAATCAGGCATGAGCAGGTCCGCTTGGCCTCAGGGGTTTGTTTTCAAATCTGTTGTGAACCTGTGTGCAGGTTCTTCCTGATGTACCTGATTAACAAGGACGAGACCGAGCATACGGGCCAGGTGCGTAGACCGCCGCCAGAGAGCTGAGACCCACAAATAAATTAGAAGGAAGCTCTCTTACTTGTGTAGGTTTTACTTATGCAACACATCAAGTGGGTTGAAGTGTTGCACAACTACAATATAGCATCACAAGAGGCAAATAGCGTGTGGGCTAGCTTTTACTTTATCTCCAATTAACTTGACGTAAATCCGAGTTTCATCTGTCGATCTTAAAGACCTAGTTAGTGGTCTGTAAGTGGTCATGAGGTGGTTTAACGGCCCTGATGACCGATGAAATGTGGTGTTCACCTGCAGGAGTCCTACGTGTGGAAGATGTACCAGGAGAGATGCTGGGACTTCTTCCCCACTGGAGACTGCTTCCGTAAACAATACGAGGACCAGTTGGGTTAGAGGGGGGCCTACGCTCCTGGCCCCCCCAAACACCCCCTCCCACTTTCCTACCACCTGAACTTGACTTCACCCTGTGAACGCAACGTGAACATTTACTGTCAAGAAAAAAGAAAAACAAAGCATTTTGAATTGTCATAACTACTCTGGACTTACGAGTGATGGTCGGATGATTTGGGTTTGTGCATTGGAATCCTTTTCCTTGTTGCCACGACACCTTTTATGCAATCCTTCTTTTCAATCCTGAATCACATTGCCTTTTTCGCTTAACCCCAAACCAGTTGCACAATTTGTTGTGTGTAGACATCTGATTCATGTGACGGGTTACAGCATGACAACTGAATGTTTATATGCACAATTTCTAGATTAACACCAGTTAGTCACTCACTACCATACCAACTGAATGGATGTGTGCTGCTGGAACAGACGACCGCTGAAACTATCTGACCTGCCCCTCATAGCTGGCTCAAATCATACTGATGGAATGAACAGCGGTTCTTCCAGGACCCGAATTGATTTGCTGAAAGTGTAACGAAGTGCCAACGTGCCTTTTGAAAACCTATGCAAAAAAAAATTAATGAAAAAAAATCATAATTTCTGTTCCTCCTCACACAAGCAGTGCTCTAGTTTGGACGATTTGCTAGTGGATTTACATCGAGCTAGTTTTGTGGCTTTTAAATTTGTTGTATAAAATCTAGATAATCCTTGTGTAAATGTTGCTTAGTTTGGTTTTGTTCTTAAACGGTGGTGTCCTGCCTGCACTTCTCTCCGCTGTAGAAGAGCCCCACAAAACTTCTTTCAAGGATTTATTGACAGAATGGTTAACTGCTACTGTATGGCCATTTGTACGAATGTAGTAGCTTGGATAAGCAGCATTTCTTTTGATGAGGGGAGTAAATGAATAAAGTAACTGACGCAATAAAGCCGACGTGTCATCTGTGGCCTGTTTCAGTCTGTCCCTTGGCAGCGGAGACAGGAACAGAGACTTCTCTCTGAACTGTGAAGGGACATTGACACATTCTCACAAATGTTCGGGATGTACTGTCCCGTCTTTACACCTCTGAAGCATGCGGTTTCCCCTCAGCCACGCAGGAAAAACTGACCATCCAAAAGCAAGGGAGGCGTGGAACCATCCAAATGTCTGTAAACATAGCAGGGTTTCAGGCGGACGCCTCACAGTCCAGTTTTATACCCCAGTCCTGGTACCTCTCTGGGTTCAGGAAATCATGCTGTCCAGCCAGTCCTCCAGATCATCCTCCGTCATCTCCTTTCTGATGGACGGGGACTTTGGAGGTGTGACATCTTTGACTTTAACTTCTTCTTTCCCCGTTGGTACAATCTCGTCCTCATGAGCTGCAGATATAAATGACATTAGGTGAACTCTGAGGCTTAAATCATATTCTTTATCGATTCACATGACAGTTTCTTTGAGAGTTTCGGGAACTCATGAGTTGAATTATGACTAAGGCCTGTGGACAGACGCTTCATGTTGAAAAACATGATCTGCATATTCACATTAGACTTGATCCAGTAGATTTCACATAGATTTCACAGATGAGATACTGATGGTTGAGCATAGCATGAGCCAACTAGGAGCCGGTCCATTTAGTCATCTTTAAGCCAAACATTAGACACAGCTGCAGTTTTATAGATGACCCCACAACTTCCAACTCCCCACTGTGTCCATGAGATGTAGTAGTAGTCAGGAGCTTTGTGTAAAAATGGGATCCAATACAAGGGGCCTCCCTTAGACTAATGTTCCCGACTTCTAGTCAGAATTCAGAAGAACAGCACCACATGTGAAGCTAAGATGTACTTCTGCATACGACAACATAACTCTGCGAAAACATTCTGAACAGAGCAGCGTTTCCTCGTGGACGTGCTGGTTCTGTCCAGCCACAGAAGGCTCTGAACAGAAACAGCATTCATTATGAATCTCCAAAAGCATCCCTGCTTTCCTCGACTGCCAGCGTGGAGCTGGTGTTGACCATTTTGAAGGTGCAGTAAACTGCTCCCGTGAAGAATGATTAATCCTTTTCACCTTGTTCTGGAGCGGCACTTTCCTCCTCTGCGCCGCTGACTGACTGGGTCCCTGCAGCGCTCCGGTCTGGTTTCTGTAAGCCGAGCAGCTGGTCCAGGTCTGCGTCGCCATCGTCCCCCCCCACAGGCTCAGCGGCTGCAGGAGGACCCGGGGGGGCTCTGTGGTTGATGCTGAGGCCTCTGACGGCCGGGCATGAGGGGGTGAATTTGGATGTTTTGGACACTTCCTGTTTAGGTGTGAGGGTAACGGCGGGCAGCTCTGCTGGTGCCGAGACCTGAAACATCACAGCAATGTAGACAGCAATGTAGTTTCATCATCAAGGAGGAAGAACTATTTAGTTAAGGTGAGTGAAAGGTACTCAAATCAAGGTCAGCTCACTGCTGTTTTCATTTTCAACGGTGCCCCTTTAATTTCAAATTCTGCATATTTTCTATCGGCTATTTGTTCAAGCATGCATTTTTTTTCTTATTTTTCCCTTGCATAAAAAAAAGAAAAAGATCCGTAAAAGGTAAAGAGTACATAAACTGAAGCCAACAAATGAAAAGGCAGGTTAATTAAATTGGGTTATAACAAATTTATGGAGGCAGTTGAAAGCGTCAATTTGCTCTACCTTCTGTTTCTTCGGCTCCTGAAACACACAAACAACCAATGTCCTTTTAGAGGAACACTAGTCCTTGAATCCTCAGGAAAAACAGACTCTTTTGATTTATTACAACGTTTTAGCACCGGTTGCTGTTAAGATTTGCCAAAATGCACCTTAGGCTAAAAGAGGCTGAGCTAAAGCTTGTACCTGAACCAGCTCGGCCTCCAGGTTGAGCCGCTGGTGGAGAGGAACTGGTTGAAGAGTCTGTGCGAGAGCTGGGAGGTCCAACACCACTGCTGACATCTGGGGGAAAACAAAAACACCTCAGGCAGCTGTCTGCAGGCACAAGTGATTCCTTAGACCACAGAAAGACACTAATGCCTTTCCTTTTTCTCCCACAATCAAAAGGGATGTTCATACAATGTTGCCTCATTATTAATGATGACTGACTTTTATAAGGGAAACGGGTCAAACTTTTGGCCAAAAAATAAACTTTTGTTTTTAATTGTGTGTTGTCATCCATCTCTCTGAAATCTCCTCAGATAATTCAAACACTTTTACATCAGCTTTATGAGAGTTTTCAGCTAAACAAAAACATTTTTTATTCAGTTATAGAAATTGAAGTAGAAGAAACAAACGGTGGAAAGCAGACTGACGTCAAATTGATTCATATATTCGAGTTGGTTTACAGGTCAGTGCGTGTTTATTTTGGTCACCTGCATGAAGAGCTTCTCAAAGGGAGCTAAATACAAAAAACAGCGGTTCAAACACCTGCTTTAACACTGCACTCATTTTGACCGACAATCTCACCGTCTGACCTATTTGAATCACTAAAGTAAGGAATCAATAGAGTCTAATATTGGTTAATCTTTTACATATTGTTAGAAGGATTCAGCAGGCTGTACTGTTTTAACAACAGAATAACCGTAAAAACTGATGTATTTACCTGGCTGGCCATGACTGGGTCCATCTCCCACTCCTTCTCCTCTGAGAAGCGGAACTGAGAGAACGAATCTCCTAAAAAATACAAATAAAAAAAGACACAGGAACACTTTTTATCATCTTTAACGATGTTATCTGTTTGGTTTAAATCCCATCAGCATTTCCTATCTGTGGTTCCCTCCTGATGTCTGAAAAGGTGTTTGTCTGGGGGGCAGAAAGTATCTGGGAGAGCCGAGGCAGTGCTAACAAGTTTTGCCGGCCTTTCAGGACATCGACTGGCTGAGAGCTCTTGTGACTACGCAGACATGGAGGCCGTGCTTTAAAAAGCGCCAACAGACAGACGCGTTTTCACAGCTTCTGTTGGAGTGAGGCACAGATGAAAACATCCCCCGGCACGACGAGGACGTGGTGTCAGGTGTGAAGCACCACTCTCTTCACGCCGCGCCGCGGCGCAGGACATTGTTGGTTTGGGTGCAAAAGCAGGGCGCTCGTGGGTATTTTTAGTCAACGCCATCAAAGGCCGGCTTTGTTTTTGAGAGAAGCTGAAAATTATTGACTGCCTGACGGGTAAAAAAATCCATAAATGATTTTTTTAAAAACAAAGGAATTTAGAGAACACAGGAGAAACTTAACAGAACCAGGACATGTCAATAAACTATAACAAGAAAGTTAAAACATGGGGGGACATAAAGGATTTCCATTGTGAGGCCACATGTGACTCATCCAAGGAGACGCAGGTGCTGGATCGAGCCTTCGTCTCATTCAAAAGTAGAGAAATGTTGTGCAGGTATGATAAATATCGAATACAAAATCAGGGCTCCATGAGGTCTGTGGACGGTTTCTGTATTTCTTTTAAATCTCCTGATGAATTGAAGCCATCTAAAGCAGAAAGAGTTAGAAATGCGTTGTGTCCTCAGCAGCACGGCTGAGATCAGCTGCTGTGACTCAAACACTGCAGAACAGTTAATTCCTTTCCTTTTAAAAACTACTGGACACATTTTTGTTACAAGGACTCAACGTCTGATTAAAGCAGACGGCTCAGCTACAGCAGCCGTTTTGTTTCTCCATTCCTGAACGTCACATACGATTCACTCCCCGTTTTGGACCATTTTTTATCATTAAGATGTGTTTTTATTCTTTTTTCTCAATAAAAAGAAGAGAATTCATATAAATCACGCAGTAGAAATAAACCAGCACAGTTTCAGCTCAAACTCATTTGGTGCCGAGGATGAGACGTGAGGTACTTGAGGAGGCATTTCTGTCCGTGTGACATGCAGGGTCCCATTCATTACTCCCAAATGATTTACATCCGTGAAATGTTTTGGGGACAATGGGGTGACACATTCTGCTTTTCACTCACCATCTGATGCATTTAGCTGTCTGAAAATACGGAAATGTTTGGACATTATAATGCATGTTCATTCATTTGTTCAGCTCAAACTACTATTCATCTGCACTTTACGAGTCAGGATGATCACAGACTTATTGTTTTCACTGTGATAAAAAAAAAGGTTTTTAGAGACACAAACTTGCTAATAAAATGGGTATTTTTCTGCAGATTATACACCAATGGTGGCCTTGAGTAGGAAAAAAAAAAGCAACATTTGTATCCATCATAGACTGAACCAGACTTTAAACCATAAAGCAAACCTTTGCTTCTTCTATTCTCTCTTTGATTGGGATCTGACTTTTTTTTCCAAATTGTAATGTAATCAGCAGAAAGGAAAATAAATGTTTGCAGATGAAAGCGACCCGATGTCAGACATGAATCGAGTGCTGCAGGTCTGCCTGGACTCGGGGGCTGCCACACACAGATGGACGGGCAGTGGGAGACCACAGAGGAGCTGCGGTCAGGCGCAGCCTCTCACTTTGTCCCTCTGCACATTGTGCAGGCACTCGGCCTTCACATGCAACCATCAGCCCCATCTGCAGATGTCCTTGATTGCTTGGCTTAACCAGAAGTGTGTGTGCGTGTGTGTGTGGGGAGGGGGGGGGTCGGTGTCGGTCAACAAGGAGAAGCAGCGGGAGGGCTTTGTCTGCAGAATGAGCCGAGCAAAGATGACTTGAACAGGAACATTAGAGAGGACACAATGTCTGCACAGGGGAATGGAGCTTGTCAGCTACAGGTGACGGCTAACAACACTCTGGGAAAGCAGAGTGATAACGCCAGGAAACAAGGGGCAGGAGCCAGTTGCAGCAGGTTGAATTTAAGATACAGGCTGAGGCTGTCGTAAAAAGAACAGGCCATTCATAAAAAAGGAGCTTTGATATTTCAACAGAATTATGTAAATATTTGCTTCTTTTTTTTTTTAAAGTTCACCTGATAAAAAAGGTCCTAAGAGAAAAGAGAGATAGATTAATTGTGAGCCTAACATTAGTGCTTACATTTGAATCCTTACGACGTTCAGGGCTAATGAACATTAAAAATATATATTTTCAGCCATAATCCAAGAGCTTTCAGTCAATCCAGGTCTGAGTTTTTCTTTCCATGGAATTCATCCTCCTACATTCAGACCAAAGTTAGAGATCTGCCTGAGTCCTGCTATGAATAAATAGTAGATAAGTGAAACTGCATTTCTCTGTGTGAGCTCGTCTCCTCTGTCACAGCACTAACAAACACAAAGTCCGGGAGCATTTCACTTCCGTTTTACACAACATACCGTACTCATGTTAATCGACACAGAATAAGCTACAAAAAACTACAAAAACAACACATCAGGTGAGCTTAAAAGTGATCCAGTACAAATTTGAAAACGTGGAAAAATTGCCTAGTCATCGTGTCTTGAGGGTGCTCATTTAGACAGATTTAGAAAAAAAAATTCACGTAAAAAGGCCAGATTTTTAGTTTCAGATTTTAAGGCCATCATTTTCAAGCCCTCTAACCATTTCAGTCAGTGGTGCAAAGCACAAGTTGATGGTTACAGCCTCATTTTGTTCTTAAGAAGCTGAGAAATAACGGTTTCAACTTATTCTTCGAAAAACTGATCTTTTTAAAGATTGTTGTGGACCTGAATAGGTTGGAAGTAAATTTAGCACAACAGCTGGAGTTACATAATTCACTCTTGGAGCCGTTAAAGGCATCGAACTTTGGAAAAGTTCATCTTTAATATGTGAAACATTAACAATTATTCATTCATATTAAAAAACGATATATATTAACCCTGAACTTAATTTTGACACATTTCATTAAACTGTAAAGCGCTAAAAGAGGAGGCACACAGACATTATAGTCGTCACAACTGAGTACTGAGTTGATACATTCTGGCGTCGGCTCGTCTGAGCACAGCGGGTTGAAAATCAGTCCATAGTTCAAATGACTGAGTGCATCAGTCAGGTAGTGCACCCCTGCGAGTCTTCCATAGTGGATAAACACTGCATCCCCCATGCTGGGAGCTAAGTGGCTTGGCTGGCATTGTGTAACTTCTGCATAATGTGGTAACTTTTCTCTTGACTTTTTGCTAACATATGAGGCTTTTTGCTGGCTGAGCTTATCTGTGGCCTGCTAATGCGGAGTCTCCCTCTCATCTTTTACATCTGGGATGCGTTGTTCGGCTGCTCTTTCTACCTGCTTCACTCCACTCTGCTTTCACCTCGCTGGCACCGAGTCAGGGTGAGCGCGGGGCGCTCCGGATCTGAGCCGCCTCCATACCGGCAGCTGGAGGGTCGAGACAGAGTGGAAAAGCTGGTGAGAAACCCATTACTGTTCCAGCCCGTTTTCTTCTCACTGGAAAATTGAGTCTTTGAGTCATCCTTTGTTAAAATCTCATGTTTTTTTTAAAGAAGTTTTTTTTTCTATGATAAGAAAAAGGCTACTTTTCAGTCTTGTGCCATTTTGAACTGAATATATTTTTTGGTTTGGATTTTACTGTTTGTAAAGCAGTTTTTTCCTTTTTATATATATATATTTGACAGGAAGATATGGACTTATTTATTCTTAATTATTCTAATTCTAATCAAATCTGACAAAAGTTCAACAATATAGACATCATGAAACATTGGATGCCCTCTGTATGTCTGGTGATGTCGTGCTCTGTTTGGGCGTTTTTGCAGAGGTAAAATTTAAATGTCAGAAAGAGGAACTTGGAAAGAGTAGACTGGAGGAAACAAAAATCGAGGGACTGGAAAACTGATATTGCAGTAAGGCATGTCCCAAAGAATGTAAACACTTCTGTCCCTGCTGTGCACCTTATTGTGTTTAAAGGGAACTTTTTTAATAGAAGGATAACAGCCAGGGGAGCAAGAAAAGAAATCCTGCAAAAAAGGAAACTTGTTTATAAAGAAAATCAGTTTTAAGAGGAGAAGCACCCGTTTAAACGTAATTTCACTGGTTACTGTTCACCCTCTGCATGCTGCAGTCTGCTGACCATTTCTCTAAAGTTTTTATGAAATTGGATTACAGGGTCACTGATGGCATTTGTGTTGGTATGAATGTCTTTTTGCAACTCATTCTACATTCCAGGTTATCATGTTTGAGCACATCTTTCTTTGAATGTTCAATAGGCTGTAGCCTAAAAACAGGAATTATCAATACATTATGTGTATGGACATGTATGAAATTAAGTTTTTAAACATGTGATAAGACTGAACAAATTAAAGCCATTGCCCCTAAATGATTTTTCCCTTTTAAAATGTGACAAAGGTTAATAAAACAGGATTTAAAACAGTTTTTATGTGTGCTGCTGCAGTGTAGTTACAAATAGTGCACACATAGTGTCCAACCCCCCCCCCCAGGAGTCCACTTTGTGCTCTGTCACGGCTGGGAAATACCTCTCTGTTGGTGCAGGCCGCAGTTGCCTGGTCACACTCCATAGCGATACATCCTTGTTGACAACATCAAGCTACACCATAAGCACACAACTCGGCCTGTTGTGCGGGTTCTGCTCAGCTGATTGGATGAGCAGAACCCGTACTTCTGCTCCACCAATCGCTGCAGATGTTGACTTTTAGGCAACTCTTTTATTGAAAGCAACTTACAAGGATACAGGAGAACAAACAACTGGATTGATTAACTCTTCATTAGCTGGATTAATAGTAATACAACAAACCAGCAATACTGTTCCTGGTCTGTAGAAGACCACTGAGGTAGTTCAGAGCTTAAAATCCTTTGTGGGCTACCACCAGTGATTTTTGGACCCGATAAGAAGCCAAAGGATATCAGAGCGTTGTAATGAACGAAGGGGTCATTCCACCATTTAGGGATGTCAAAAACCGGACCTGCTTCCGCATTCAGCAAGTTTTATCGTTCCAAGCGACTGGAAGTGAGCAAACACTCCCGGCCCTCCCTTCATTCTCCATTTCCAGCTGGAATAAGTGCAATCCATCAGCAAATTATGGCCTTCCTTTACGCTGGCTGCCCAGCACTAACGCACTCAATAAGAGAGGAGAAAGAGCAAAAGAAAAGAGAAACCAATGCATATATTTAGTAAAATATGCTGGCGCCACGGCAGAGGGAAACTTCCTGTGGAGCTGGTCCGCGGACAGCTGCAGCACCTACAACATGCTCCCCGTCACGCCTTTTTAACCAAACCAATTAGCCCCCCGTGACATGGCGCTGAAACCCACTACGCGTCAATAAATCACTGTCTGCGCTAATTGCAATTAAAATCCAGAGCAGACGAGGCGAGACAGTAAAGAAGGCCCAAGCTATTTAATCTCAACTTTTAATGGCGAGTCTGCAGGCCCGTGTTTATTTCCCAGTCATATCTGAATAGCTCCAATCCACTCGAGGCCTCGCTCTCATTAAGGGTGTCGGCTTTTTCTGGCCTGCAGCCTGATTGGAGGAGAAAGCCTGAAGATTTGATGCTTCCTGCCTCAGAAATCAACGATCAGCTTAACATGCACGGGGTAATTTCTTATAATGTTAAAGTTAAAATATATCTGTTGCTCTTAATTTCACATGAAGGACATCCGGGATCAGCTGTGTCAAAAGCAATCTCAATGTTGTATTCAAAATATTGTGCCTCTTCCAGATATTTTCACATTTTATTTAGTGCGAAAGTCTGAAAAAGACACAAATCCCATTGGTCATAATTGCAACCTGTGTGTCAATGATTTCTAAAGCACACAGGGCTGAACCAATCAATTTCCTTTCCATAAAGCAGGTGTACATTCACATCGAGTCTCGATCTGTGTCTCATTGACTTCACTAGGCACGATCAAGAAGGCACACATCTGTCTGTAAGCAGTCTCTCGGCTGAAATTGTGCGGATCGATCGATAATGAGTAATTACATCTAAAACTGCTAGGCGTCAAAATACAGGCTTCACTGAATTTCATGTTGAATCCAGAACAAACAAATGAGAAAAAGACGCAACAAGAACAAATAAAATCGTGATTTTATCATTTGACAATGTTCAGTTTCCTCTTACGCCGGCATTTTATTCGTCCTCTGTCGTTCTGTTAAGTGAATCAATACTTTTAGCTGTTAGAAGGAAGAAATAAGCCATCAAATGGTTAATAATGTTTATGGTTGGGTCATTGATAATGGTGATCTGTACTGCCCATGTTTTTAATACCGTCCTCCCTACCGATACCTGTAATAATCAAACTCTAAAAAAATACTATAATTCAACCTAATAAATGATAACACCATTGGTCATATCCATGTCCAGACCCTGACTGTACATCCAGAAAAACAGCTGTTAGCAGCCACTATTACACAGAGTAAATCATCCAAATACTACAAAAGTGTATCATGTATCATCTTTTTTTATTTTAACTAATGACGTAAAATTCTAAAATTCCTTTCTCCCCTGAAGCAAAAATATCACCAGTGTTTTTTGGAGTGCGTTTACAAAAGCAGGCATTAAAAAGGTCAGGAGATGAGAACAGTGCACCCACTAGCAGCTAAATAAAGGCCTGCGGATCGACTTAAATAAGCACCAAACAGCAAGGAAGCATGAACGCTTCAATCTATGAGGCTCGAGTGGATGAAACGTGACAGCCACCAAAGTTTGTAGATTTAGGTAATACATCCAGAGCGGCCCCAGCATTTGGTCCGTCTACCTCACAAATCCCCACATCCTCTGTTCCTGCACTGTAGTCCAATAAGATGTACACCACCACGCGCACGCTGTGGAGACAGACACGAGCAATACAGAGTATGCTGGCTCAGAGCTGCTGTGCAGAAGACGCAGTGAGAGCTGCCGCTTTCAGCAGCCGGACGCAGCACCGTGTGTTCCATCATGCCGAGTTCAAGGCTTCGTCCGTGCTGCCGCAAACCTTTTTACTGTGGGTTCACCAGACGTTTGCCATTTTAAGTAAGAGGAAATGGTTAAAAAAAAAAGATGATATATATGCACACAGACATCCTGAGACATCCAGACCATTTGAACAGACTTATTGTTTCCGTAATTGTGACAGGACACAACAGGAGAGAAAATCTGGACCGATCAGAAATATCAACTGGACCAAAAAACATGAAAACAAAAAAACTAAGAGCACCAGAGGCGTTTTGTTGTAAGACACAGGTGTCTGGCTAAAGGCCAATCAGATTTCTTGGTCCTTTAAGACATTTCCCCTCTCATGAGGAGCAAAAGCTTCCCGTCATGTGCTCAGAAACCAACCGTTGTCTTTTATCTAAATACCTTAGTATTAAAATGTAAATGTGAAGTCTTATTAGTTAATATAATCAGTCCCAACAACGCAGTAGCACAGAGAAAAAGAGCAGCGATTTCCACCTGACAGCTCTTCTGACAGTTTTGGCCCCAGCTGGTTGACTCATTGCGGCAATTAGAGAAAATGACTGTCGATAGGAACAAATAACTCTGGGGAGATTCGGCGCCTCCCAAATTACAAATGCAGAGTTGTAGCATCGTGAAAGTCAACAACTTGTGAGAGAGGGTCTACCGGGAGGCACCCTTTTGCCAGCGCGGCCTCACACATTAGCTGAGCCACGGCTCCATGTGCAGCAGTATCCATGCAGACATGAACCGATCTCAAACTGGGCGAAGATCAATTTTTCATTCACTGGACTTCACGATCCCAACCCGCCCGCACGGCACGAGTGTGTACTGGACGGCCACAGCGGAGTCGGCCTGTCTGGGTTCAGTGTCAAGAGGAGTCAACCTCACTCATCCCAGTTGTTTTTCTTTTGTGTCTCTCAGCAACGTCTCTGTTTACATGATGGACAAAAAGTCTATCTAAAATGTAAAAAATAGGCTTTTCATTTGAGCATTTAATGACTGTCATTCATCTTGTTTTCCTCAACTCCAGACTGAGGTGACATCCATATTCAAAGGCAGACAATTAGGGAATAAAGAGGAATGAGAGATATGGGGCCAGTTCAAGTAGGCACTATCACAGGAGGCAATCAATCAAGGGGTTGATTCTTTGCATAATTGGGGAGCATTTATTCTCCACATCAGGGGAATTTTTTATCAAACTAATGTGGAGTGAAAGCTGCTCAGCGCGGGGGTCGTCCGGGGCTCCTGATGTCAGCGGTGCTTGTTTACAGCCCGCCGGGTTTCGGAGTTTAGGTGAGAGGCCTTTTGACTGATGACAAATGCTACGTTTGGCTGACCACAGCTAATGAGCAGCCCGAGTTAGTATGAAAGGCAAAAATATTCAGGCAGAAGGGCGAAACCAGGCTTTATGCGCCATTGTTATTTACCACAAGACAAGTAACAGAGTGTGGGAGGTGTGAAGCACACAAAGCAATTATCTTTAATTGA